GAGTGCGTGGTGCCAGTGAAACCCTCAACGGCAGTTGAACACCATTCTCAACTTCACCTTCTACTGTTGGAACCATCACCAAGCAAGCCTCCCGCCGAATAAGTTCGGTTTTATCGGTTGGAGCGAACTCAAACTTTCCAACTATCTCCGTAAGAAAGGCTTGATTTCGATCACCCTGAGTGAACGTTCATATTAGATTCACTCCGCCGCTGCCACACAACCTGACACTCACGCGAAGCGCCATCCGATACACGACCTCGCTCCTCCGATGAATGTCATTCTAAAAAAAAGGGGTTCATGCCTGTTAAAAGACAGAGACCAGCGCTTACAGATTGGAGTACACTCCTATTGACGTCACCTTCTTCTCTTTGGCTGTGCCATTGAGCCATCTATCCGGATTGAACACGTGCGCGTCCTCGCCCCAGAGCTCCTTGTTTCTAACCGATATGAGCGCACCGTCAGAAGAAAGTATCTTGGCTATGTGGAATCCTCATAGGTACGCTGCGATTGATGCAACAATTCGGGTACCCTTCGGAACTGGTAGCTCATGGATGACGCCCGATCGCGTGGTGATTGGCTGTGACAACGGAAGGACGTCATCTTGGCTGGCGCATCGGTTGTGCATGATATACGACACAACAAAATCTCAAAACTTCCTACAATAACAAGCGCAATTACCACAGCCCAAATATTGTTAGCACGTCACGCACTTTCATCACAGCAGTAGTATATGGCATAGCGTCAAAATCAGCGATTGTGAAGTTGACATCCCCGCGTGCGTGCACAGCCGCTTTCCGTTTCCCATATCTCTTCCCGGAGACGGGATTGGATCTCAGGGTGCCTGGCTAGCTCGAGAAGTGCCCAACTGACAGTGTTCGAGGTCGTCTCATGACCTGCGAAGATAATCGTACTGTGTAATTACAACAATCCGTGATCAGAAAGCTGTGCAATCACGACAAACGGAACGGACTCACCGCATCTGAGCAAACAGCTCTTCTTCCGTTAACTTCGCCTTTGCATCGTATCCATATTGGCTTTGACTGTGCTATAATTAGATGGCCTAGATCTGAATGAGGCTGTTGAGAACGACGACCCACCAAGTAAGCTAAAGACATCTCGGCTGCCCTTGCCCCTCAATATCATCTCTGCCTTGTCTTTCACCAACTGCTTTGCAACAGATGTCGCCAATTTACCTGTATCGCGCATGCGCCACGATACGTGGGTTTTGGCCCTCCTCTACGAAGTATTCGAGAATCCGACGTGGGATATACTTTGAAATCCCCTGAAAGATTACCTGCCCATCTGACGGGGATCCAAATACGTCAGTCCTATTACAAAATTCAACTCAGATCAGTTAAGGGAAAGCCAGATGCTTGGCAAAAGTCAAGACTGACAATTATATTCCTGTATGAGCGCGCGAGGGCGCTTTCATTATCGTCAATGGAGCTGAAGCGGACATCAAAAGCAGCTGAAAAAGGATATGAGAAAAAGGTGCTTGTGCACCCTGGATAGCATATACCTTCGCCGATAGCATCTAAGGTCGCACGGGACAGCCAGACAGGAATATTGAACACCACTGACCCCTCCTTAGAGTTATTGATGGTCTCCGTCCATTTGTTGCTCATCTGTGAGAATTTACGTTATTGAAGGGAGTTGAGAGTATTCAGTGACTTCGATGCCTAGTACCTACAGACTCGGCGCAGTCTTGAATAATGACAAGAAGGCTTTGGACTCCGGCCCACCGAATCCAGGGAGCATTATTCTCCTGTGTCGTTTGTGATCGTCACCTTCGAAAGTTAACTACAGATCATTCCATGTTTTGATTTGATGGCCGAAGACCTACCCTCCGCCCAGACAATACCCTTTCCGTTGATAAAATGGGAGAGAACGCGGCGATCAGGCGGTTTGGGAAACCGATAGGCTGACTTTGCAAATATGTATTGTAGGGCGGCCGGGTCGGAAATCATCAATTGGTCTTCCTATGAGTCAGCGGAGGATCAGAAAATGTATACCGCAAGCATGGATTTCATTGCATACGCCAAAAGAGCCCTTGAAGCGAACAATATTCCCATACTGAGCTTGCCACTTGAAGTCAGCATCCGCTGCCTGACCTTGGTAGAGTTCTTTCAGATTCCCTGGTGGTCTTATCAGCACCGGAGGGATTCGGCAATAGATTATAGTCATACCCATGGTAAACGATGCAGACTCTGGGCCAGGAACGTCTGCCAAAGAGATATGAGAGTACCGACGGTACACCCCATAGACGATCGCTAGAGCTGCAAAACCAGCAGTGATAAAGACAGAATCCATGATTACAAGAGATACGATTTCAAAAAGCATGTGAAGGCAGCTTTATCAATGTCTCGGATGGATCAAATGACACTTAAAGCATGATGCACATCTCTCAGCAGCCGCGCATGCATCGGAGGGAACAAGCCCAGAAATTGCCTATTCCTAATCTCTTTACAAGTTGACGATTGCGTGAACTCGGCGCCAATGATACGACTTGGACTGCAAAGAGAAAAATCAGTTCTATATAAAGTGTTGGGTATGTCATAGGGCTTTACACCAAAAATTCATCATTCTGTAGGCGGTAGGTCAGCTCCAGCTCTTGGGAGTTGCTTACACACTATCGGCGTATCTTCGATGATCCCGCGGTCTGATTGCAGCCACGATGATTCGACAGTCATCTTCTCATCATGACAGGACAACACAAAGATGACACAGTACTCACTCGTGTCCCTGCGAAACTAGGTCACGAGCGGTACTCCGGGAACGCTTCGCCGAGATTAGATGATGGCTGACGGTCATCCACCGACTTCTTGGAGTAGGGTTGTCAGGATACATGACGAATCATTAATTGTTCGGCCCATGGTTATTCCTGATAGTCTAGTTATCACTGGGGTGTGACAGCATGGACTTGAGTGTATTTTCCCGTAGTTAGACCATATAGAAGGAAATAGTCGTTCCTTCTGTATACGATAAATTTGAATTGAGTAGGATGGTGGTTTAAACGTTGTCTAACTCTAAACGCCAGGAGGCTCTTGCCTGTTCTTGCAAGGCCACGTGTCAGTCATGGTGGCAATGCAGGCATGAACATTGAACACAACCACAAATTACTAGTACTGGTCTTCAAGCGTCAAGCTGGACTCGCATGGACTTTTTATCGCAGACCTATATCGCCCTTCGTGGGTCCAACAGGGCGCTCCTCAGTCTGCGCAGGACACGATCGCAAAGCTTAGTGACCGGTTGTCTCCTTCTACTCTCCTTGCGGACAGACGCGCTGCTGTCCTTGCTTTGAAGGGTTTGGCTCGCGATTGCAAGGAAGATGTCGGTGAAAGGGCCCTTCCTGGTCTCCTCGAAGTCCTGCAGAATGATGCGGAAATAGATGCGGAAATAGCGAAGGCCGTGCTCGAGACTATTACCCAGCTCTGTGAACCCGATGACGATTCCAAGGACCTTGCGTTGAAACACACGGACTATGTTATCGGAAACGATCAGGCAGTTCATGTTTTGTTCTCCCTCCTTGGTGACACGCACTTCTATACCCGTTATGCGACACTGCAGTTGCTCTCGGTGCTACTACAGAACCGCCGTTCTCAAGTTCAAGGATATTTCCTCAAGGCCCCTGCTGGTGCCACCAGTATCATTGCCGTCTTGGAGGATAAGCGCGAGATCATTCGTAATGGTGTGTATTTTAGCTACTCCATCTCGTCCCACGCGTGGTACTCTGGTAGACCTGCTCATACTACCTGTCTCGACAAAGTTGGATGTTGAACATAACTTAGTCCTTCGCGTAGCTGTGCTCATCCTTAAGTTCCACCTGTGGCAGGGCCGTTAAATGACAGTATCCAATGCAGGTCTACCTAGGCCAGCATAAGAGTCGTTGATTACCCTCACTAACACCAATACACTTTCAGAAAGCATCATCATGATTCAAATGCTTATTTCTCAAAGCCCTGACATACAGAAGGTGCTTGCCTTTGAAGGTGCATTTGAAAAGCTCTTCAATACTGTCACACACGAAGGCGGATTGGAGGGAGGTGTGATCTCGCAGGACGCACTTCGATGTGTCGACAGTCTACTTCGATATAATAGCTCGAATCAGGTGATTAATGTACTCTGCTTGAAGCGTATTTCCATTGATCTCTACGATAGAGTTACTTCCGCGAAACGTCCCTTCCAGCGTTGTTGTGCTCCCTCCTGCTCTTACCGTCCAACCTTTCCCTGCAAGATTCAGCTCCACAAGACTTTGCACTGCAATTTTGGGACTCACAAAAAGTAGTAAATGTGTCACTGGTGCTTGGTATCATGGGAATGTTAGTCGGGTCTAAAGGCAGCGTCAGTAGATTCCAATATCCTTCCTACATTTGTTTCATAGTTTCCTCAGAGCCAAGAACTATCCGTCTTTCGTGCGAGGCTTTGTCGAACTAGCCCTCGCATCCAATGCACCAACATCCCTCAAGTCTCAGGTCCGTTTTCTACGGCAAGCATCTCACAATACAAAACCTGATTGCATGCGTGCGTCAGGCTCTCCATCTCCTTCCTAGCACGTTGACTCTCCCGCTCTCGGAGGTGATTTTGACCCCCTATATGCCTGTGCCTGAGACACGCGGAGAAGAATGGGACAGACTAGAGCCGGCGTCCGCGCTTGATGCACTTGTAGAGCTCGCACTCCACGGAGAGTACAATGGGCTATACAGTGATAGCCGTACCAAGGAGGGACTTGAGCTAAGGAGCGCAGCTGTAATTGCTTTTGATGTACGTCATTATTCTTCATCCTCCGGCAGAAAGGGTCGGCATTGATACTATTATAGAACTTTGTGCGGAAAGAGGATAGTCAGACATGCCATCGTGCAAGGGATGCTTCCTTCCCAACGTAAGCAACATCTTCCATACCAGGCAAAAAGCGATTCAGATTGTATTTGCAGAACCAAGTGAAGGTTCCGATGATATCGCCCCTTCTGCACTCTCTCTGCCTCTCCCCGTCATCCCCTCTCAACATCGCTAATGTAACCTCGTACTCATCTCGCCACAATCCTCTTTGCTCATCTGCTATCTGGCTCCCCAAGAGCAAAAACTGCCGCCCGGTCTATCAAGCCTTCTTCCAACATTCCTGGAGAGACTTTGGGTCAAGGACCACTTTTTGTCCCTGCGGATAGTACTCCAGCGCCAACGCCGCCGGAAGAGGACGAGGAAGATGCCCCGCAGAGTTTGTTGCATCTCTTTGCCGAGAACCTCTCATTGTGCTTCCTATCTCGCTCAAGGGCTGAGGACGACCGTGAGGAACGCGAGTGGAATAGATTGATTGTTGGGATACATCTGTCTGCTTGCACAGTGGCTCTGGGATGACCCTAAAGCCGTGAGGGAATTCTTAGAAGCCGGCGGGCTGGGCACAGTGAGTCTTTCGCCCGATTCTGTGAACACTTACGAGACCTCAGGAACCCATAGTTAGTGGAGCCTATTAATCAGACTTCTGAATCGGAAGACCTCATCCCTGGACTTTGCGCCTTTCTACTGGGCATCTGTTATGAATTCAATCGGGAACCGGGGGAGATCACTCGGCATGTGCCTTTCATCTGTTGTCTTTCACGCGTGTTTATATTTGCGTATTCAACAGCGCTACTATCCATCCCATCATCTCTCGTTTGGGCGTAGATGTGCTTCTCGGTCACATGACTCGGTACGAGAGCACGACTGGTTCAAGTCTATCGGCCCTGAATCCATGGTTACTCCGTTGTCCATCCAAGGCACTACAAAGGCACTCCACCCTCCGAACAGGAAGGCGAAATCTGGCTCGACTGGTCTTTTGTTGACTTCTGGAAATCAAATCAACGTGCGCTACCAGGATTCTCTCTATTGCTATGTCATTGATCTGATGAATTCCTTAAAGATACCATCCAGAGGGGTCTGGCAACGGACCCTAGCACTCTGGCTTCATCGTCAGGTCAGTAGCAAGACAAGGACTATCACCAACCACATTGACTTACTTGCGGTACAACAGGTCCAAGTGCAGAGTCCGCGATGCTCATCAATTCTCTCAAAGACGTCATTCGCTCTCAGGTGCAGGAGATAGACGCATTGCAACTTCGTCTCAAGGAGCTATCGGCTACTGAAGCTCGAGTACGTGGTCATGGATGTATCTGGATACTGCTGCTTACTATGATTGGTCGACAGTTGGCTGACTCAGAGGCGCGTATTGCGGAGCTTGAGGCTGAGTTGCAGACATCAGATAGCAAGAAGAGGGAGGTCGAGAAGGAGCAGGAGGATCTTCTGGTCCTCCTCGATGACCTGAGCACTAAGCGCAGACGAGACAAGCAGCGGATGAAAGAATCAGGCATGGAAGTTTCCGAGGACGAGGCAGATGATGACAATGACGAAGAAGATGAAGATGAGGGAGGTGAGGAGTAAAGTCCAGTACCGATCGAGTTTTATTTCTGCTATGGCCCTACCGCATCTCAACATCTCGGACTACCTCGAGTACATAGACTTGGGCGAGATACCTGTGTTCTCCCCGAGGTTGGTAGCATGACTTGAAAACCAATCATTGCAAGAGTCTCCTAAGTGAGATCCGAATGACAGAAAATTGATGTGCATGCCTGAGGCAGCTGGCATGGACGACACAAAGAGTCTGCAATTATATCGCCCACAGCTAATACTAATGTTCCTTAAGTGACGTAGTGGAACGCGTGTATGTAAGATATGGTGAGACCAAGAAGATCCCTTCGATAAGATGTAGTGTACGAAATCGGAAATGTAGGTATTCGCATGCTTAACACGGGGTCTATACGTGTTATCCGATTATTCGGGAATTGTGGTATGCTGGGAAAGATAGCAATGAGAAGGCGTAGAAGACTAAATGAGAGACCAGGCCCAAAAGAGGGACGAATGCCGAAAGTCACGTACAAGATTATAATGAGATGGTGCTATGTTATGCTATGCTATGCAAGTGATCCGTGATGAAGGAGATGCGGCTATGAATGCGCGACGAAATGGTGTGCAAGAAATAACCAAGAAAAGAGATATACAAGTTCTAAAGGTTTCGCTCCTGTGGGCTCTAATTATGGTGACAGCCTCATCCGCATAGCAGATATCCGGTGGCAAACCGGGCTACTTACATAGCCTGTCCAATAGGAACGTTGGTCCAGGTATCCCAGAGTGCCTGTCGTGTACGGCTATCTGCCAAGGATGACGCGAACATCACAATTTTCCACGCATCCTGGAAATTACTTGCGAGTCCTAGACTGATCCGCACAACACCGAGCTCGCGACCGACGACCTGGCCAAAGTCTTTAAGCGTGACGCCGGGATACAGCCGTTCCATCTGGTTTTGAATACCCAGCAACGAGGCTGCGCCCCCGGGATTGCACATGCAACCTGTGCGAAGAGAAATGTTCCGGGACACCGCGACATGTTCAATGAAGCTGTTTGGGATCATCTCTCCTGAAGGCTGCAGTCCAAAGTTTCGTTAAGATAACGATAGAAAACAATGGAAGCTGAATACTTGCCGAGAGGAAGATAAGAGAGATTGTAGATCCACTGTCACATTGTTCTCCAACAGACTTGAGTCTTTTGGAAGGAAGCTTGGATAAAATCTTAACGACAGGGGTTCCTGTCGAATCATGTCTCAGACAAGAGAGCGAGGCGACAAGGTAGTGTGTAAGACATGAGAGGCGGAGAGGAAGGAATGGCAGATATGCGGAGAGAAATCGCAGACCGTCTGTGACAGCGGGTAACGTCATGAAATTGATGGTTCCATCCTAGCAATGTGAATAAATTCGAAAGCACATAAATTGGAAGAGAAGCATACTTCGAATTGTTCATGAAGAACGCTCGTTCTAGTAAAGACTGGGCCTGGCACCTGGACGACATCAACGGTTCCTCCAGCGAACCACGGGCGCTCCAAGATCTGTAAGAATGACTCCTTGACAATGAGGGCTCCGACGCCTGTCGGATAACCGAACATCTTGTAAAAGCTGACAACCATAGCATCGACAGGGGTTTCCGAAAGAGAAATGACAGATGATGGTGCCAGCGCGGCAGCATCAAGAAGTGTGTGGTATCCTAGTGAGGATGCGAATCCGATGATTGAGAGTGGATTTTTCGCGTTAGTGATATTGGAAAGGCCCGTTAGGGCAAAAAGTGAGGAAAGCGTTTTGTGGTCTGTGCTGACTCAAGATATCCTACGACAAAGAATCAGCATTGTTACGTCAAGTTGATGCGCATACACGCGCCAAGGACATACCTTGGCAGTAGATAGAACGAAACCTCCAGTACTAGTTGATGGGATGTAATGTACTTGAGCTCCGCGACGTGAAGCGTACTCTCGGATTCCATGGACGCTATTATGAGAGTCGGCACCGAGGATATAGCCATTATTAGACTTGAAGGGATACGCCTCCCCAACAAGCTTCAACGCAGCTGTTGCATTTGCTGTAAACACAACGGTGTAGCCTGGCGGTGCTCGAAAGAATGAAAGAACTGCATCCCGGGCCTCGTCAGCGTATCGTGATGATAACTTGGAGCTATAACTCAAATTAGGAATGATCGGCGACCGATTTATAGAAACCCCATACCTATTACTGACTGAATGCGTGTTTCCCATGACGGATTCGGTTAAGAATGCGCTGTGAACGCGAACAAGACTCTCAGGATGTTGTGCCCCACCCATGTAATCTACATATGTTTCGCCGGTTCGATCTAATCTGGCAAAATCTGTTCTTCGGAGGGTGTCAAGTATCCAAGTGCTCTGATATTCTGGGAAGGATTTGAGAAATGCACTATATGCGCGTGCTTCAGCATCTTGTCGTGAGATGGAGGGTGTCAAGGGTGCATATGTTGTCAGTGTCGGTGATAAATGAGTGACGTTTGGATGATAACTATGAGGCGGGGGGCGCAGGTTTCTCGCAGGAAAGTGTGTCGTGCGATGATATTGATTTCAACAGCGAAGCCTGCGATTTGTGATATCTCAGACTGATGCGAGATACTGGTGCAGAATGGTCGTGATTAGTGTTAACGCCAATGCGCTGTTCACGAGATTGATCGGGAAGCACAGGAGATGAGTGTTTGTTGCCCATGTCGAATGATGTCGGTGTAAGGGAGGGACGTCGGTGAACTACAGAGTGCCTTTATATATTTGGAAGGCAGCGCTTGAATCGAGTCAATGTCACCTGTCTGACCAATCCCCCACACCGCCAACGTGACCAATCGCGCAGCCATCTGATTAGTACCCCTGATCGGTAGGAAAATAGATGCGCCCAAGTCGCAAGCTCCAGTCTATTCCTCTCCATTTGGATAGTTTGCGTGGTGCTAAGTCAAGCCCTATATTTTTGTTGTAGTACTAATATGCAGTGAGCTGTGTCCGTGCTATATGCCACCAAGTATACACCAGCAAAGGCCCGGGGTCTGCAGATGCCAATCCAGACACTTGAAATGCGGTGCTATAGAGGGGCCGTCTTGGGGTGCAGCTGATCCACGCCCGGACGTTTGACAAGATCGACAAACGTGGTGACCCTGAGACAGGATTTGGTGATAGTCCACTAGTACGTGATGGGACCTTCTTGGACAGCATTTGTGGTGTGGAACCTGCAATAATTGAAAATACCACCAATCCGCGTTCGACTGTAGCCTCTCTCAGTTCTCGTACTTGCAAGTATGTATGTGATAATGACGTTGTCTTTATCACCACGCCTGTCAGGAGCGTGGAAGTTGATTGACACCGTTCAGGACCTTTGATTGTAGTAGAATGCTCCCAACCTCTAGAGCGGCAAAAACCTAACCTGGTAAAATCAAAATACTGTGTGAGAAATTTATAGAAATCCTACTTAGCTCTTCCCATGTCAGACACCCACCGAAACTACAGATGGTCACTTGGTTGGTTGCGATTAGTAGACCTCGAAAATGTGCACAGCCACAAGTTCAAACTTGATCAAACACACCAGGACCGTTCGGTCCTTTCTGCCGGTTATTTATATCACCGGCAAAACTCTACGTGCCTAGGCTATGTACATGTACCTTAACGTTCCTAATTAACAATGACATCATTATTTAATGTTGCCCCCGTCATTAATTGCATTCTACGGCGCAGCAACCTAAGTAGTTCCGACTACGGTGCACTCAAAGCAGTACCTTACTTACAAACAATACCTCAAGCTCAATTTTACAGTATCTAGACCTGCGGCTCCAAGAGTTGATCATGCTGCTACTGGGAATCTTCGCGAGCTCGATCATCTGCTCACGAAATTCGAATGCAAGGAAGATTGATTGCAATTAGTAGGTTTTGCCTTGTACTTACAACTCGTCACTCGTCGCTCACCGCTCAGCACTTGTTGGCTGGACCACCGGTCCGCATCAATCCCGAACTCGTTACAACTCGTAAGTGTCAATTCTCCAACTGTGTCAAATTACCACAATTTTCCACCTCAGTTAGACTCAATTCGCCTCGCAGCAACATTAGCCCAAGATCACTTCATCGAATGATAAGAGTCGGCCCCGAGGAGACTATTCGGTCTCACGCGACGAGCAAGGGAATCAAATGACATTAGGGTGTGGCATGGGTCGACCGGGTCATACCCGACCCAACCCACGGGTACCAGAATTTTTAGAGGGTTACCCAGACCCACTCGGGTTAGAGCATCACGGGTAAGTGGGCCTATTTCGTATGCACATGTGCTGAGCAATAAGCAAAGTATGTACGAAGCTGAGTACGAGTCAATAACAATCTTGTTTCTCTTTCCCTTCCCTGGTGTGGGAGGCCTGAATGACGGCGGAGTCGACAAACCAGACCGGTGTCAGAACACACCTGCAAGATGAAGAAAGCACTGTCGCGCGCCCTTGGCCGAGCCAAGGAAAAATCATCTTACTCTATGCAGCCACTCAAGCCATATTATTGTGCACCATAAACACCACCCACAAGGCTCGCAGCGCCCTGAGGATAATGAATCAAAGGTTTTGAAGGTGGCAACAGAGATGAAGAAATGCTCTGAAGACGGCGAAACTGGATGTCCGAAGGAGCCCAGCGAGGGGTTGGGTAAAGAGAGGGTGAGGTTGGTTGCTGGAAGCGTGTTGGAGGGTGAGTGGGTGAAGGTGGTGCACTTGATACCAGAGTATGTTGTTGGGCGCGGGCCCGAAGTACAGCCTCCAGTTACATTACTTGCTTGGTGTTCCTGCCAGGTGCAGCGTGCTGAGCTCACAACAGCCGTGGGAAACAATGAGCACGCTACTCCGTGTGCACGTGATCATCGCAATGTCCGGCCGGACTTTCATCTCCCAAAATTGACGATTTTGAAAAGTTGTGCGTTCAACTGTCAGAAGACGAAGTCCGTTCAACGTTCGCAAAACTTCCCTGTGTCTTTTTCGTGAGCAAATTGAAAGTGCTCACTAGTTAGGTTCGCAGATATAGTCGAACTGACGTGACTGTCTCGTTCTGTCGCATTGAACTCACTCAAGTCAGTTAAGCTCTTCTGGAGCAACATCGCCGTGGCCCACATCCTCCGATTCAAACGCGAGTCCCGTGAGCGTCTTCCGCTCACAAATTTTTCATCGCTCGGTCAATTTCGTCACGTCCTTGCGAGATTCTTGACCGCAGCCATGTCTGATGGAGCCGTACCTGATGAGCCACGATCACCTCCATCGTCACAAAATGATGCAGGGTTGAAGAAGCTCACACCATATTGGTACCCGTATACGACTATGGCAAAGGAGCGCTGGCTTGGGCGGGAGATCTTAGAAATCGTGTCGACAGAATTCAGGGATCGATCCATGGAGTACTATGTATGTGTTTACAAGTTAACTGTTCATTTCTTCTCTACAAGTCACTATTCATTGCACAGCGATACGCCCTTGAATCCGGAGTGACAACAATTAATGGCAAGGTCGCCAAACCAGACACAGTAGTGAGGAATGGCGATCGTATAGAGTGAGCGCATCTTCTGCATTAGAAGCATACCTTTATTGATTGTTGTAGGAATGTTGTGCACCGACATGAGCCTCCAGTCACATCTACACCCGTCAAAATTGTATTGCATGACAAGGAGCGCGACTTTTTGGTTGTCGATAAACCTGGTAGCATAGTTCGTCCTTGGTAATTCTGCTCACAGTGCACCTAACTTAAAGATATGGTACAGCCAGTACATGCATCTGGTCGGTACTACCGCCACAGCTTAGTAGAGATCCTTCGTAACGAGTTTGGTTTCCCGAAAATTTATAGTGGGTCCACATCTGCTCGAAAATAAACCTTGCTAATTCGGTTATAGCGATCAACCGCTTGGATAGACTTACATCTGGTTTGATGATCGTACCATTGAATGCCGATCTGGCACGTTCGTTATCAGGCGAATTCGTCAATGGTCTAATCCGCAAAGAGTATATTGCTCGCTGCAAAGGGGAGTTCCCTGTGTGAGTATTTTTAACATCTACCCATATGGGTGTAGTGAGGAAATAGTGAGGAAATTATTTGTGAAGAACCCCTCCTGACTGTAGATCGACAAATGGGGCTTAATATAGTGCACCCAGAAGGAAAGGTACGTGCCAGCTTAAGCTGTCGGTGAAGTTTTTGACGGTTTGCAGCCAGCGAAGACGATTTTCAACCGGCTTCATTACGATTCCGCGACCAACACGAGTGTGCTTCACTGTGAGACTTTCAGTTACATGCTGTATTTGATAAACACACCCATTTTTTCTACCTAGGTCGTCCCATGACAGGTCGATGTAAGGATCACACAGATGTCACGCCGGATGTTCCTGACCAATTTTGTTGCAGCACATCAGATACGAGTACATCTACAATACCTCGGTCATCCAATAGCCAATGACCCTGTTTATTCTGAGGAACGAATATGGGTGAGGGTCCTCGTCTGGTCTGAAGAATGCCTTGTATAACATCCACTCCCTCCGTAGGGAACTAATCTTGGCAAAGGGGGGCGTTGATGTCATTCCTTGCGAGGACCGTGCTGCACCAGCGCCACCAGCGCATCTCCTGAGTGACAATAGTCCGGAAGCTCTTAACCTGAAACCCTCCGACGACACAGACTCACCATCATTGCTTACTTCGGAAGAAGGGAGCGATGCGAGAGGGAAATTACTTCCCCGCGAAACTGGACACGATATTGGAATGGGATCACCTGTCCCATTGTCGTCTGAAGCAGTGGAGATTATAACAAGGCTCCGGAATATGAAGGTGGGCAATTCAAAGCATGAACAAGTGTGTGACGCACTCATAGAAAATAGGATGAAGACGAGGATTGGAGTCGCTGGCGAGATGTCGTATTTCGAGCGAAGGGCTCACTCGCACCAAAAGACATCCCTCGTGCGCCCCTTCCTCCACAGAACAAACGGAAAAAGGGGGGTCCTTCTCTCCCTCAAACACCTCTGCCAGAAGATATATCTTTGGCCCCACAATTGACTCAAGCGGAAGCTCTAACACGGCTCTCGCAGATGGAGGCCCCCTCCCCAGCTATCGACACTGCGACAGGAACGCTGTATTGTTCAGAGTGCTACTTACCGTTGCATCCTGATCCAAAGCCAGAAAAGTTGTACATTTTTCTGCATGCCCTTAGATATACCACAAGCCTCGGGTGCTTTGAGACGGATATACCAGAGTGGGCAGCCGAAGGATGGAAGTGGGACCAGGCCTAGACAGGTACTACGTTCTGCAATACTATGCATGCATTTCTCCGCGCGTGTTATGTACCGATATGACGGCACACGCTGTACCAGTGCAACATGGTCGCTAATCCAGTTCTATTCCTGAGCTCACGTCCGTGAAACTCAATGTCCTAGCGGAATTAATCATGAAGGTTGGAAGCATAGCCTGTGCTAGCGCCTCAAGCAGTAGCACGCCATCAGCAGGGACATCTAATGTTATCGGCGGAGCCAACCCAGTAACGTTGCAGACTGGAAGTATTAGTACAGCTACTAGTAACGGATCTCCTTCCCCGTTGGACGTTGAACATGTTCAGACATTGGCTACCTTGCAGTTCTCATAAGGTGGTTCCCGCGTCTTGCACGTACTGAACAAACAAGTTTGGCTGCTTCTAGCTCCTGCTAGGTTTTCTGTCCTTTCCGAATTTTTACGTTAGAGTACACATGTACTGAGTATTTGACGACACGTGCAATTCGATGTTGCTCCCAATAAATGATTCAAATTATCTTAAGTATGATACGCAGGATTCAGATCATAGAGAAAAAACATTGTGGGTGGGTCAAGTTCGAACTTGCACCATCCAGGAAGAACAGACTTCGAATCTGTTAACAACTTGGCCATAAGTCTTATGATTGACGTTCGAAGACCTCTCCGTGAGCTCATGCCCAAGGTGCGATCATAGAGAAAAACGATTGTCAGCAGGTTTCGAACCTGCACAATCTGGGAGGAACAGATTTCAAATCTGTTGACGACTTGGCCATGACTCTTACGGTTGACGTTCAATGACCTCTCCATGAGCTCATGCCCAAGATGCAATCAAGGAGAAAAACTATTGCCGGCAGGTTTCGAACCTGCACCAACAGATATCAAACCTGTTAACTACTTAGTTAAGACTAGTTAAGATAAATTGATAAATTCAAGCTAAACATGCCAAATGGGTAAGGTCTGCCTGATGATGTAGCTGGTTGTACAGGTGAGAACGACGCCAACCATAGTGTCATGAACCGCGATTCAGTCCCATATGTACCAGCTCGCGCAGCCGTAGAGTGCGCAAACATGGGAAGAATATGATGTTAGCGGTGGTCTTCAATGAGAATGCATGTAACAGCCTGAGTATTGTTCTGTCATCGCTCGATGACTCGGATAGGCCGTACGGCCCGTATCAATGACAGCTTGTATGCATAATCTCGCGTGTATATTGAATGTAGAGCTGCGCGTTCGTATGGTTGCAATATTAACTTATAGTGGTTAGGAGAAGTCGTGTAATCGAATGTACCGAGAGGGTAGTTGCTTCTCCCTCAAGCTGAATTACGATATTACCGCAGCCAAAGAGCCAATGATTCGTTGCATTCATGTGGTCGCCTATCAAGACAAGATCAATGCGAGAAGATATTGATGGGACGAGAAATAGAATCAGCCGCAACAGGGCGAAGCACATTGCAAGCGACCATCGCGCTACTCCTGAAACACTAGCTTGCATGCGGGACACCACGTATCTACAGCAAGGCCTACATGTGGATTTAGTATCCTGTAGGAGATACAACTTAGTGCCTACTCACCTTAGACTCCTTAGTGCACGCAAGTGATCACTCCCTCGTCGACGCTCCTGCTGACCGAGACACCGAAAAATATTCAATGGCGGCCATCACTGGCACTTACAAAGTAGCGCCCGAATCCCAAGCGCCAACTCAACAGGAAATGCCTCAGACTTGAACAGACGCTTAAGGGTCAAGAGTCATGAGAAATTGGTGAACGAGGCAGTTATCATCCGTGGTACCCGTCTCCTCGTTACTTGCTCCCACGAGAAGAGTGGGATCTGGACCTATCTGGACTTGGGGAAACAAGTGGGCAGCGGAGCAGTTGAAATCTGTGTAACCCTTGAAGGTTTTGAAGAAGTGCGCGCACGTGAGTCATATTCAAATTGATCCATGCACTTCCCGCCATTTCTAATATATGCATGAATGATTATATGCCAGTTGCAACTTGAGCTTGAGCCCTCAAGCTCAAGGTGCAACTGGCACACCGAATGACCATAAGTAAAACATGAAGGTCATGCGACACATGTGCGAGATATCACAACCGCAGAAATTGAGGCAATAACAAATAATAAAACATATGAAGGTAGCTGTATATATCTTCTGGACATACAATGCTAGTTTTAGATATCGGATCATGCATGTTGTGCATGTATAATAGGCTGATTAAAATGTCGTCTTAGGGACGAAAAATGCCAATGAAAGAATCAAGTAATGTGTGATCACACATCGGAGGTTTGGACATTTTACCTCTTGCAAAATTTCAATCAAAAGCAGATCTAGACCTAACCTGCAACACTCTAGATTGCATTTTGAATGTGATTTCACTAGTAGTAAAATGTCGAAACCCCCACTGTGTCACTGGTCATGTTCAACGTTCAGGCCTCAGGTTCAGGTCCGCATTGCCACCATGTAAGAGCCTCCTGAGTCCTCGGAGTGCAGATCGAGCTGCGAAGGAGCCTGCGAGTGATAAGCTCGATCCTAGGCTTACTAAGCGAGTGGCGCATATAAGATATGTAGCGCAGTGGTACGCGCAACTCTTTGTTCTTTACTATCATCTTCGTTATCTCGTCTGTTCTCTCAGTTGAGGGATTTCGTGCAGTCCTCCCCAGTATCTACACGCTGTTCTTACCTTACAATGACTGACACTTCAATCCCTGGGCCCCCACGTGGGGCTGGTGGGAAAAACACCGACACTTTCATCTCTGCGAATAATCGTGTATTATTGGACAGTGAGATAAATCAAGTAGCAGTCGGACGGCACGTTACATTGCCTATCGACCTCGAAGACCATGAGGTGGTGGCGGCAGAAAACCTGGCACATGCCAATAGGAATGCGGTGTCACGAATTCCAAATACAAATCATTATTCTTTCCTGAACACTCGTAAGACACCCGTTAAGCGCCCGTCACAAGCGCCTGTCGTTAGCGCTCAGTCAGCGTCTGTACCAATAACCTTCACAAACCCTAACCCGAATTCATCCTTTACATTTCCGAACTTCTCTATTCCATTAGCGCCCACTACCTTTATCTCCGACATCCCTGATTTTGACTTCCTTACACAAGCGATCAAGTCACGTGACTCTAGAACCTTCGAGAACCCTTGCACAGCTGTTACACGTTTCATGACATCATGATGTAGTTATATTTAGATCATCGTACGATTCCCTTTTCTATTTAATGATTGGCTAGTTAGTTCAGATTCAGATTCAGTCTCCGCTTCAATATATGTATATAGGTAGCTCGTTGTAGTCAGTAGTTCTTTAGTTCAAACCTCTTTTGTATTAGCTCACTGCTAGCAATCCTAAGACGTCCCTGCTCATATCTTCTTTTTGTTGTGATACCTTTTGTTTGAGTCCTAGTCTCTGCCCCTGCGTTAATTCGTTATAAGGGTTGTGACATGCGGCCAGAATGGCCAAAAGAGATGACCCTAACTACATAGAGGAAATCTCTGACAACGAATCATTCCTTGACAAGCCTGTACCACAACCTTTTACCCCCATACCTATAGGCTAGACCTTTTCCCGGCAGTAAAGTTTTGAGAGTGTTTAGTTTCCTCAACACGCTCACGCCCAACACGGTAAAGAGAGTTGTTGGTGCACTTACTGGTTCAGATCCTTCTCCTTCAAATATTACTGTACCTTCGTCTTCTTCATCCACTTCTGCCGATACTTTAGTTTTCAAAGATGCAGATATGGTTATAACAAAGACAGCAGATACAGGAACCAAGATTCCGAGGCCAATTCTCAATCTCGCAAAGGCGAAGATCCACGTACCCCTCACACTTCTTACTCTCGCGGCTCTGCAACAGATCCACCTCAATCCGACCTGCGTCAAAATGAAAAAGGGACTCATCCTCGATGACCCCAAGAAGAGTGTCATGGACACGTCAATCTTCCCTGCTGAGTCTACGTTGCCTGCAGACAGGTTCTACAAAGCCTACAGCAACTTCTTAAAGATGATGGCATTGATTGCCGACGAGGCGATGATAGAGTGGTTTGTTGAACACCGCGATTTTTGCCTTTCCCGCGATGAATTTAGTGACAACAGCAACGCAGTATTGAACTTTGACATCGAGATTTGTTGGAAATTCTTCAACTCACAAACCTTCTGCGATCCGGACGCATATATGCAGCGTTGGAACAAGATTAAGATCAACACTTCTCTGTTGTTGAACTGGCACGCAGGTTCAGGGAGATAGCTCTCGATTTAACCCATACCCCCCTCGTAAACCAGAAGGATTTTCATTGTCCAATGTCTCGAATGATGGAAGGCCCTTTCGGAAGGGCAAAGGGTCGCAAGGAACTGACACAACCCTTTGCATCATTTGTGGTTGGTACAGGCATAGAGCCAGTGGGTGTACCCACACCAACACTGCAAAAGATGCTCCTGTCATCAGCTTGTGGCAGGGAAAGCTCCTCCAAAAGTTCTCTTCAGCCCCAAATCTGCATTTCCTTCAATCTTAGCCATTGCTTCGCTCCAAAGCACTCCTCTGACGTCATCCACATCTGTTCCATTTGCGGAGATAAGAACCACAGCGCTGCTTTCGAAGTCCTGCCTCTGATATACGCGGTCAGTATTATTACACCATACAATGCAGACGCTTATGACGACCTCTTGCACAAATATAACTTATCGCACGTTTATCTGAGTTTAACCTTCAATATGCGTAACGGGTTTCCCATTGGGGACATCCCACCTCTTGCACGCACTTATACACCTCAAAATCACAAATTGGCTTTGGAGCATCTTGATGTCATTTGTTCTTACTGCAACGACGAAGTAGCACTCAGTCGTATGTCTGGTCCATTCACTAAGGACGAAGTTTGTGCCACCTTGAGTGGTAATTTTGCTTCTTCCCCTCTTGGTGTGGTCGAAAAGTCCGGCGAGGCCAGCAAATTCAGAGTCGTTTGTGACCTCTCATTCTGCAATGGCGATGGTTTTTCAGTCAACAGTCACTTGGACTCTGATGACTTTCCTACAGAGTGGGGCACAGCAGCTCAGGTCGCAGACCTTGTGAGCTTCTTTCTGCCTGATTTTCCCTTCACACTTGTTCTGCGTTCTGCCTTTGCATACTTTTGTGCTTCGTTTTAAGGGCTTCTTCATTGTGTGAGCCTTGGCTGACTCGCTCGCACGCCCTCGAACTCCCTTGATTGCAAAAAGGGGGGGAGGGTTGACCCTCACGCTTTGGCACTGCTTCTTTGATTGAAGCATTTCATCCTTTTCACAGCCCTGCCTTCATGTTGGGTGTTCTGTTGATCCTTCAGCTTTCTTGTTTCATTGTAAGCCCATTTTCTGACTCATTGCCTTTTCCTTGCTTTAGGTGGCGTCAGCACCCCCAGGAACACAGGCTGCCACTCTTGATATAGAGGCAGCCTACCGAACGGTACCTGTATGGCCGCCGCATAAATGCTTCCTTGTCGTCGAAGTTGATGGCAGCTTCTTTATTGACCACATCTTCCCATTTGGACTTGCAACTGCCGGAGGAGTCCAAGGGCATGTCGCAGATGCGACTGTCGATATTCTGCACTCCATGGAACTTGGCCCCATAAAGAAATGGGTCGACGACCACATCTTGTTCAGATACCCTTCAGGTGGCGGAACACCCCTCTTAGATGGTACCTTCACTCCCTTTTCATACCCTCACAACCTCGTCGAATGTCTACAAAAAGTCGCGCCCATTGGGGGTGCCATGGCACCCCAAAAAGTGGCATGACTTCACATTTGTTTTCACATACCTCGGTTTCCTCTGGGACTTGCTCCTGCACACAGTGACGCTTCCAGATGAGAAGCAGCTGAAATACAGGAATAAGCTTGTCGCAGTTCTGGACTACCTCACTTGTGGGAAACGAATGTCCTGCAAAGACACTATGAGCATCCATGGGACGCTTTCTCACATAGCCTTTGTCTTACCACATGGTCATGCTTACTTGGCTGACTTCTTGGCTTTCATATCAGAATTCCCTTCGAAGTTTGCATCTCGCCATCCTCACACCTCCGTCATCTCAGACCTTAAATGGTGGCTGGGAATTTTAGAACATAGTCCCCCTCCTCACAGTCTAATGCCACGTGGTGGCCCTAAGGACATAGACCTTTGGGTTGATGCCTCAACAGACTGGGGCATTGGAATGATTCTCGGGGAGAAGTGGAACACATGGACCCTTCGCCCGGGATGGAAAGGTCAAGGGCGTGACATCAGCTGGCTTGAGGCCATCACCATCAAGCTCGCAGTCATCTTCCTGTTTGAAGCTGGGTGGAAAGACTCATCTGTTATCATCCATTCAGACAACCAAGGGGTCATTGGAGCTTTTCAGCACGGCCAGAGCCATAATTTTCAGGTCAACTTATGCATTTGTCGGGTCGAAACCCTGGCTATGTCATCGAACATCTCACATTCACTCATTTACACTGAGTCCGCATGGAACAGGGCAGATTCGATCTCTCACGGTGAGGTCGGTCTCCCTAGCCTCCGCTTAGATCTTGTCACGCTCCCATCGGAGCTTTGCAACTTCATTGTTGACTACGTCTAATGCCCGAGGAGCATTGACGATGGATAGACCCGTCATCGCAGCAGATTTGGCCTTCATCAGGAAAAGTCAGTTGACTATATAGTACTATATAGTCAGGGTAGCCCCTGTAGCTCGGTAGTCATGTGCCTTCTATGTAGTCAGTGAGGTAACTATGTAGTACTACATAGTACTATATAGAAACAGGTCGCGCTACCAGGTACTACTACAGGCGGCTACCAGGTACTACTGTAGTTTGTAGGAGTACTACTACAGGCCACTACCAGCGGCTATATAGCACACTGTAGCACATGAAATAACACGGAAAAGATGAATTCAAATGCCTGATACACAAAATAGCATGGAATTAAAAGGCCTAACATATGAACTAATGCCTTGCTCGATCCTCCTCTTCATCTACAAGCCTCAGCTCTCACTAGTAGCCTCCGCACCATCCTGCTCCTTGAGCTTGTACTCTCGAATGGCATCTTCAAATGCCTCGTCACCAATCTGGAATGCAGCTGATGTTACAGCGAGTGGCTCGATACCTGTATGGAAGCTTAAAATCATAAAATGTTAGGCATGGCTAGCACCTGTGAAATTACAGTCCAACGTACCGAGCCGTGTCGTGCAGATTGAGACAAATTCTGTCGAGGAGTTTGTAAGGTGCCGTGCGCTCCTGAAAGCACTGCAACAAGTCCAAATGACCTTTGTAGACAAATCCATAAGCAGCCAACGTGAATTTGATATCTTCCTTCAGCCCTTGCAACAACTCATCAATGCAGCATTCAATCTATCAATAATCAGCGCCATTGACTTGAATGTAAGAATGAGATGTAACTTACAGCTGTAAGCACGAGTGCAACGACCTCAACAGGCATGGGATTAAAATACTTATGGTAGATGACGCCCTCGTCATTTCGGTTTGCAAACCACATAAGGTTGATACCATCTTGCAGTAGTTCGGTTTTGTAGATTCCTGCCTTCGATGTCCAGTCCTAGCACCCGACAGTCAGGACTCAAAAGGTCATGAGGACCATTGGACTGCATACCTTGAAAGCAAACAATGAACCGTCTTTCAAAGATTCCATGAGATCTCGGTTTTGTTTGGTCACCTCCTTAGAGTTACTTGACTGGAGCCCAAAAAACGAAGCAGTCAGCGATCACATCTTCATTTTGAGTTCGCCACGCATGTGTGATGTGCGCTTCAAGAGCTTCATAAAGTATAACATAAATCAGACTGAGAATGCACTGAGAACTGAGGGCTTACCATTTTGACCACTGAAGGTGTTAGTTTGACATCGAAACCTTTGATTTGGCACACCTTGTGTCAGGCCTCTTTTGCCAGTCTCATCTCATCACCAATGGTATCAGGAAACAGCAAATTTGTAACAATGAGGCACCAGAAAATAGAGCTGGCGGTCACAAGTATCTCTTTCGAAATGTTGTCGAAATCGCTAGCTTTGACGCGTTGACGTGAACCATCCGATTTTTTCTTGATCTTTGGCACTGCTCTGACATCTTCTGATGCGGTGTCAAGTGGTCGTTTGGTCCCCTGAATAGCAGGTAAGGGTTCTTCAACCGTGATGGTTTCGATATCCTCCGGGTCTTCGTCGGTGTGGCCTGTCCCAGCCTTGGGTTGGAGGTCATCGTCTGTCAACTCTGAGTCGTCACTAGACTCATCACTGGTACCATCCAGTAGAACTGCATAAATAGAATATTAGATTTATATTGAACAGTCACTAGTACATACCCATTGGACCCTTTCTGTCCTGGTGAGTAGCCCACTTGCGTACACTGCCGCTGGAGGTGTGCAACACTAGGGGAATCTTTCCTGCACTGAATGACAGAACCTTTGTGTTGGACAACTTTGTCTGCATGCTGTGATCCGAGAACTGAATAAAAAAATCAGCCATCATCTAAGGCACAAGAACAACAAGTCATCAAACCATAGTGTCTTCCTCCCTGTCGACGTCACTGAGCAGCTCTGAGGGCTCTTCCTCGAAGACTTCAGGATTGTCTAATTTGAACCTTGATTGTTTGTTGATTCCAGGGCTTGTTGAATTTGCGCAGGGCTAAAAGCTGTGTTAAATGAGGGATGATAAAATGATATGAACGTACCGTTACAACATATTTTTACTATGGACACCACCTGTAAAGACAAAAAAATCGGTGTCAAAAGGTGAGCTACTGGTGCTCATTACCCCCAAATACTCACTGGCTTTCAGGACAAAGCTCGAACCAGATGCAGAGCCCAGCAGGCTAAGGTGCGAATCACCCATCAAAAGGTGAGCTACCGGTCCTCATTACCCCAAAATACTCACCAGCTTGCAGGCCAAAGTTTGAGCCAGATGCAGAGCTCAGTAGGCCAAGGTGCAAATCACCTAAAGCAGGGCCCATGTTCCTGCTCCCTCCATTTCGTCAAACACCTGGCCCCATCTCGATTTCTCAATCATACCTGCGAAAACTCATTTTGGAGTATTGGGAGGTTGAACTGAAGGCCTGTGAGCAAGCCAAAAAAATGCAACTGTCAGAAATAGTACCAGGCCCAGCCCTTACCCTTATGCAAGCAAGCTTGCGAAAACTCATCACCGAGCGGTGGGATGCAGAGGTAAAGCGTTGTGAAGAGGCCAAATGGGCGCAACTTTTAGAATTACTTCTTGCCACCCATGGCATTTCCAGACTAGTGTAGCATTATGCCGAGAGTCTAGACCTACCAGAACCCTAAAAAATGTGACCAGCGCTCCTGAGAAAAATATTACTTTCACTCTTGCACTTTGTGAGGACGAAGGGTGATTGCTCCTGAGCAAAATATTACTTTCGCTCTTGCACTTTGTGAGGGTGCATCCCATCGTAGTAACCTGGCATTTGCATTACTATGCTGAGGGTCTAGACCTACCAGAGCCCTAAAAAATGTGACCAGTGCTCCTGAGCAAAATATTACTTTCGCTCTTGCACTTTGTGAAGGGGGTGCATACCATCGTAGTAACTGGCGCTGTGGGCGGGTCTAGACCTGAAAAATAAAGTGCAACGTCAATGCACATCAGAAATGTTACAGAGTCAGCAAAATGAACTCGGAGCCAGAAAATGAAATGACCAAATGAACTCGGAGCCAGAAAATAAATTTCACTCACCAACCATGCCTCACAGCTGCGAATTCTGTGGCAAGGATTTCCCGTCAAGAGGAGGTGTCAAGAGGCATATATCCACCCGCCCTGAATGCAAACGAAAGTGGGAGTTACTGATTGAAGAAAAAAATGATGAAGGTGACCCCCCACCGGTGGACTCAATGTTTTCCCCACTTCGCCACTTGCGCTCAGACTCTTTCAATCCTTTCAATCCCGAGGAAGACAATCCAGCACCATCAAAAAGTTGGTGGGTAACTGTGGAGGACGTTGCCAATGAAGAAGATAACGGGCGATTGTTACAGTCAAGTACACCCCTATTCATTTTCTTTCTCTTACATCATTGTATTACATCACGATCGCATCTTGCCGTCGTTAGATGATCTATTTTCGTTATCTCTGACTCATCCCTATGATCTCATCGTACCGGCCCTAAAGTCGTTTCCATGTACTATATAAACTCGTCCTGTACCATGTAGTTCTTTACTTTAATCTTACTAGGTTTTACCTGGAACTTCCTTCGCTTAAGACCTCCAATCTTAAGTCGTATTGAACTTGATTCAAGTCGAGGACACTCTCCTTGTCTTGTCTTAGAACATCGAACTTCAGGTATACGCCGAAGTCTTGAACCGACCTTGGCTGATTACTCTTATCGAGTAGCCATACGTCTGAACTATCCTAGTTCATAACAGTGATATTTTGAGGAATGTCCTGATGCTGGATGGACACTGCGGGAGGGGCAAACTGGCTTCAAAGAGTATCAGAAGGATAAGGAGAGCAAGGGTGAGGACAAGTGGGCTCCATTTTGTGATGAGTACATACCATGTTGTGTTTGCCACCTCTACGAGACAATTGACTTCAGTTGCCAGGGAAGAATGGGGACTCGCTGAGTGGCTCATTAGAAGCCTTGGGCAGACTCGAATGGACGAGTTTCTGAAGTTACCAATAGTGAGCTTGGCAGTGACCACTGAAAAACCAGTACTGACCATAGTGATAGACACAAAACCAAACACAGCCATCATTTCACAACAGCTGATCCTTCCTGCAGAAAGTTGATGAGCTTCCGCACGGACCTGCCTGGAATTGCAAGAAGGTCAACATTCAGGGAAATCGAATGGATGAGAACGGCAAGTTGTTGCACGAGGATGTTGAGCTTTGGATGTGTGACCCTGTGGAGTGCATCAAAGAACTTATTGGAAATCCTTTGTTCAACGGACATATGGCATACGCACCTGCACGAGCATACAAGGACCACAAAGGACTTCACTGAGTAATCGATGAGATGTGGACTGGAGATTGGTGGGGTGACAAGCAAGTAAGTACCCGGTCAAAAAGTCAAGCAAAGACGACAATTACTTACCTTCAATGTCCAAAAACAGCTCCTGAAAAGAGCGACCATAGCACCTGTCATCCTTGCGTCAGACAAGACATGTCTGTCGCAGTTCTGAGGTGACAAATCAGTGTGGCCTGTATACCTCTCAATCGGCAACATTGCAAAAGAGAAAAGGAGGCAGGTGTCAGCACGAGCAACAGTCTTGATTGGGTACTTGCCTGCAGGAAAGCTTGAATGCTTTACATCAGACGCACGCTCCCTCGCTGGTTACCGACTCTTCCACCACTGTATGTCCCTCCTCCTCCAACCACTCATTGCTGCAGGGCAAAACGGTGTTGAAATGGTATGTGCCGACTCGATGATCCGTCGAGTATACCCGATCCTTGCGGCTTATGTGGTGGATTTTCCGGAATCTCATTGTGTACTGCAAAGAGAACCGGTGCCCGAAGTGTCTGGTCCCAGCGGATGAAAGAGGTGATCCACTGAGTTCATTGATGTGGGACTCTCAGTTGACAAAAGAGGTGCTAGAGAGGTGGAAAAATGGTCAGCATCCGGCTGAATTTGACAGCCATGGACTACGCGCCATCTACAATCCGTTTTGGGCTAAGCTCTTGCACACCGACATTTTCCTTGCCTTCACGCCAGACCTCCTACACCAGCTCCACAAGGGTATCTTCAAAGATCACTTGGTCAAGTGGTGTCTTGAAATAATCGGTGAGGACGAAATGGATGCGCACTTCAAGGCAATACCGGATTATCCTGGTCTTCGGCACTTCAAAAAAGGGATATTTGCGGTGAAACAATGGACGGGCACAGACACAAACAGATGCAGCGTGTTTTTGTAGGGTTACTTGCTGGTGCGGTGTGAAAGAGCAATAGCGACTAGGCTGGTTAGAAACTAGCGCTACTTATCCAAATAGGCACGAGTGTAGTATTCAACCCAAGAGGACTGCTATTGAAGCAACTCCCTTCAAATATGCAAGGGTAGCGATGATGCAAAGGGCTAATAACCTATAGCGACCTAAGACCAAAAAAAAACCAATGAGTAGTGTTGTAGCGATCAGCGACTAGCGACAAGTGAGTTCCGACAGAGAAACGTGCATATAAGTGAGGAGTGCTATGCAAGTTGTCCTATGCGATAGCGCTATGCGACGTCCGACTAGCGACAGCAAGAAGAAATCAAAAGAAGGGAAAGCGAGGAATAAGGTATGATAGTGCAAGTGGAATGCCCGATAGCAACTAGATTATAGCTCGACTACCGATAGCGATCCCGACATTGCGAAAATCAAACTTATGAGGGAACTTTAGCGACGCGCACTCAAAGCAAGTCAAGCGACACGCGATCAGAGAGATTGGCAAGAGCGGAATCGATTGCACCAAAACTAGGATATAGCGACTAAAGTGACTCCGACACCAGCAAAGGTCCGGGGAAGGGAAGTACTGTACTGTATGTGCGACGGGTCATTTTATCATACTGCGTAAAAGTTCGGGAATGCGTAGGTGAGAATAGTAGCGACACTGGCGAAGGCACGATGTAGTGACAGGTAATAAGACATGCAGCGCAGCGGAACACGAGGATGCATGTAATAAGACCTGCAACTGATGAGTAGCGACATTTAAGGAAAAATAACGCACCAGTGGAGGTAGGTGGACATAGGCAGGACATGGGAGGATGGAATACCTAGGCATCGGGCCAGGCAGTGCGCTATGGGAGAAAAGCAGTTCCAAAGCGGATAGCTTGGAAGTTGAATAGTGCTGATGACTAGCGCCTTACTCTTTTCCTTTATGCAAGGCAAAATATGCCTATGGCACTCATACGCGCCTAGCGCTGGTATGATTGTCACAGCGGTCCCAAGGTAAGCTTCAAGACATGCTTAACAAAATTTGCACCGACAGAATCAATTACAAGTCAAGTGTTGGTAGTTGCAAGAGCTATTGTAGATTTTTCCTATTATGCACAGCTCCGAATACACACAGTTGACTCCCTCGATCGTCTGGAGAGCGCACTTTTGGTATTCCACACAAATAAGGATGTCCTGTGCGAACTTGAAGTTTGTGAACATTTCAATTTTCCAAAATTACACCAACTCTCGCACTACGTCCGGTCAATCTCATTGTTTGGTGCCACTGATGGTTTCAACACTGAGCTTCCAGAACGGCTACATATCGACTTCACTAAAGAAGCTTATCGTGCTAGCAACAAGCGCAATTATGAAGAACAGATGGCCCTTTGGCTTCAGTGTCAGGAGGTGGTGTTTTTGCACAGTTCTTATCTTGGATGGCTGTCAGTACAGTCTCTGTCAGTCACCATGGCCAGTCACACAGACTGTGAGTATAGTGAGGACTCAGGCTCAGATTCTGACCTGGAAGACTTGCAATTCGAGTCATGCACTGGTACCATTGCCGCCACAAAGCATCACATTGTCCATGTCCTTGCCAAGACTCCTGCACACCCTCGGCAGTCCATTCAACAGCTCATCACCACTCATGGTGCAGTGACGTTTCTCCCAGCCCTCAAACTCTTCCTGGACAAGTATATGCTGGGCAATAACATTGTCCCTGGTCCACAAGATCATTTCAATGTTTTTCGACAGGTTGTGATTATTGCTCCAGCCGGATCCATGGGTAGATGAATCACCATGGCGGTGGCGCATTAGAGCGACACCTGAAGTACCTCCTGGTCCTGGCTGGAAGCCTGGGTCCCCTTCCAGGTTCAATATGGCCCTGACAAGCAACGGTGTTCGGACCATGAATGTGCACACGTTAGATGGTAAGTGTTTGTTATTTGATGCTGTCATAAAATTGACATGGAGACTGTAGGTGTGCGAGTGGGACAGGTCTGTGTTATATTCACTCTGCCTTGTCAGTTTGGGACATACTCTCAACCTTTGGCTTATATCAAGTAGTTCACGCCATTTAGGGAGCCGGACCCCTTCTCTGGCCTGCATCGGAATGCAGCCATGATACATGTCGACAGATTTATTTGTCCCTGTCACCTAATCCCAAAGATGGGACAATCCGTCAACCCTGGGTGGACGAGTGCAAACATGTATGAGTTGGCAAGCAATTTCTACTTGAATATATTTATTGACCTCAATATGTTCTGTATTTCTGCTATGATTACTTAGATATACTACAGCGCTCCATACTACTACAATGTACTACAGAAATGATCATCTGCTACAGTTACTCCTGGAGCCTCCCATAGCGCTACATAGCCGTGGTTTTGGCTACATAGAACTATAGAGGCGCCTGGTTAACTACATAGAACTACAGTGGCTACATAGTACTATGTAGCTGTCACTGGGACTCCCATGATTTTAGGTTTTTCCTGATGTTCATCAGTGAATCCATGGACAAATTATAAGGTCATATATAACAATATATAGGACATAATCACAAGAATCAACATAAATCTGCTATCGTTCATGATATTGTCATGTTTGGCCTTATAGAGGAAACAAGATGTCCTGATCTTGTTATGAAAGTTTACCATTGAGAAAAGGTCCAGACACTAATCAAACTTGGCGTTTAAGGGAAGGAGGAGCAACAGGACATGTTTAAGACACATGGTTCAAAAAGGTAATACCAGAAGGAAGGGTCACAATTTTGCAGTCAAAAATAAATGCCTGTATCTTCCAGATGCCTAGGACTTCTTTATGCAGGCACCAAGCGTAAAAGAATGTCCTGTTTAAAATATCAGCATAGTTCTCTCTAAATGGGAGGATTTTGTCATTTCTTATTTAATTTTTCATTACAGTATGAGACCTGTGTCATGCAGAAGCCAAGCAAGCGTTCAGTGTTTGGAGGAATCATACATTTATGTCTTGCTTTAGATCTCAACAAGGACTTCTGGTCAAAGCAAGAAATAACCTATGTATATCATGCTTTAAGACTCTGCAGAATTTTCTTTGTATGATCAGTGCCCTACAATATTATACCACTGGCCACTGAGAGCCAAGATGTTGGAGCTGTGCATCAACATGAAATAAGATTCTGGTTGTAATTTAAAAGGTATATTATATAAAGGTTCAATTGGCGTCCAACATATCACAATTGGAAATGGAGCCAAATAAGCTTAATCTTTGTGAACAAACCGAAATATTTTGTCCCATGCCATTGAAGTAAGAATTATATTTTGGTTGCAATGTAGCAGGTATATCGTTGAAATAATCAATTGAGGTCCTATATAGCTCAATTTGAAGGACATCCAAATTTTAATTGCTGCTGTGAATGAGCCAGTATATGCCCAGGAACATGAAATATATATATATATATTATTATTTGACATTATATTAGTATTTTTTCTAAATTCACGGTAGGTGGCATACAAATGAAAATTGCAAATATGCTAAGCTTTGCCCCTCCTGTTAGATCAACAGATATATGCTTAGCTATGAGGTAATCACATGCTTCCATGTAGTTCACCATATAGACTCTTTTTTATATAAATATCTAATGATTGCCAGTTCTACGCCAATGAAGGGGGTCTCTAACATCTTGGTCCTAAGCCCACACTGTATATTCATTTGCAACCATGAAGACATCAAGGATATTGTAGCAGAAAGCTGTAAATAAAGATAATCGCTAGACTATCACAAGTATTGTCATGGGGATGTTGATTTCAATATGTGATAATGTTAATTCTGTTTCATGAGATGACAGTTTTTTTGCGCTAATTCAAACAGGCACCAGGAAGTGTTGCTCTTGAAAAGATCTACAACCTTCACCAAACTGTGAGATTGCGTCACAGATGAACCTAAAAGTAGCTTGAATCATGTCATAGCAAACATTAATGACATCACAAGCAGTTATTTTTTGATAAGCAAATACTTCATCATAAGTGCTAGCACTATGCTAAAGAATGATGGAGGTGGCTTGAAAAAGAAGAAAAAGTAAAGACCTAGTTTGAATCAAATCCAGCATCTGTCATTTGCTCCCTCTGCCTTGCCAGAGCATTGACTGACATATGTGCTTTGCACGCATTGCTAATGTCATCACACCCTTGTCTGCCAAATACTTTCCTACATGCACAGATTAGTTGTGTTGATGCTTTAAGATAGGGTAAATAACACACCTGGTCCACCACTCGAGAAGGTGGTCAACCCTGCGTTGAGCAGATTGCCCAGGCACCTTTTCAAAGACATCAACTATGGTCCTCCAAAATTGTATGTAGTCAAAATCTCCATCTACTGATTGCCAGGAGGTGACAGAAGAGAGAGCAAATCTTGCCTGAGGTTGGATTTATATTGAGATCTGAGCAAAGAAAGCTCAAAATATTACTTACTTGACAAGCTATATACGCAATGGAGCGAGGTGTTACTTTCTTCATCTTGATGATATGAGTAACATGTTTCTTGACTTTGAGTCTGTGGTGACTCTTCTGGGCCCTTCTGTTGTTAGCACTGATATCTGCACCATCACCATCACCCTCAACGTCCTTGGCAGAGGAGGGAGAGGTAAACACAGCTTTGTAGGCCTATGAAAGTAGTGAGTTTGATTTTAGGACAGTACATTACTACAAACCTTAACCAGTATTCCCCCCTTGAAAAGACCCTCCTCCAGATTATCAGCACTAGCTGTATACTTTTCATAGAGAAAGGTAGGAAACGAGAGATCAGTTACAATATATCCATCTGAGTGATTTCTTATTCCTGCCTTGACGCTAGTAACCTGTTAGTGTTGAGAGAGTTCCAAGGCATAATACTACCTTACCCCGGTTCATTCCAATCAAGTTCAGCAGGACAGAGTAGTCTACCACAAGCATCATTGATAAAGCCTCAATGATGTTTATCATTGCCATCAATTCTTGGAGCTGGCATTGATTCCATATTGACCCATTCTGAAACAAGGGCCTTTAGCTTAGCAGTATTGTCACCTCTGGCCATATCAGCCCCCTGCCTAAGCTAAAGAAAAGCGTCACAAATAAGTGAATGATTTTCTCTCACAACAAAGCACTCACTGTTTTTAACATGTGACTATAATCATCATATTCCATCCCTTCAGCCTTCTTTTGGAACCAAGGAAAGGTGATGTTCAGGGCGACATATCCTAGCTGGAGGTGATCCTGACTGCATAAAGAGCCTCATGAGTCAAGCTATGCTGAGAAGAAAGAATAAAAACTGACTCCTGTGTACTGCCGTCCTCTTCATACCTTCTGTCGTTCTCAGTAATGAGGTCCTCCACATTATCATACAAAGCCACCACACATCATATTGCCCTTCCTTAAGCTATGAAATGGTTTGTCTGCCTAAAGGATTATCCTAGTAAGCAAAGCCAATTTGATTTGGAGTCAAACATCACTTTGAAGGCGTCACAACTCATACCTGTCTTTCATGGCTCGCCCTGACTCAAGAGTCTCCAGCTTCTGCTCAAGCTGAGCAATTCTCCTGCACTGTCAAGCCTCTCTGGCTGTTGGTGTATCTTTGGACACCTATGTGGACACTAACCTTGTAGTGTCCGAGTCTTGACTGGGAGATGGTTCCAAGGACTGACGAAGGAGATCTTCGCTGTCAACATTAGGCCAGTTGATATCTGTCTGGGACATTGAGACAGGGAGAAGAGAAAAAGTCAGTTAAGTATGTGTAGCAAGATGGGACAAAGTGTGCATTCAGGTTTAGCACGACCTAGCTCTGTTTTATATGATGTATCGCCTATTCACAGCTGCCTGAAAAGGACCCCAGGAAAAGTGAAAGACTACCATATTAAGCACAAGTTGTGAGTACCAAATAAGGCTGCAATTTCTACGACCTATACCAAATTGGTCAGAGGCATTCTCAGCGCGACGCAACAACCTACTCTAAACATTCTGATGAGAAGGGACTTGATGTGCTAGTAGAGCTATGCAGCAACTGGGAAGCACTGCAAGCTCAGTGCCTAAGGGGCATATTCAAGCCGTCCTTCTGTGACTATCTGTGAAGAAGCGTGTGACAAATGAACATTTAGCGAAGATCAGCTCTTGCTGCGGCAGGATGGTACCTAGCTGCACATGGTTGGTTGGGTGCAAAAATGTGCTGTAAGGTGAGGGGAGGCCATATTAATGTGACAGTTTAGTGTGCGAGTAGGGAATGAGGCTTGTACCTGAATTCTAGAGCACCAAGTACCTTGGTCTGTGTCGCCGCTTTTGACCCTGAGTTGGCTACAGTTGCAAAATGTGTACAAGCAGTCGCTGTACTGAAGCCTGCGTTATAAGAAGCAGTAGCCTGTATGTACATAGATCAATCCAAAAACTTACCTAGATCTAGGAGCACAAGGATTAAAGAGCATTTGCTGGATTGCTAACAAATCTTCAAGTTGATAATGGAACAGTGGAATGATGGCCACCAGCTCAGGGCTGAAGGGATCTCTGAGCGAAGTCATGGATTTGGATTTCTCGGTAGTTGAAGGCAAGGCCCACTAAGACATTTATCAGAGGCTATCACAATGTGGCGGCAACAGAGCGTGGATTTGGGTTCAGCTCACCTCAATTCAATCTACTCCCTGTCCTGTCTCTGGCTCCTAGCCCATCATCCTAAGGCACAGCGACTGAATATTTGCAACATTGGCAATTGTTCATATGGCCTGGAGAGCGTTTGTGAGCGTCCCAGGGTACTGATATGCAAAACTTACTAAGTGGCAGGCAAAATGGATTAAGATGGCGATGACAGTATGGGATGGTCATTGAGGAAGGGAAACCAAAAGTAGAATAGTGATTGCAACCTGCTAGGCGGGCGAAGCATTGTAGTAACAGTGTTGCAAAGATACAAGATTCAGTGGCATATGCGGCTATCTTGGCAAGCGCCCACTTCACCCTGCATGGCTGCATACCGTGCTAAACGATCCATTTAGAACCTTAGGCTGGGCCTGCCGATCAACTTGAAGGGTTGACTCAATGTTTGACTCATCTTATCATCACCTCTCACCATGATGGCCTTGGAGTTCAAGTTGGACCTAGTTCAACATTACTCGATGTTTGCAGGGGAGAATCACCTGCCATGGCTCTATGGGACTGCAGGAAAGTTGGTGCTCATTACTGTCTCGCACGACAGTAATGAGCTCATACTATCAGATTTCACAGGCTGAACATCCTTCACTCATGGCATCACCTGGCCCAGGAACGATCAAGTATCTTGAAGTGACAGACTCAGATCTTTCTCTCCTTCGCGTTGCGCTAGAACAGGTTTCTGATCAGAATAACCATGACCAGGCCAGCATCCAGCCCTTACTTGATAGGATATCTTACAGCTTAAGTTCTTCACCTTCAAGTCATCCTGACATGGCTCATATAACTATTAGGGGTGTGTAGATACTTCTTGCATCACACTACATTATCATGAGCTGACCATGGTGTTATGCCAACCCTGCGGCCTCATCATGATGCTCAGACAATCATGATACTGAATTACTAGTTACCACTTCCTGTAACCACCTGAATGTCAATGAAGATAACATGGAAATGCCTAGCCATCATGCTGTTGACACAGCCATGTCCCTACTGCAGTGAGTTCATTCTCTTTTAAATTATTGTTGCTAGGTCATGATTTGTTTGTTCCTGTACTAGTACGCACCCCAATTATATGACCTATATTGCCAGCAAAGAGGCGGACATATTTCCTATATCTGCCAGTGAGTCTTCACAGTAAGTCTATCCCACATATTTGCTCTTTGATTTGACCCTGATTTCCTTAGGGCCGCCAACGAACAATACATCCTTGACTTCTTGAATGCCAGCATCTCTGTTGATCAGATATGAGGTCTGATGTCCGGTTGCCCAAGTTTGATGATTCAAATTCCAGTGATTCAGACTATGAGGCCCATCCACCCTCCACAGGCTACATATGCAGGGCAAAGTTGACCAAGCTTCAGCAGTCAAAGTCAACATCCCTACGGTCGCAAACATATTGGGAACTGCAATGATGCCGACACCCCCTCTGGAGATGTTGCTACCCACACTGGGCAAGTCTCACATGCTCCGATCCCTGTTGTCCAGTCCTGACCCCACATGCCCTCGCAATGGACAGCACTTGGCTCCAAGTGCTACATGGTATGAACAGGCTCGTTCCTGCAAGCCAAAGGATATGACTGCTCAGTGCACTCATAGGGACACTCTCCAGTGCCAGTATAGAATCCACTTCACCATCTTCTAATGTTTGTTCGTGGGCCGCAGACATCCTGTCTTACCTGGAAGACTCCAACAGCATCAAGTTAGGAGGAGGTTCATTAATGGAAGATGTAATATCATCCTGTCAAGCAATTTCATAGCAGCACACTGGTTTCAGCTTCGTCATAATGGTTGCTCATATGCAACTAGCAATTGTGTGTCAAAGGTGTGTACAATACTTGAGCGTTTCCCTTCTGTATCAATTGATTTTGATTGGGTATCACAGTATTATTAGGGATTCCAATGATACTACTTCTGGCGAAAAGACAACCATTATCAAGGTGTATCAAAAATATGTCGCCAAGCTCAGGAATCCACCAGTGGAACACTCTTTCTACCGATGGTATTCAACAGGTTAGTAGGTACATCGGTCTAGTGGCTGGGAGGTCATTCTATATTCTTGTTCTTGCTGCTGGACTAGAGCTGCGCAAGACAATAGCTGAAGTTGGGGGTCATATTTTTGCTGAAGTTGGTCAGATGCTGAGGCAGCCTGAGACCAGCTGTGAGTGTGTTGTGTTTGTGTCATGTGTAAACTTGAAAACAGCCTTCACAGTGACACCAACATTGATAACAGGTTCCATAATCCCCACCATTGCCTGGATTAGATTGAGAATGCCCATGTTTTTGGAAATTTTATTTTGCCCTTCGTTTATTGAGCGCCACTGGTGTTGGAGAGATATTGGACTGTACTAATATGTCCCTCACTGATAATTTTTTTGGCGCATTCCAGCAAAAGTAGGTCCATTTAACACTTTTACCATAACTGTATCGCTCACATCTCTTCAGCACTTATTCTCTTCCTGCCAGGAATGTGGCAGCTTGGAGCAGCTGCTCTTCACTGGTCACGTGGCCCCACATCATTATGTGCTGAGAAGGTAACATTGGCAGTTCCTTACGGCCTGCCCTCCATACCTTGGAACATTTGCTTCCTCCTGTACCCAGGACACCATGCATTTTTGTTATCAAAACATCATTCAGACATGATCACAGTAACAACAAGTGTTTTCCGCAAAGACTGATAGGAGGGAAAATGCTGCTTGGACGGAGGGTGAGAGGACAAAAGCAGAGGCAGGTTACGTTGTCAAGGATGTTGAGGACCTATGCAAGATGGTTTGTGAGCTCATGGACTCTGTGTTGCCTCAGTCTCACCATCCTCCTGCTAAGCTGGACAATATTTATGTAGATGGCTGTCGAAAAATGGAAGACAATACCTATCTACAAATTTCAATGGATGTTCTTCAAGGGCGAGTTAATCTTTCTCTTCTACATAATGAATAACGTTGAACTTGTCCTGTTTTTAGAGGAGAGCTCGAGTTGCACAATTCTGATGATAGTCTCATGCTCTTTGCCTGTTCATCTCTACCTGACCAAATTCGTCAGAACCTCTGCAGCTCCTTACTTGCTTGCTTTGACGGAAATGATGTTTTGGTTGATCAAAAACTAGACGAGGACTTTCACAACCAAGACGTATCACAACCACAGACAAATCCTTCAACTACTACCTTCAGTTTAGAGCCGGTGGTAGAAAGTATTCTTCAACGCCCTTTTCAGTGTCTTCACTTTTCCCTTTGGAATCGATATATAACTAATGTGAGTCCTTGTAACTAATGAACTTTAAAATGAAATGTTGAATCAAACAGGGAGACAATGCTCCAACTCATATTCATCCCCATGATATGGCTAGATTAGATGTCAGTCGCACTAACTACTCGCAGCATTTGCCCTACCCATCAAGGGATGTCCTTCAGCATCAGCAACTCTATAGGAATATTCAAAGTTCATTTGAAGAACTCTTCCAGTGGATAGAGCAGGTTGTGAGTTGAATAGTGATGTAGCTACTTGATTTCAAATACAAACTAACGTTTATTCTACCTTGCATGTAGATAAAGAAGTAACTCACTCAAGATCTGCTAGGAGGATATGTATGGCCTGTATCCCCATTTCTTTCCCTTGTGGTCAATCTTAATGTGTCCACAATGGGACATTGCGACAGGTTTGATAAAGATCTGTGTCTGGTACTACCCATAGGGGAATTTACAGGTGGGGCTTTGGCAATGTTTGAGCAGAGACTGGTTGTGGAGCTCAGAAACAGGTGACTTCATGCTATTCCAATCAGCTAATACAACACACTTGAAATTACGGTATGAGGGCAAGAGGGCCTCATTAGTCTGTCATACAGACAGAGGCTTTGAACAGTGGAAGGAAGGGTGAAATGGATGGGGATCCAATAATCACATCAATTAAAACAAAGTACAACTATAGAACGTGCAGCCTAACATGACATACTACTTACTGCCATGCTTCCAAAGTTAGTTCAACCAATAAACATCCCTTTGCACGCATTATTCTGGTTAAACTCACTCCTTGTCTCCTCAGTGCTAGCCCGTGTGCGTTGATGAACAACCTATGCGCAGTATCTGGGAACTCATTTGGATCATCCTTCTATTGATGGTGTCTTGTGGCGCTGTTGGTTGCTCCTGGGAGCGGAAGACAGATGCAAGAGGCCTCAGCAGGCACCGTACAAGTTGTCATTTCTACAAGACATCTAGTGTTCTTGCCAGCCTCAAGAAGCAAGAACGTGCAAAGGAGGCAGTAGTTGCAAATTTGGCAGGAAAAGCTTTCGCAGATGAACCACATGTTAGTAACGATGACCTTACAATATCATATGTTTCTAATTCTAAATCCTAACAACTCAACCCTCAGAGAAACTCACTGGCTAGGCTTGGAGTGTGTGGACCCAGACCTATAGCACCCTGCACTGCCCTACTAGCACACACTGCAGGTCGCACCATGGGCTTTGCTTTCCCCACTCCAAGTTCAGTCATGATGGAGACTCCACTTCAGGGACGCAGATGTAACAAGATGTTGAGGTTGAGATGCAAAATGAGAAGGATAATGAAGTCAGATATGCATATGACAATGATCATGATGCCTTTGTTTCAGGTTAGTACTATATCTCTTTGGTAGCAGCTGGTGCAGACAGTCATCTTTCTATCATGGTTCATTAATCATTACACTGTTCAGGTGACCTGGAACCCCTGCGTTCTGCTAGGCGATTTCCAAGACGTTTCATAGATACCCTGCCTTTGGACAATGATCTCAATCACTCAGATCACGCCGATGCTCCCCCCACTCCAAGTCCCCCTGCCCAATACAGAATTAAATGTGTCCTTTCGACTCTTAGAGATACACTCCAAACCTCCTTCAACTCATTTGGACTCTCTCGCCTATATTGTCGCCACCCCTCATTTGAGCCAGACAAGTTCATTCAGTCATCACTACTTGCCACAACATCTCCAACCGCCATTCAAGCACATGAGTCTGATTCATCTCCAATAATATTGGGCCCACCTTACCCCTTTCCCAACATGACCATATACCGTCTCATGTCTTGGGTGAATACTGGCACCAATCTTACATCGGAATCTAAAGTTGCAAGCCTAGTCAAAGATGTGATGTTGGCTGAGGATTTTGATCAAAAACACCTTGAGAAGTTCTCGGTGAAGCAAAGTTTACAACATCTGGATAAGGACTCTGATGAGAAGGAGGACAGGATCACATTTCCAGATGACTGGATTGAAACCAGCATCACCATCAGCATACCTACCAAATCTAAGGAAGATGGCGCAAGGCCTTACACTATTCCAGGTTCCATTTTTGTCCTCTTGTTGAAGCAATTCGCGCTGCTTTCTCCGACATCCAAGCTGGAGCTTTCCACCTTTTACCCTTCAAACACCTCTGGAAAGATCCCCTGGACGATCATCAAGAGCGCATATATGACGAGCTGTATATGTCCGATGCTTGGCTGGATGCTCAGGATAGTATTCAGAAGCTTCCAAGAGAACCCGGGTGTTCTTTAGAACATGTCATTGCAGGCCTGATGTTCTTTTCTGATGCTACGCATCTTGCAAACTTTGGTACTGCAAAGGCCTGGCCTCTTTACATGTATTTTGGAAATCTTACAAAATATGTTCAAACGTCACCAACATCAGGGGCATGTCACCTTGTCGGATTTTTGCCTTCAGTGAGCCCTTCTGTCGCTAGCAATGGCATATTGTTGTATCATTATTAACTTGATTGCTATCACAGCTTCCTGATAGTATCAAGGATATTCTGAGCAGCTTACCACATATATCAAAAACTGGAATGTCCTCCCTTCAAACCCACTGCCGCAGGGAGCTATTTCAAGCATGCTGGGAAATTCAGTTAGATGAAGACTTTTGTTATGCCTATCACCATGGGATTATTCTGAAGTGTGCAGATGGAGTACTACAACGTGTATTCCCCAGAATATTTACTTATTCAGCTGATTACCCAGAGAAGTATGATACATCCTTTGATATTCACATGTTCAAATTCTAATATACGCATTTGCAGAGTCTTACTTACTAATATGTGGTTAACACGGTGTAGAGGCTTGTGCCCCTACAGCCACATATGGCCTATATCACGGCTCGTGTCACCAAGCCATTGCCAGTCCCATCCCATCACTGCACAACATCATCCCTAGTCATTCCCTATAGAGCGCACCGCTTTCCCGTGCTAGCCGCAAGGCGCGCTGTCTTAATAACCGAGGGTCTTATATAAATATGTGTAAGAATGTAATGACACCACAATTACACTGGATAAGACTTCTTGCCAGTCCTCGATTAACACGGTCTACGACTTTTCTTCTTTCGTGGTAGATAACGTGTGAGTTCTTGGGAGGCTCGCTAAACCAATCAGTCAGATTAACTTAGCCGGAGCTTTATTATCTCTGATTGAAACTATGGGATTGTCTAGGATATACCGTCTAGACACTTGAACTGGTTTCCTGAATATATGGTTAACTGTTGAGAAGCTGGTCTCAAATGTGACTACGTGGACCAAAGCTCGTGTTGGTCAATATACAAATACCTGGTGAGAATGCTGGTCTCACAAATAACAACAAATGACAAATAGAAAACAATGACAAATAACAACAATGACCAAAGCTCGTGTTGGTCAGTATACAAATACCTGGTGAGAATGCTGGTCTCACAAATAACAACGATGACCAAAGCTCGTGTTGGTCAGTAAACACTACGTGGTGAGAACACTGGTCTCACAAAACTGGGTTTCTATCGCGAGAAACTTACGTAATCTCAAGGGAAACACTTTCCCTGCACTTGTCTGGACAGTTCTTACAAAGGAAATGGGCTTTGTAAGCAGCAATTTGTTCAGACTGAAGCTTCTTAGGTGAGAGTTCAATTTGCTCAAGTGGGAGTTCTTGAATGCAACAAGTGGGAGATCTATTTTTTTGGGGGAGAATGGGCTCTCCTTATATACATTTTGTGTGGGAATATTATGTAAGTAAAATGGTGATGTAATGATTTCAGAATGTGAGAAGAATATTCCAAAAACTGGAGCAGAATGTTCTAGCAGGTGCAAAAGAACATTCCAGAATATTCATGGTGGGATAATGACATCATTCTGAGTCACTATGAGTCACTATGAGTCATTATGAGTCATTGGAATTTCTAGCAAATTCCATGGAACATGACATCATTATGACATCACTATGATATCATATCTTTCAACCAAAGTACCTGCAGGAGTGTAGGTGAAGTCCTATGACATCATTATGACATCATACCCTGTAGGTACAATTTTATGAAGCATCTGATTAGTCAGAGCATCCTAATAGAAAAGTAAAGTAAAGAAACACTAGAGAAAACAACTCAGAAATAATGGAACAAATAATAGTACACAATACGTGGGCTTTTTAGATACATTTTTGTTAGGCTTTGAACTTTTCTCTATGGGTTTCTCTAGCCAAAGTGAATAAGCCAAATGAAAGGCAATACCTTAACCTTCATTTTGCTTCTCATATCAACTAGGTCATTATGTGATTCCCATCTCACATATGACTTTTCTTCAAAACATGGTGGATTCATGAATCACTGAGGGAAAACTGAAACTATTGGACCAAGGTTTGATACCAAGGTATGGGTTGACTAGTCTGAGGACTAAGCTAACAGACTTTGTCTTTTAGGGGGATACCTAGTAGTCATGTCCATGCATGATTCCCAAATCATGCAGGACAACGTTTGTTCACACCAGTCACCGATACATGCATCACACGTGGCTCCCCTTGGTGGGACACTTTTAGGTGCTTAGGCCCTAATCCACGACCGTCCACTGTTAGCTTGTGCATCTTGGTCCCTGAACAATCAAGGGTGCCCTGGGAAAACTCAACTTTTGACCTTTACAGGTGGTTCCATGCTGCACGTCGTCTATGACATTTTCTATTCAAAGGGCTTGTGCTCCTTCTCTCATTCAAATGCTTGCTTCAATATTGACACCATACAAGAATAATCATGGCACACCTGGGAGCCATTTGTGTTTGAAGATGCCAACAACAATTTCCACTTCCACTTCCCATTCCACCCCATACTCGAACTCATTCCATTCTGAGGATGAACGAACATTCACACCACAATTCTCACCATCTGCCTTCTTTCCTGCCATAGACAAGTTCTGCGCTGGGACGGAAGACACAAACCCAGACACCTGGCACAATGACGAAGCACTGCTATATGGCGAAGCAGTCTCCAGCACCCAAAACAATGTTTGACAAGTGCATCTTACCCAGTCACGTCCATCCCACTGCCTACTGAAACCCTCTTTTAGCAGAAATGCATCTTTCCTCCACAGACTCCTCTCCCATCGTCTCCCTTGCCACAGTACAATTGGCAGGGTGCAGCAGAGGTGGTAACGTGTAATGCCTACCTTGCAGCTGATGACACCCTCCACGCATGACTAGATGGTTGGAGGGAGGATTACATAAGTATTTGTGAGGTGGAGTCACATCGATGCATATGAGGAGTATGTCGTGTTGTCTTGGACTACAGTCCCCGACTCCCATGTTAGTGGAGGAGGGCTCGTGTTGAATTCAAACATATTCCCATCTCCCAAAACCTCTGCTGACTCTATCCACTTTCATTGGGCTTTCTCGTAGTATTTTCTATCACTAAGCTACATATGGACGTGACAAACTCAACGCCAACAAATTTGTTTGGACCACATTTGTTGACCGTCCTGTCATGAAAATGTTCTTGTGACCTCTGGCTTCGACCTCTGGCATCGTCTATACTACGACATCCAAAATGCCTCCCTTTCCAGACCACAAAGAAAGCACTTATGCTGATGTTCTCATCTTTATTCTCAGAAATGCCACTATCATCAGTCATTCAGTAACCCTTGTCACTTTGTCCAATGTCAGATGCATTCGGTCGTAGCACAAACTAGAGGTGTCAGGCAGGCCGACTCTGCCCTCAAGTGATCTGCCACTTAGGTGACCACCATAGGCCCAAACTTGAATGACAATCGAGGTGCCAACTTGTCAAAGATTTTTTCAGACTACTCAAAGCGATTGGACAAGGCTACTCCAGTGGCAGTGGAAGTCCTGTTGCGACTATCAGTCCCTTCATCGAAAGTCTCGGGCATTTGGCTGACTTACAGACAGTTGGACTTTTGGTCCTGAGAATGAACGTCCCACGGGTTCATGCATCTACCAGACGACTTTGAAATCTCTGCATGTCCTGCCATTGACAGAGAGAAAGGCTGGGTTGCCCAAGAGCATTGACGCTCCCATAGACCCAAAAGGTAAACGGAAGGCTAATAGTTCTCTACTAGTCCAAGGAGGTCCAAGGAGGAGGTCTGCTAAGACAGCAGCGTCGTCTGCATTCTGGAGTATTTGGGTATCATCTAATGATGTCAGATGTACTAGGCGTGGTTAAAGAGGCTGCCTCCTTCAGGCACTCAACTGTCCGTGAGCTTTCTGGTTTGGTAGTATCCTGGTATCTTTGAATGTTTGTATTTTGGCCCTTTATATACAGCTTGATATACTCAATGTTAAGCCTGCAAATGGGAACTGTGAGTGAAGATAATGGTTCGAGTTTCGAGTTTCATGTGAAAATGGAGTCAGGGACTGGGCGCGTAGGTGCTGTTACAATCTGTAACTGGCGGCTCGCCCGCCCCTATGATGGTGTATGTAATACAGCAGGCAGACAGAGCACCAGGTGCACGCTGATCGGAAACTCAGAAACTCCCGCCAAGGAGCGGTATTGAGTCTGCCAGTCCTCATACAGATTGGATGTCCTCCGCTTTTCCACCACCTTTACTACTTCAGAGGAAATTTGGACAAAATGCAGGGTCTTCTGCATGTACAATTTAATGAATGTGCCTTGCAACCTCTCACATACAACGCTCAAATTTCACAGTTATAGATATGATGTCACATGCTATAAAGGCTTCTCAATCAAACATACATGAGTGACAATGAGAATCCTGAACTACCGCTACATAATTACTCTAACGTACCTTGAGGACCAACATTGAGCAATGCATGAAGTTGTTCTTTAACTTGGCGCTAATCTAGATTTGATGACAAGTCTCAAAGCTATTTGTCATCACAAAGTCCTAAATGTGCTTATAAATCAAGTCATAAATAAGGGCAAATACAAAAGCTCACCAAACAAAGAGAAATTACCCCATCATCCCTTTTAGGCTGCTGTTGCCCGATGTCACAACCTAGTCATAAGTTCCAAAGGTAATATAAAGTTGGCGACCGTTGATAACACTACTTTCCATGAGAAAGCCATTAATACTGTTGTAATTACAAACATGGATGAGCACAAATGAGAATGCTTAACAATTGCAATAAAATTGTGCTATTATTTCTGCTTGCTTGAGACGTTGTGATAACAAAAAAGCTTCATGAATGCCTCATGGTAGTCTAGATTTGCAGCTACAGCAGACCTATGTATTTATAACGCAAAATTATTCAAATATAAATATCCATATTTGGAAGGAGTAAAATTATATCATTCTATAATTGTCAAAGCCACAATAACAAGGACTCATGAATTCACTGATGTTACTCATGGAGTCTTTGGCTCGACCACCCGTGGTAGGGGATCCGCCCACTTCTGTTAGCAAACAACCTAAGCCGCGTAAACCAAAAAACAATAGTATCATTGCACGTTCTGTTTATCGTCCTCACGTTCTTGCCCGTGACCGTGTTCGCATCTGGTTCGCGCCTCATTCGTCCACTTTTCACACTTCCATTCTTGCACACCTTCCTCTTGACAATGTCATCAAACTTCTTGACGTGATGCTTATTTCCATCGAGGTTAAGACTCATGAAAACTACGGGGCAGGCCTTCTCAGGTTTCACCGGTACTGCAATTCAAGAAAAATTCCTGAGAGTCTTCGCATGCCCGCACCAGACCATCTACTGACTTCCTTCATTGCTTCTTGGGCCGGAAAGGTTGCTGGTTCCACAGTACAACACTGGCTCGCTGGTATACACTTCTGGCACAACATTCACGGAGCTCCTTGGCACGGTCGCACACTCCTGCGCACGGCAACTTCGGGCTTGAACAAGGTAGTCCCGCAATCGTCGAAGAGGCCCCGTCGTCCTCCAGTTACTTTGGAACATATGTACGCACTTTTTCGCCTTCTTGATCTTACCAATGCCTTTGATGCCTCCGTCTTCGCGGTCGCCGCTACCGCTTTTTGGTCTTGTTGCGCTGCTAACATAGTGGCATCCAGGGTTGACGACTCATCGAATCCAGTCTTGGCAATAGTTCATCACCTCTCTGCCAATACCTCCGTCCCCGGAATCGCGCCTTTCTTCGCCTTTGAGACAAATACCGGAGGGTGGGCGCCCATGACTCGTGTTTGGTTCTTGGACCGCTGCAACGAAATTTGGAGAGCCGCTGGACTACCTGAGCCCTCAGGACACTGCTTTAGAATCGGGGGAGCCACGGAACTTCTCCTAAGGGGCACACCTCCAGACGTCGTGGCCATGCAGGGCAGGTGGAAGTCGAGAGCTTTTCTAGAGTATTGGCGAAAGATTGATTCAATTCTCCCTATGTTTGTCACTTCGTCTCTTTCGGACTCACGTGTTGCTATGGTCCAGTCATCAATGAGTTCATTTTCCCGTCGTTACCAAGTAGTCACTTAATTTTGCACCCTTTATCCCTGTTGTGTACACGCTGTTGGCGTAATCGCATTCGTTGTTCTCGCATCCTCGATTTGGGGGGTCGGATCCATACGATACATTGATAAAGCTGCCTTCACATGCTTTTTGAAACTGTATCTCTTGTAATCATGGATTCTGTCTTAATCACTGCTGGTTTTGCAGCTCTAGCGATCGTCTATGGGGTGTACCGTCGATACTCTCATATCTCTTTGGCAGACGTTCCTGGCCCAGAGTCTGCATCGTTTATCATGGGTATGTCTATGATCTATTGCCGGATCCCTCCGCTGCTGATATGACCACCAGGGAATCTGAAAGAACTCTACCAAGGTCAGGCAGCGGATGCTGACTTCAAGTGGCAAGCTCAGTATGGGAATATCGTTCGGTTCAAGGGCTCTTTTGGCGTATGCAATGAAATCCACGCTTGCGGTATACATTTTCTGATCCTCCGCTGACTCATAGGAAGACCAATTGATGATTTCGGACCCGGCCGCCCTGCAATACATATTTGCAAAGTCAGCCCATCGGTTTCCCAAACCGCCTGATCGCCGCGTTCTCTCCCAGCTGATCAACGGAAAGGGGATTATCTGGGCGGAGGGTAGGTCTTTAGCCACCAAATCAAAACGTGGAATCTGTAGTTAACTTTCGAAGGTGACGATCACAAACGACACAGGAGAATAATGCTCCCTGGGTTCGGTGTGCCGGAGTCCAAAGCCTTCTTATTATCATTCAAGAACTGCGCCGAGTCTGTAGGCATCGAAGCCACTGAATACTCTCAACTCCCGTCAATAACGTAAATTCTCACAGATGAGCAACAAATGGACGGAGACCATCAATAACTCTAAGGAGGGGTCAGTGGTGTTCAATATTCCTGTCTGGCTGTCCCGCGCGACCTTAGATGCTATCGGTGAAGGTATATGCTATCCAGGGTGCACAAGCACCTTTTTCTCATATCCTTTTCAGCTGCTTTTGATGTCCGCTTCAGCTCCATTGACGATAATGAAAGCGCCCTCGCGCGCTCATACAGGAATATGATGTCAGTCTTGACTTTTGCCAAGCAATCTGGCTTTCCCTTGACTGATATGAGTTGAATTTGTAATAGGACTGACGTATTTGGATCCCCGTCAGATGGGGAGGTACTCTTTCAGGGGATTTCAAAGTATATCCCACGTCGAATTCTCGAATACTTCGTAGAGAAGGGCCAAAACCCACGTATCGTGCGCATGCGTGAGATGGGTAACTTGGCAACCTCTGTTGCAAAGCAGTTGGTGAAAGACAAGGCAGAGATGATATTGGGGGGCAAAGGCAGTCGAGATGTCTTTAGCTTACTTGGTGGGTCGTCGTTCTCAACAGCCTCATTCAGATCTAGGCCATCTAATTATAGCACAGTCAAAGCCAATATGGATGCAGATGCAAAGGCGAAGTTAACGGAAGAAGAGCTGTTTGCTCAGATGCGGTGGGTCCGTTCCGTTTGTCGTGATTGCACGGCTTTCCGATCACAGATTGTCACAATTACACAGTACTATCCTCCTCGCAGGTCATGAGACGACCTCGAACACTGTCAGTTGGGCACTTCTCGAGCTAGCCAGGCACCCTGAGATCCAATCCCGTCTCCGGGAAGACATATGGGAAACGGAAGCGGCTGTGCACGCACGCGGGGATGTCAACTTCACAATCGCTGATTTTGACGCTATGCCATATACTACTGCTGTGATGAAAGTGCGTAACGTGCTAACAATATTTGGGCTGTGGTAATATTGCGCTTGTTATTGTAGGAAGTTTTGAGATTTTGTCCTGTCACATATCATGCAAACCACCGATGCGCCAGCCAAGATGACGTCCTTCCGTTGTCACAGCCAATCACCACACGATCTGGGCACGTCATCCGTGAGCTACCAGTTCCGAAGGGTACCCGAATTGTTGCATCAATTGCAGCGTACAATCGGTATGAGGATTCACATAACGCCAACATACTTTCTTCTGACGGTGCGCTCATATCGGTTAGAAACAAGGAGCTCTGGGGCGAGGACGCGCACGTGTTCAATCCGGATAGATGGCTCAATGGCACAGCCAAAGAGAAGAAGGTGACGTCAATAGGAGTGTACTCCAATCTGTAAGCTTTGGTCTCTATCTTACAACACGTATGAACCCCAATTTTTTTCTAGAATGACATTCGGAGGAGGAGAGAGGTCGTGTATCGGATGGCGCTTCGCGTGAGTGTCAACGGCTTGTGTGGCAACGGTGGAGTGAATCTAATATGAATGTTCACTCAGGGTGATCGAAATTCAAGCCTTTCTTACGGAGATAGTTGGAAAGTTTGAGTTCGCTCCAACCGATAAAACCGAACTTATCCGGCGGGAAGCTTGCTTGTTGATGGTTCCAACAATGGAAGGTGAAGTTGAGAATGGTGTTCAACTGCCGTTGAGGGTTTCACTGGCACCACGCACTGGTAAGGGATGTTAAGCGTCGCTCCTTTTGCTTCCTGTGCCGAAGGCAGTGAGTAGAACGGGTGTTGGACTAGTAACTATCTCGGTGCCCAACGGTCACAGAATATTCGAAGATTAAAGCCATGCGTCATTGCCCAAGTTGGGCTGTACCTGATTCCTCTTGGCTCCTCAAGTTGCGAGTGTGCGGGACTCCATTGATCGACGTTATCAGATATTTACCTACCTTGATAATAATACATATGCTTCAATGAGACAAGCAAAATCTCGTACATACACTACTGAAGTTTTGATCATAAACCATGGTCTCAATGTGAACTTTACCTTGAGGTTCAATAGCTAGCTCGCAGTGTTAGGAGTGGGCCGGGAAAAATAAACATTGAAGCCCTCTTGCTGCAGTAAAAACGTGACTGAGCAGTCGCGGTTGAAAAAACCTGTTATTGAAACTCACGATAAGTTGCCAAGAAGGGCAAGACAGTCAGACATGGCGATTGGGAACGGATGGTTGCACTGACTCGGAGAACCAGGCCTATATGAACTTACGTAAGTTGCAATAAAAATATAGCCGTGTGGCCTTTAACACACATTCCTCACTGCCCAGACGGGATTATATTGAGTAGTCGCACTCATATCTTCTCATTGAACATCTGGATTCAAATAACTTTATGGACCGATGGTAAGTTGCTATTCCTGTGTACGCTACCTTGACAGCTCATGAGTGACATGATCCTCGAGACACATCATGACTATGTAGTTCTTCCGACGACGAGCGAGCCAAGGGAAGATGTCAACGAGGACGCCGACCTTATTCTAGAATCATTACTACGAGACAACAAGGGCGTCACGCTTGACACACCACATGGAGGCTCTCTAGTTGTTCATGAAGATGGCCATACCTATAACTATTCATACGGACCAAGCGGAATTCCAGGTCTAGTTCGCAATCGTTATGCTGTTGCGTGCGCAGCGTTTGCTGGTATTGGCGGTATTTCATTCGGGTATGACCAAGGCGTTATTTCCAATGTCCTCGTGATGAATGACTTTGTGACTCGGTGGCCAATCGGTCCATGGGAAAAGGGATTGATGAGTATGCAAAGCCGCGGTCTCATCAGGTATCTCCACTCATATTGGAAATGATAGCTGCTGTTCTCGAACTTGGCGCATTGTTTGGTGCCATCACAAGCGGAATTTTGGCAGATAAGTATTGTAGACGTCATTCCATTTTCTTCGCATCCAGTGGGTCATTCGTTTATCCCGTAAAAGCGACCTAACCACGTGCCTTGTCAGTTATTTTCTGCCTTGGTTCGGGGCTTCAATGCGGGGCGCAGTCGTTGAATGATCTTATCATTGGGCGGGCAATTGGTGGCTTCGGAGTGGGGGCCCTGAGGTGATTTTGAAACTTGAATGGGTTTCTACTTATGTAACTGAGTGGCGATAGCATGCTTTCGCCGCTTTACATGGCCGAGATTAGCTCTCCAGAGCTCCGCGGTTCACTTATGGCGCTTGAGCAACTCGCTATCGTCCTTGGAGTCGTGTTTGGTTTTTGGACAGGTTTTCTTACGAGACACAGTTCGTGTTTCTGTTACGAATTCCAATTGTTCTCATTTGTTGTATTGGGTTCATAGTTGCCGGATCTGCTTCATGGAGAATCCCATTGGCACTTCAGTTCCTTCCAGGTATCTCGCTCTGCCTCGGATGCTTTGTTCTACCACCTTCACCCCGCCTGCTGGTGCTCCATGGTTGTATCGATGACGCACGGAAAACTTTAGGCAAACTTCGTTTGCGCACTCCTGACGAAGCAAAGGAAGATCCGTTGATTCAGGCATTTTTTTTCTCCTATTTATGTCTGCATCAATGACGTAACATATATCATAGCTTGAGCTATTGGAAATGCAAATTAATGTTGCTCTCGTCCGACGAAAGGCAAAAGACGGACTCTCACGCGAAACATGGACAACCCTCTTTGGCCGGGAGTACGTTAGACGGACTCTTATTGGCATCATGATCATGTTCTTTCAACGTGAGTATCGTCAGGTGTCATTATTTATTGCGTGCGAGTCCGTGCCTGAACATGAATTGTGCTATAGAGTGGAGCGGCATTAATGCACTTCTTTACTATGGTCCAACTCTGGTCGAAAGCATAGGGATGCGCGGGGATACTGTCACACTTCTTGTTTCAGGTGGGATCGGAATTGTCCAATTTCTTGCAGTTTTCCCGGCCATCATATTTCTCGACCGGTGGGGTGTGTGCCTTTGTCTTTTTGTAACTTCGTGTTTTCTTAGTGCACTTCTCATAGGTCGTAAACCCCTTCTCAAAGGTTCTCATGCTTGTTCTTGAATCACCCTGTGACTCACTGCAGTAAAGGCGGGAGCGCAATCATGGCTGTGTCGCATTTCATGATCGCAATCTTAGTGTGTGCCCTGTTCATGATCAGCACATACTGAGCCACAATAATTCCTTCTTCTACAGATCCACCTTTTTCAAGATGACTGGGGATCGAACACCATAGCCGCTTGGGTAGCGGTGTTGTAAGTTTTTTACCCCGCTTCCCTTCACTTATTCACGTGAAATGATCCCCTACAGTTGCATGTACATATTTACTGCAGCCTACGGCATGTCCTTTGGACCTATTGGTTGGGTTCTTCCTAGTGAGGTATTCCCTCTTTCTATGCGAAGCAAGGGGGTTTCCCTGTCAACAGCTTCGAACTGGACCAATAATTGTTTGTTCCGTTGTCTGTTTCCGTAACTTGCACTGACATGAGACCCTCTTTTTTCCCGCTGGCGCTCCCCTTGTGTAGTCTTGATTGGTCTGATCACACCGCCACTGATGGAGATGTCTTCTGCGTATGTCCTTCCGTATTCAGATATCTTGGCAGTGATATATTGTTTGCGGACCCCGTATTCTTTGGCAGCGCGACCTTTATTATTTTCGCGTGCGCCTGTTTCGGGGCCTACCTGTGGTCTAATTATGTGGTGCCGGAGACGGCAGGTGTTTCTCTCGAAGAAATGGATGCAGTATTTGGTTCTACAGCGGGTCAGGAAGACCGCAAATGGACATTCGAGGTATGAGATTGTCCTGCTCAGTCTATGTACTAGTCTTCACATTCTGAACGTTATCCCAGCTGGAACGCGAACTTGGCCTGCACGCCCTGATTAAGGGTCTCGTCGCTTCAGACGCACTACGCCAAGAGTAAGCGACAATTCTAATAGATTCAACAAGATGTGGTATCTACGTATCTAGACGAAGCATGTTACCATGTTATCTGAATACGATGTGTACAGTATAGCGCACTAATACTTCGGATGGTTCCTGTCATTATACAAGTTTTCTCCAGAAATACGGACGGATTAGTGAACGTCCTGACTGATAAATATGATTAAGATAACGAGCGCGTGTCAGGGCGTGGTGAGGAGCGTGGCAAGGAGCGCGTGGGTCGAGTTAATGAATTAAGGTGCAGTGATGTGAATGCTGTTGTGCTGCATCGAGGGAATTAATTGGAAGTAGTACGCCGCCGTCCTGTGAGAGTGCCGTATGCGTCCGAAAAGAGCTTGAGCTTCCCGGAAGGAGTATCAGGCGGGTCCTGTGTCGTTTGTTTGCGTTGCTGCGGCACGGGGAAGAAGTGCACCGAGTGATTCGCGTTTTGGTACAACATGCGTGACTCGGACTCTGCAAACATCATGCGCTGGGGAGATCGTGGCGTGTATGATTCGGGGGAAGGAAAGAACGACTTTGAATCCCGTGGTCAGACATGTGGTAAGACACGAGAAGCATCAGTAATTGCTCACAACTTTACGCTCCACTTGCATGATGATGGGATCAGGGCCCCTTTGGTCCGATTCTTCCGAATCGGTTTCCCTTTCCGTCTGTGGCTGCCACATCCATGGCTTCTCCTCTGGCTGGGGCTGCAGCACCGGCAGCTGATCATCATCGTATACAGCTTCTGCCCAACAGATGTCCAAGAAACATTCCTTTGGAGCATAAAGAAGTTGCTCGTCTAGTGCGCCTAGACAGGTGACGTCAAAATCAACTTCACGTAAGGAGCTGTCAAAAATCCATATAGGGTGCGAGGGTTTCAAGTCCCGCTGGCCCTGGGGTTACAGGTACAGGATCAGCGAAAATTGGACTCGAAGATTCCTGCGTGAGTGCGGGGCTTTGCGGCTCGTTTGAAGTAGGTACGAAGAAGTCTTTGGGAGGGGGCGAAGGCGGACCCGGCGGGTGGAAGAAATCGATCGGTGTCGGTGAACGTGGGGGATCAGGATGTTCGTAACGATACTCGGGGAATAGGTGTGCTAAGGGAGTGTTGGGGATTTGTGTTTGTACTCCCCTGAACGCGTCTGAGGTCGCTCGAGGGCGAATGAACGACTCTTCAATGGGAGAGTAGAATGGACTGAGCTGTAAATACTTGATCAGAAGCCATAGTAAACGAGGAGGAGCAAATCGGCACTTACAGGGAAGTCAATGCATGAATCGTCGATGCTTTTCCTGACAGATGTTGGGAAAGATATCTGGGCGACTCTCGTGAAGCGCGTCGCAAACCGGTCGCGAGGAGTGCATCTGTCAACAGTAAAACTTTGTAGACTTCAAGTTCATCGTAAAGATTTTTTGCAAAGGAAGGAGGGAGAGGATTCGAAGGGAAATACAACAGCAAGCGCAGACCACCAATACCTCGGGAAGAGAGATAGGTCTCGTCGCGAGGTTTCATCGCTATCTTTATCCAAAGCAAAGTATGGGCGTCAAACACAGCACTAACGTGAAGACCCGAAACCAACCTTATATGAAAATGAAACGTAATGTATTGCGTACTGCATGAGCTTCCCTGTTGAGAAGCAGGAATTGGACTGACAGAAGGGATTGAGGATCAGGGATCATGGGAATGTAACACGATGACTGTATGATAGATCAGGTTAATCCCTGCATGCGGTCATAATCGGCTCCCAAATGACCGAGTAGAACGAGCAAAAGGATGAGATCATCTTCTGCGGCGGAACGAGTGACTAGGCGACGACATGAGTAAAGGACATATATAGCCCCACGAAGTAAGGGTCAATTTTATGAGGTCTTCGAGTAGCCTAGGAGCCTCGACGACCCTTGATGGCGATCTATCACGCTAGTATAGACTCATACTAGGTGAAAGTTGAAAGCCGATTGGACGACACCTTGGGCATCATCCTCCATGCGTATCTTGACGAAAACTTTGTTGTTGTCGGCGCGACATGCCGTAGTTGAGCACGCCCACAGTGAAGTCAAACTTGAAGTTCTTATGGTTACACCAGCGGTTGCCTGACACGACAATATATGATGCGTCAAATCCGTAACATTGGGAGGAGGTCTTTCTGCCGATCGAAGGACGCCACCATGTCCAACATCAATTCCGCTCGAATGCACAAACGGAACTTGTTACGGGAGCGACTCGTCACGGTGTGTGGCCGCCGGGCACCATCAATCTAGCTATGGAACGTTAGCATTGTTTAAGATTAACCATACCCCATATTAGAGTGTTTTTGCTAGTTGTAATTGACTGTTCCGTCCATCGAGTCTGTTACCGCCTACAACAACAGCATGTTCAACCTTTCCTGGCCATTCAAACCTTTTCCACCAAATTTATCCACACTGTCGCACATCATAAGTGATGTTTGCTGCGTACATGTGTCGTCACCGTCGTGCGGGGAACGTCCGAGTCCTTGAGCTTGAGAGTTAACGCGGCTAGCAAAATTATTAAAAATTACATAACTAAACGCAAGGTTTGGTGCAATAAACTCAACGGGTCTCAAGTTAATGAAATCCTTCAAAAAACAAGTACTCTATTACTGCATAATAGTAATTAGTAAATATCACTGTCCGAGTAGTAAGCCTTCTTGACAGAATACGTGAAACTAACGTGTGCATCAAAACTGAAACCTTGCAAAACGTCAGTTGCTTGTTCACGAGGCCAATCAATTTGTGTTTCACAGTAACGCTCAAAGTACACTTGCACAAGAAACGCTGTGATTACTCCGATATATGGCTACTGCACAAATAAACACATTGAAAAGACAAACAACGCATAGGTCGCGAAAACGATGTGTAAGCCTCCACAGGGAGAAACGAGCTACGGTAGCGGTATAGGCGTGAGTTAAAGAAGAGAAATTAGCACATCGTCTCAGGTCGGATTCGGTATGGGACGCGATATGTGAGGTGTACAGTCCGCGTTGACGGGGTTAACGAGGCGTAAGTGAAGCAATGCAACGAGCGTGGGGTGTGCGAGAAGCACAATCGGACAAAGAGGATATAAGTCAAGTGTGAACATGAAATGGAAAGAAAGTAAAAGATAAAGAAGACACAAAAGTGAGTAAAGTAACACTAACAACGGCCAGACTGAGAAAGCGAAGTGAATAAAGAACACAACAACCAATAGCCCAATGGGTCCCCCTCACGAGGACATCCGAGGCTATCCTTCCCATCCACTTGCTGTTGGCGACTTTTTCGAGAGGGAGATACGCGGGGTATAAGTGGGCACTTCCACAGCACACCTCACTCTCTAGGCGATCCATATTTAAATGGATGCTTCCATCTCCTCTGGGCCAGATACAATGACGTTTGCATTGTTCCCTTCGTCTTCAGGGTCCACAAACTGGGAAGACTCGATGGGCTCAATAGCGCTTGCGGGCTCTGCACTTGCTGGCCCATTTCCACTGGCGCTCCGCCTGACTGAAGAGCCACCTTGGGGACCCGATCGCGGCGGGTTCGCACACCGATCCTTGCCATGCGCAATACGCAAGTTTGCATATTCCGGCTTAATCTTAATGCTATCGATGGCCTTAATAGCGTTAGAGATATTAGTGAAGTTGACGAAGGCACAGTTCCTGAAGATAACAATGTCAGACACCATCGATCGCCAGCCAAGATAACGCACTTCTCCCTCAGGAAATTTACCAGCTCGATATCTCCAAACTCGCCAAAGTCCCTCTTTAGCTTCTCCTCGTTGAATAATTCAAAGTCTTCAATGTTGCCCACATAAACGTTCCTGGTGGCCCCTGAGTGCACAGCGAGCGCAAGGCTAGGCGGCAGTGGACCGGAATTTTTGCCCCAACCAATCTTGAGCCGCCGGTTGTTCAAGGTGAGGCCTTGGTAGGATGCCACTTGGTAGAACGTGAACGCTGCTGCAGGGTCAACAAAAGTGACGAACTACCACCCAAATAGATCAGTAAATGCATTTAAAACATGCCATAAAATATGACTGACGGCAATGTGCTTGTCCTGCATGTACCTTACGCTCTGCAACACACCACCACGAATAGCGTTGCACAAATCTTCAGTTGTTGTCTCGGGATGAATGTTGCCCAAGTAGACCGTGCGATTGAGGGTTTGACCACCTGTCATGTCCGTTGTAAAGGGATAAGGCGAGAATGGCGAACCAAAGTGATTCGGACCCGCAGCAGGGCTGAGATTTGCAGATTGAGCGACGAGAGATTGGGCGGCGGCAGCCTGGGCAGCTTGTGCAGCAGCTTGCTGAGACTTGGGTATATATGCGCAACGATCCTTGCCGTAGTTGACGCGTTTTCCAGCCCAAGCTGGCTCAGTAGGGAGCGTGTTAACCACCTAAATGACCGCGTATCGGCACCAGAATATGGTAAATTTTCAAATGCAGCATACCTTGGTAGCAACCGAGATACTCAAGAAATGTACGAACCCAATGTTCTTGTCACGGACAATTTTGACCTGATCAATCAGCCCGAACCGGCTGAGATCATCCCGCAACTGCTCTTCTGTCGTGTTTTCATCCAGGCCACCGAGGTATACGTTCCGGCTCGCGTTGCTCTGGCTGATCGCAAGGCTCACCTGCGCACTGACAGGAGATGGCTTTCCCCATCCGATCTTAAGTTCCTGGCCGTGAAGGGAGAGCTTCTTGATGGTGGCGTCGGCGTGGAACGCCGCAGCGGTTGCACCGTCAAGAAAGGACAGGAAAACACACGATTTTTCAGGAAGAACACGAATGGATTCGAGGGGGCCAAAGTGCACGAGGTTAAGTAGCTCATCGACAGAGGCGGTTGCGGGGAGGTTGCCAACATAAACGGTGCGACCAGTGGCATTGGTCGTTGCAGAAAGCGCGGCAGAGATAGCCGCCGGTGAGTAAGCACCTGGAGTCGGAGGAATGTTGACATTTAGAGAAGGTAGCCGAGATTGCTACACATGATACATATGAGATTAGCAATCGGACCCATTTCCGTGTCAATAACGACGGGATGTACCTGACCATAGTTACCAGCCTGCGCGCCATAGGGAAAAACCGCCCAACATGCTCATCCCGGGCAATCCCATGCCAAGCATGTTGTAACCAAAGCCTCCATATGGGCCCACACCGTTTGGCTGAGGTGTGTGCTGTTGCTGTTGCTGGGCAAATGGGTTTTGGTGTGCGGGGCTCATTTGAGGGTTCATGCCTGCACCATTGACAGCAGTGTTAATCGTAAGATTCGGAGTAGAGTAAAGCTGATTGGAGAAGGCAGGAGATGAAGGTTGGAAAGGCTGGTTGATCTGAGCATGTGGACCATAACCATAATTGGCAAAGGCGTCGCGAGTAACAGTAGTAGGTGCCGCAGCGGAGGTAGCAGAAGCACTAAATGTGGGGGACCAACGTGCCTTTTTGGCATCAGGACCACCGACGGCATCCATAGACCTCTGTTTGACGGGTCAACTGTGCGATGATGAGATTGAAAAAAAGACCGACCTTCATCATGTCGAGATCAAAACCGTAAGAAGGGTAGTGAGTTGCAAAAGCTGTTTGGGAGTCGTCCATATTTCCGGGTATGAGGTAGGAGAATGAAATGGATGAGAAGGAGAGCAACGGCGGAATGTATGTATTGAAAAAAACCGATGGACCAAGTTAGAAAAGGTTTTGCAAGGTATAATGAATGACAGGGAGGTAGAGAGCGTGGGTAGGGCAGAATGCTGTGATGTACTGTCGTAGTACTCGTAGTACTCGTAGCCTGCCCTATGCAAATGAGAGTGACTGATAATAATAAAAACACGCACAAAAAGATGGGCGAAGAGTGCGATCTGATATAGATAAACTTGCAACGAAGAACTGAACAGAAACGAGTCAGGACAAGTCTAGCACAAGAGCTAAGCCAGACACAAGTCCAAGACAAGATCGTCTCTTCAATTCACGGTCCCAGCGAAATAATAAACAAAGATCGCAGGAACGCGGGCGACGACGAGCAGCACCAAACGTGAATCCGAAGAAGAGAAAAAAACAACCAACGACAAGCGAATTCGAAGAACGATGTAGCGGACGAACTTGTTTTTCACATCAATATCTGACTTTCCCACATAACGACGCACGGACCCATCGTTTCACGTTCATCATGACCTTCATCACTGAGGTCAAATATGCAGTTTGCTGGGATCGTGAAGAGAAGGAAGGCGAGCTTTATCAAAATTTCGATGCCCAAGATGATATCAGGTAAACTCGCCAGGATTCAGGCTCGTCGCCCTCTCATGAAGTTTAACCTTCCTCTGTCTAAAATCGCGGCAGGTTCTGATCACACCATAAACCTTATAAGGTGGGATCAGAAAGGTCACCAGGATTCGCTCCTCACTTACAACCTCCCATGACCTAAGGTATAATCTCCACCCGTAAAATGCTCTAAAAACGCGGCTGGTTCTCATCACAGACAAACCCCAAGGTGAAATTTTTGCAGCCCAAGCTAAGTGACGTTCTAGAAGGTCGCTAGGATTCATGCTCAGACATAAGCTTGTCGTCTTCTCACTCTATGGCAGGTACTTACAGCCCCACTCTGTAAGTTAAAGTTGTTCTAAATTCGCGCCAAGGTTCTGATAGGTAGTGATCCCCCGCGTTGGCACGCTTATATCTTTACGAGGCATGCGAGCAAATCGGACTACATACAGTCAACGAGGAGCTCTGTCCGCGTTCGTCGTGGTAGAAATAACATGAGGCTACTGTGGTATCTCGTGGTCCTCATCAGGCTGGTATAGTCCTCTCGACTTGGAAAAGTCAAGCCTGCATGGAGGTCTGCATAATGGCGATTGCGTCCGTGATGCATTGATGCATGTACAAACATACCACCTACATATATTACTGGGTAGTGCTCTTTATCGCCGGGCCGCTGTCTCGTAGTGATCCACCAGCACGACGCGTTCGAGTTACATCTCACGTTATATCAACGCCAGCTATTCTGAAGGGAACGTTACCGGACTAAGTTACCGCGTAATACGTATCAGAGCGTATCATTTCAGATCATGACAGGCACTGATAGCTGGTTTCTCTCCGAGTGACCGGTGTGGCTAGCCTACATATGTAGTTCAACGCCAATGGATATCTTTATATTCTCTCATCCATTTCTCCCATGTCGTCCACCCAGCGGTTTTCTCTTCTCAATTCATTGCCGTCCATTAATCTAGAGTCGCAATGGCCGCAGGCTAATGAATCACTCGTATTGGAACCCTTTACATATATTACCTCCAAGCCCGGCGAGGAAATCCGCACACTGCTCATCGAGGCTTTCAACATATGGCTTGCAGTCCCTAGCGACCAACTCGAGGTCATAGACCGTGTCGTTCAAATGCTGCATAATGCGAGCTTGATGCTCGATGACATAGAGGACGATGCGCAGTTGCGAAGGGGACAGCCTGCGACGCACAAGATATACGGCATCCCGCAAACTATTAATACCGCCAACTACGTATATTTCTCAGCTTATAAGGAGCTCTCGAAGCTGAGGAGACCAGGCGGGGACGAGGGCGAGAATGTGGTGAGGGTGGTGGGCACTAGCGATTTGGATTTGGTAGTTACGGAGGAGCTTTTGAATTTACACCGTGGGCAGGGCTTGGAAATCTTGTGGCGAGATTTGTTGCAGTGTCCAACGGAGGAAGAGTATATATCTATGGTTAACAACAGTAAGTCCAGGTCCCTTTTCAGCACGTTAAACACTAACTTTCTGGGCTCAGAGACGGGGGGTGGATTTAGGATAGCTGTCAAGTTGATGATGGCGCACGCAACGAAGAACCTCGACATGCGAGTCCTGTCCCTCTATGCATATCTCGTACTTAGTTGCTCATGACTTCCTCAGCGATTTCGTCCCTCTGGTAAATATTTTCGGAGTGTATGTCAAGATACGGGATGACTACATGAACTTGCAAAGCACAGAGGTAAGCCTGCATAGCGTATTATTCCTACCAGAAGCGAAAGCTCAATATGCTCTACAGCACAGCGACAACAAGGGCTTCGCAGAAGACCTCACCGAGGGCAAATTCTCCTTCCCAATCGTTCATGGAGTACGTGCGGACGAACAGAATCGAGTTGTTATGAGTGCGTAGATAATACTGATCTATGTGCATGAATTGATTGGCTGCTATCATACAGACGTGCTACAAAAACGCCCTACGACACCGACCCTGAAGCATCACACAGTTGACTACCTCCGCACACAGACAAAGTCGTTTGACTACACACTTGCGGTGATGAGCACCTTGGAGCGGCAGGTCTGTTTGTCTTCTGTGCCTACACGCTTCCCGCTGAGTTTTACATCTAGGTCCGGGAGGAGATTGCACGCCTTGGCGGTAATCCCCAGCTTGAGAAGATATTGGACGCCCTGCATGTGGAACATGATTTACATGATTCAGGTGGGTGTGTAGATGAAGGAGTTGTACCTTGAGTCGAGAGTGAATCTTGGACTTGTGAATATGTGGAGTTTCCACTCGTATCTGGGAAGTACAAGCCAGGCTGGTCTCGAGTTTGAGTGGGGTTGTAATGTACTGATTGATTGTACTTACTTGCTTTCAGCGTTGAATTGGTTTGATGTTATACCATAACATCCACTCATGGATAGTTCTTTGGAGGTTCATCTCAACTGGGGAAGCCTCCTGGCCAAAGTGATTGCCACAACAGAATCGAAATCTGTTTCTCTTGGATTACGCAGGTTCAAAACCTGCTGATTACAAGGTTTCTTTTTCTATCGGAACACACCTTGACATTGACTCATGGATGGTTTTCTTGGACGCTTATCCTATCTGGTGTTACTAGCTAAGTGGCTACCACAACAGAATCAAAATCTGTTTCTCTCTCTCGGAACACCGTGACACTTTGACATTCACTCGTCGACAGTTCCTCGGTTATTTATCTCAACTTTGTCCTGGCCATGTAATGAACCACCAGTGGGTTTTAGTAGGTATTGCGTGTCAGTTGAGTCCCACAGTACATAGAAATGGGTCTGCGTAAATGCATTCCGCCCTGACAGGTTGAAATCCCTGTATCCCTGGTTGCAATTCCTGGCACACTGACGGGCCGACCGGGGTTGACTTTGTCAGTTGCTAGAAGCCAGTGGTCTCGAGCCACAACGTTCTACCAAGAAAAAAACGACAGTTACGGCCCGAACCTAGCACCTGCGTAGCGCCTCTTAACTCCCCACACCTGCAGACTGGTTTTGAATCCGGAAACACAAGTGCAAATGAAAAACGACATTTGCGTCAGATCTCCCAAAAGCGATTCATTTATTCTACCCCGCATAATCATTTGAACGTTCTCATGGCATGATGACTCCACTTCGTCCCGACATTGGAAATGAGCATTTTCATTGAAAAAATTCAAATTTATTGTCCTTTGGGGTCGAAGGACATACACGCGGGGGGCTTACTCCGGCTTAACTATCAAATAAGTACGTAACTTTCTGGCTCTACAGGACAATTTGTATTCATGCTGCAAATTGCGAACCAGACCTCCTGACCAGATCGAGTCGCAAATTTCCAAGAGCTCAGAAAAATGAATAAAATTGTATTTTCAACCGGCGGAGGACGAGAGTTTGAAGCAGTGATCGACGATCAATCCAACGCAGACCATCGTCCCGCCGTGGCGACCTGCCTGGAGTACCACACATATCAGAATTAGGGTACATGGATATGGCAGCTAGACGCACTGTGAAATTTTTCCAGCAGTCTCTGGGATCATTATGATCAAAGGACCATATGTGCCAGAGACACAGGAGGAAAGGGGCAAGGGCACTCATCATATAGAACGGAAGGCCCTGGTCGTTCAAGTAACCAACCCACAAAAGACACACAAAGAAGGTCGTATCAAATAAAGTCAATACAGGACGAATGGCTTTGCCCAAATGGACTGCCATGGACTTGACGCCGGCCTTCTCGTCGTCCTTCTTGTCCTGAGCGATACGATCAGCACATACCTCAGAGTGGAAGAATTTTTCAGGTGGTCACCTGGCATGCGTAAATGGTGTCGTAGATGCAATTCCAACTAAGGAGGTATTACTATCAGCATGACTCAACGAAATTTACCTTCCTCCGCACTTACCAGCACGATGCAATTGCTATGTTCAGGATTATACCCCAATCATAATGGTCAGTCGTTGCAACCCACGTTCCTGGGACAACCCAGCTAGAAGAAAAACCTTGGAACAAGATATGATGGAATACTTTTCCATGCAATGGAAAGTCATACCGAGGAACAAAGAAGGCCAGTTCATCCAACGCTTCATCAGCGGATACGTCGCGATACAAACGGGGAATGCGACAACACCGAGTGTGAAACTTAAAATAGTCTGTCAGAGAAGTTTCGACATTTCTTGAGCGATCTGCTCACGCTTTGGTTCCACAAGTTGAAAACAAGTAGAAGAGGGCGGCAACGAGAACAACCAGAAGTGCTGAACTTGGCCTCTGTCCTAGTGACAACTCCTGATGCAATCGGTCGGCCCTGTGAGCGTTCTATTCCGCATTGAACACATCAAGATATCACAGTCGAGATTGGACTAAGACCTACCAACCTTGCGATCGAGATCGCGGTCAAGCATGTCATTTAGGACACAGCCTGCGCTATGCACCAGTATGCCCAACAATGCAAAAAATAAAGTATTCTCAACAACTTCGTTCACCGGTAACGCCAGACGATAGGCCGCCGATAGGAAGGCCCAACCTAGACATGATGTCACAAGTTATGTTTAAATAACAAGGCGGCTGCATCATCTTCCATCTTACCGGGCCAAAACATGAAGTCGCACCCTACTGGAAACCAGTGGAGCCTGGTGAGCTCGAATAATGCTCTTGTTTTGGAAGGCATCTCAGCATGTAAGGTATGTGACGGCGGAAGAAAAAATTAGCAACATCCTGGTACCAATGTTCATTATTATAGGTGACCCTGTGTGAGGTAGTACCGTACTATCGGTTACCGTTCGTCTAGCCAAAGCGCTCTTTCAGCGACCGCCGCTTCAAGTTGCTTCTTTCCTCGATTTCGTTTGATGAGGTGGCAACTTAAACTACTTACCCGTGTAAATCACTCTCACTGCCAGTGGCAGAGCAGCCAATCATGATTGTGGCATAATGCGCCGTTGGAAAAAATGTGCCTGCACACCAGCTCCATGCAGCACCGAGTTAGTTTAATGCGGAAAAAAACTATCAGGACTTAGGTATATGTTATATGTGTCCTGTCACTCCTGTGATCAACCCCGACTGGACTCGGAGGAGCGAATACTATGCACATGTTTACAGCTGTTTGCGAAACTAATGGCAATGATTAAATAATGTCCATTCTTAGTATAAGTACTATAACACTTACATAAGCAACCATCACTGAAATCAACGTTTCAACCATGACCCTACGGCCGCAAGCCTGAGTACTCTATCGTACGAATCATTGACACATTTGCAGGGATATTCGAGATGTGGCACAACTGCAATGAGCTACGTGGCAGTTTCCCGGTTACTGATAGAAGATTGGCAACTTGCATGCTTAGTGACAGGGCGTTCAGTGCGCAAGTAGCCGCCAAGTCTGTGGTGCTGCTGCTGGTTATATCCACCATTCGAGTACGCCGGATCTCATCAGTGGCTGGCTGGCCAACTTACTGGAATCATCATCATCATCTCAGGGTATGTTCATGAACTTCGAAAAAAAAAATACCGCCACCCCAACACCAGTCATTTCCAGGATCATATCCTCACAGGCTCTCCATAATCATTAAGAACCTGTTTAAACGCGTACTGTGTCACGGGTTCTCGAAGTGGAACTTTTTGGGACCATAGGTACAGCTTCTTTGCGGCGAGCGCTTCCGGTAGTCGGAGCCAGCACCAGCACATTCAAATTTCCTGCTACTACATAGGACTGCATCAGTGCGGTCTTTTTATCTGCTTCTGTATCCCCAATGTCGTCCTCCCAGTTTTCTCTGTTCGATTTGCTCTCGTCCACACTAGACTCGCAATGGTCGCAGGCGAATGAATCACTCATATTGGAAACCCTTTACCTATATTTCCTCCAAGCCTGGCAAGGGAGTCCGTACACTGCTCCTCGAGGCTTTCAACATCTGGCTTGCAGTCCCGTGCGATCAATTCAAGATCATAGACTGTGTTGTTCAAATGCTGCACAATGCAAGCTTGATGATCGATGACATAGAGGATGACGCGCAGCTGCGAAGGGGACAGCCTGTGACGCATAAAATATACGGCGTCCCGCAAACTATTAATACCGCCAACTACGTATATTTCTTGGCCTATAGGGAGCTCGCGAAGCTGAGAAGACAATGTGAAGATGGGGGGTGAGACGAGGGTGGGAGGCGCTAAAGATTTGGATCTGATAGTCACAGAAGAGCTTTTGAACTTACACCGTGGGCAGGGGATGGAGATCCTGTGGCGGGATTTGTTGCAGTGTCCAACGCTGGAAGAGTATACTTATATGGTCAACAATAGTACGGCTGTTCCACTTTGGCATGCTACATTCTAACTTTCGGTGTGCAGAGACCGGCGGTGGTTTTAGGATGCCTGTCAAGTTGATGATGGCGCTCGCAACGAAAAACCTCGATGTGTGAGTCTTCTCACTCTAAGCATATGTTGTAAACAGCTGCTCATGAAATCTTTAGCGATTTTATCCCTCTGGTGAATATCATTGGGGTGTACTTCCAGATTCGGGATGACTACATGAACTTGCAAAGTACAGAGGTAAGCTTGCCATTGTCCTGCGCTTGTACCTAGAGTGTCTATCAACAAGCGCCATCTGGCCACGACGCATTCCGGATCACTCATGGTCCATCCGTAGTTTATGATTCAAACTAGATGAAAGAGCTTAAAGGTGTTATCCAGTACAACGACAATAAGGGCTTTGCAGAAGATCTCACAGAAGGCAAATTCTCCTTCCCAATTGTTCACGGAGTCCGTACGGATGACCAGAATAAAGTTGTGACGAGTGCGTAGATGATCCCAACATCTAGGTGCATCGATTGATTAACCACTGTCATACAGGCGTGCTACAAAAACGTCCAACCACACCCACTCTGAAACACCACGCCATTGACTATCTCCGGACGAAGACAAAGTCATTTGATTACACGCTTGTCGTGATGCAAAGCTTAGAGCAACAGGTCCGTTTGTCTGTTGTGCCTGCACACTTGCTGCTGAGTTTCTGTTTTGTAATTCAGGCCCGGGAGGAGATTGCACGCCTTGGCGGGAATCCCAAGCTCGAGATGATGCTTGATGTCCTCCACGTGTGAAAAATGATTTGTGTGGAATGGAGGTCATGGCCTTCAGCTCAAGTCGCAAGCGAAACTTGGACTTGTGAAATACTGACTACGTCCTTGAGGAGGTGGAATTTTGTAGTCACCGTGACTCGGCTAGTCACGAACCTGACTGGTGTTTCTGAATGTATTGCAGTTCTTACACATCATGTTTCTGCTTTATTGGCTAATGTGTGCTTCCCCACTTGACAAGGAGGCGGGTCGTCGCGGGTTTAAAACCGACACTAACGATGAGTAAGTATTGGCCCCCTTGGCGGGACTGGGACATTGGGCTCGAGGGCAAAGATAATATCGAGGTGATCACACCGAGCGCTAATAGCCGATTAACGCACGTTAGGGCAAGATGCTAATTAGTTATGCTCTGGCGAGGATTCCTTACTTTCGTTGGTGGGTGCGCCAACCAGTCGCAATGTAACTTCACCTGTAGGTCATGCGGTGCCTTCCTCTGATCATAATGTTATTCAATACGGTGTAGCGCTCACTGTAAGATATAAGTACAACAAATGCGGCACGTCAAGCTTTGGGCGCTTCAGCTGCACATCGTGTCCCGCCATGCTTGATTTATATGATGAAAGAGGTTCAGGCACACTGTCGGCCTTCGAAACACATGTGCAGCATGACGACTCGGAAGCGTGATGTGCTACTAACGTAGAGAGGCCTTAGTGACACGGTCGGCCGTGCTAACTGAGATGATTGCTACTCCATAGCCTTTTAAGGACACTAACCAGTATTGCGGTGTAGCACTAGACTACAGGTACTAGTAGTAGCCCTGGAGTTGAGCCCGGAATAACTCTGATGACTAATGCTGCGTAATAATTTTTAGTAGTAAAATGCGTTCATGCCGGACGCCTGCATGCCCAAGTCAAGGTTTCACTTAGCCTTTGCGATAAACATGCTTAGTAGTAGCGTCGCTTTGCTGTGATGCCGACTCACCATAAAACTCAGATGTCACTAGTGGGATCGCCACGCTAGGTTCTTGCACTCTCCCTACACCGTCCAATTCAACAGGGTAACACGAAAAGAAATGTCCAAGGAACTAAACCTAGCTAACCCTTCTGGCAAGGAACTCAGTCGTTCTCTGAGTAACCTCGAGACGGCAAAGGACCATGAGGTCCAACGTAGTCGTTTGCGCTCCATTTTTATTGTCATCACTTGTACCGCTGCAATGGTTGTTAATGTGGGTGTCCATCATACCTTTGCTCGCTGATCCTTTGTGACATCTTTAACCGCAGATATCTAATACTACCTCTGTCTCTATTTCACTCCCAACGATTGAGAAGGGGCTAGCTATTGAGGAAGAGCAGCTTCAGTGGCTCGTATCCGCGTATTCTCTCAGTTCTGTACGTTTTCGCGTCTATTTTTGCACATCTTAACATGGTGGCTCACCTCGTGTTTAGGGTTGCCTGCTCCTGTTCTTCGGCAGATTGGCGGATCTTTATGGACGAAAAAAGGCATTTATGCTTGGGACTCTTTGTCAAATTGCCTTTTCTCTTGGTTGTGGGTTTGCACAAGGTTGGTGTGCCCACCAATCGTTCGCGTGTTCCGTCCACTCACAAATGTAAATCTAGATGGTCTCACTCTCGCCGTCTTGCGTGGCTTCCAAGGTATTGGAGCCTCCGCTACAATACCATCCGCAGTAAGTCCTCCTGAGATGTTTTTGAAGCAAAAGTACTCACTTTTTCAGCTCGGTATCTTAGCGCATGCGTTCCCTCCATCAAGAGCACGTTCAATAGCATTCGCTACCTTTGCAGCCGGTGCTCCTGTCGGCAGCGCATTTGGCATGATCATCGGCGGTGTTCTGACTCAACTTACCTCGTGCGTCATGATTACTAATCGACGCATGCTATATTTCTCACGATCTCGTGCAGACCACATTGGCGCTCTGTATTTTACATGGCCGCGGCAACTTCAGCTGTAATTGGAATTTCTGGTCTGATTTCGTTCGATGCCGACGTTCCCTCAGCGGAAGTTGTCAAACGTGTCGACTGGATTGGCGCTTCCCTTGTCACAGTTGGCTTGGTTTTGATTGTATTCGTACTTGCTCAAGGAGATATTGCTACGGATGGCTGGAAAACCCCATGTAAGAATGTCGTCAAACCATACTGGTCATGTGCTAAAACCATCAACAGATATCCTCGTGCTCCTTACTATCGGAGTCATCTTGCTTGCGCTATTCCTGGTGTGGGAGTGGAAGCTGGAACAAATCATTGACGATGATCCATCAAGAGCGACGTCTTTCTGGACACCGCCACCACTCATGAGGCTCTCGCTCTGGACTCGGGCAAAGGGACGCATGGCCGTTGTCCTGGTTATAGCATTCTTAAATTGGAGTGCTTTCATTAGCTGGAGCTTCTGGGTTCAGGTATGTTCCGGTTCCGCTACCCGAAGGAATGATGTCGCTGACTCCGTTTTCTAGTTGTATTATCAGAACTACCTGCTATTGACGCCGGTCGACACCATGATCCGATTCATTCCCATGTTCATTGTCGGCTGTTTATGTAACTTTTTCGTGGCGATGGTCGTTGCGAAATTGCCCTTAGTTATCTTCGTAGGCAAGTGTCTATGTGTGGAATATTAACATGTCAAGCTGACTTGTGGTCCAGTCAGCGGAACGCTCCTGACAGCAACGGCCGCCATCCTGTTTGCCCTAATTGACCCGTCTGTGACATACTGGGCCTTCGGTTTCCCGTCCACGGTTCTTATCGTGTTCGGCGCTGATTTCGTATACTCCTCCGGTACAATTTTCATTGCCAAAACCTCGCTCCCACATGAACACAGCGTAGCTGGAGCGCTATTTCAAACTATGACACAGGCGAGTCCCGTGAAACAAGTAACGCTGTTCTGTGCTAAACTAACACGTTTTTGGTTAGATCGGCACCGCATTCGGTCTAGCTATATCCACAATTGTGTTCAACACTGTAGTCGATACGGAATCTGCGAAGCTCGGTGTCATTGTAAACTCTAGCGGCACCAATGCGCCCTTGTCTGCGCAACTGACGGGGTATAAAGATGCGCAATGGACCTCCGCTGCGTTTGCCCTTATGGGTGAGTACTGCAAATTTGTGTTGTGTTGAAAGCGGATCATTGACGGTTACTGTGATTATAGCCGCGCTGCTGGCAGCGCTTTTCCTCCGCAGTGTTGGTATCGTCGGACACAACAGGGTCATTAGGCATGTTAATTCTGACCAGACCATAGCTGCCCATGCTGCGGCTGACGACACTGGGATACCCGATATGTCCAACTAAGCAAGACATCGATGTTCGAACGGACGTTACTTATGCTGCATCATGAACTCGTATATGCCCTCCTCCCCTGTGCATTTATTCAATCGCACTTCACGTTGCAGAATCCACAGGAACCCACCAATCCAAATTCGACATTGTTACCATTAATCGTACCCACGAATGCCGTCGTTTTGACTCTTTGGCATTGCATGTTTTCGTTTCGGTCGTACGCCTGCAAAACCCCGAAAATCCAAATTCAACATTTATTATTGGCAATTGTCCCCCTATGTAATAGTAGTTCCTGTACCCACGCACGCCATCATTTCGACTCCCTGGCAGTGCATGTTGTCATTTCTGTTGTTTCTTCTGCCTATAGAGCCCCTTCAGTGAATTTACCCGTATTAGACGGACAGCTAAGGGTGACAATGTACCAATAGAGGTGGGCCAGCCCATGTGGGCCCATGGCCATAAGTGTACCATGATAGACGAGTGGGCCGGAGGGTGGTGTGTACCTGTTCCAAATGGATGGGCCGGTGGTATATCTTGTAGACGGTAGTATAGGAATGTACTATATAGGATATCTATGTATATAAATGAATTCAGTGTGCGATGGAGACGAGTGGGCCGGACGAATGCAGTGCAATGTAAATGAGTGGGCCAGGGAGATGGGTGTGATGGAGACGAGTGGGTCAAGGGTACAGGGTACAATGGAGATGGGTGGGCCGAGGGTACAGGGTACAATGGAGATGGGTGGGCTGGGGGTATGGGGTGCACTAGAGTCCAGTGGGCCAGGGATATAGGTGCGATGGGGACGAGTGGGCCGGTATGTGAGGCACAATGGAAGACGAATGGGCCGGGGGGTAAGCTCAATAAAAGATGAGTGGGCCGGGGGGGGGGGGGGGGTAAGCTCAATGGAAGATGAGTGGGCCAGGGGGTAAAGCTCAATGATATCCCATCCAGTAGATGATGGAAATTTCTTCCGGTATGGAAGGCGAAGGTGAAATGGATGGTACGGATGAACCGGAAGTGTTAAATGAATGGGCCAGGAGAGCCGGAGGGGCATGAAATGGATGATACAGATGAGCCGGTAGTACATGAAATAGATGAGCTGGATGGGATGAAATGGATGATACAGATGAGCCGGTAGTGAATGAAATGGATGAGCCAGATGGGGATGACATGAATGATACAGATGAGATGGTAGTACATGACATGGATGATACAGATGAGCCGGTAGCACATGAAATGGATGATACAGATGAGCCGGTAGTGAATGAAATGGATGAGCCGGATGGGATGAAATGTATGATACAGATGGGATGGTAGTACATGAAATGTATGATACAGATGAGCTGGTAGTGTTAAATGGACAAGCCGGATGGGGGTGAAATGGATGATACAGATGAGCCGGTAGTGTTAAATGGGCCGGATGGTGATGAAATGTATGATACAGATGGGCTGGTAGTGAATGAAATGGCTAAGCCGGTACTGCACTGTGTGATAGAGGTGAAGGTGAAATGGATTATACAGATGAGCTGGCAGAGCGCCATCCAGTCCCGCAACATTCTTACTACTGAATGCATATTATGCAAGTCAAATCATATTGATTGAAAGCATGCAAGGTTGACAACACAATGTAGACGACTAGTACATACAAAAACATGAATGATGTGCTAGTCTTACTGTGTCCAATCACCGGAAGGCTTGCATGGATATCTAGCACTCACTGATCGACCTTGGTGTGACAGAGGTCCATATTGCGGGTGTGGCAAAGGAGCTGAGATGGACTGTGCATCAGCTGGCACACTTGATGGCCCGGCGACTGGGAGATCAAGAGATTGTGCAGGTGGTGACCCAACTGGAGGAACAGACGAGCCGGATTCCCTCATTGTCAATGGTGGGATGTTGGTGGGGGTGGATGATACCCGGTTGTGCCTTGCGACCGGTGAGCCATCTGCAGTGTCACCAAATGTATCACCACCAGTCTGGGCACCCATCCGAGATACATCCGGAGTGAAGACATTGTTGGTCACAGTGCGGGCAAATGCACTGATGGATGGGCCGGGAGCTGTGATGGGGGGTGGATTGAATGCTGGTGGACTTGACGCTGTTGCTTGACTGAATCTCTGCTCCCTGAGATACCTGACAATGCCTCTTACTTCGGCGGTGCACTCAGAGAGGAGTGCATGCTGCGCATGCATATCCTGCTCAATGTGATCAATCTGCACTGACATGGCGCTGTCAGATGCCTCTGTGAGGTCCATTCGACGCTCCAGGCGAAGTTGCCGGAAGTCAATTTCCAATCGATTGTGTGTACAAAGTTCCTCCATCTCAAGACGAACTTGGGCCAACATGGCCTCCATCTGGTCATGAGAAAGGGGGTGCCGGGTGGATTGACCGGGTCCGGAAGGCATGGTAGGGGAGGGCGGGCTGTAAACGACAGGTAATGGTGAGAACCAGATGTCGTCCTCTGAGGCCATGGCCGGTGATGGAGGTGGAGGTGGCAACTCGTCATTGTCGGGCTCGATCCAGTGATCAGGAGGGAAATCATTTGCAGATGCCAAAGGGACCGATTGTTGTTGGGCACCCGTCACATCCACAGTGCCATCGAGCATCTGGATGCTCTTGTCTTCCTCTTGGATAGGACTAGGTTGCTGGATTGTCTTGTCTACAAGCATGCATTAGAATAGAAAGCAACCGGAAGCAAAAGACTTGCCTTTCGCATTAGATTTCTGCCCCATCTTTTTCCGGTGGCTTTGGACCAGGTCGTTGTGGGTATCACAACCTGACAGGCACATATAAGAAAAGTGCTCAGCCAGTATAAGTGAGTCTCAGCTCTGCCTAGCTGCTATACTCGCAGAATGCAAGAACGTTCGACCCTAAAGGGGAAGCAAGGAAAGCAAGGATCCACGGAATGATGCTGAACAACCCTGGTGAATGGCGGTGAAAGTGCGAGAAATGCACTGAAGGCGCGCGCGGGAAAGCGGAATGCGAAAGTGCGCGGAGCGCGGGAAGGTAGTGCAAGTGGTGCACTGGTGTAAAAGATATATACTGAGACTGATAAGAGGGAAAGCGCGGATCTAGATGGATACTGATAGTGCCCACTAGCTATAGACTGATGCTAGGGCCTCAATATGATGAAGGACACATGCATTGCATGGAACTAACTGATGATAGATACCGAGTGGTAGGAAGGTAAGGTGGAATTGTTGGGTGTAAAACGAACATGAAAGTATGTAAGTTCTACCTAAGCGCTCTCCCAGGGCTCGGAGCCGAATAGGGAGCGCTCTAAGTACAGTGGCTCAAAAAACCGTCCGTATGTTTTGGCATTTTTCACTATCTATAATATTGTGTGAGGACAAACAAATGCCTCAAAAACATGCTTATACCACATTGTAGTATGGCTTCAGGGCTTTCATTTGAGCCCTACACCGTGGGAATCGGTGGAGATATGGTGGAGATACAAGGCTCACAAAATGGTGACTCATGCGGACAGTTTTTTGACTCAAGTATTTTACAGTAATAACCAGGTATTCTAGTATTTTGTATGACCTCCCTTGGCTTTAATTACTGCCTCTATCCTTCTAGGCATACTCTCAATTAATTTCTGGCAATCCTCAGCTGTGATCTTCCCCCATTCCACTGCTACTCTCTCCCAAAGCTCCCATACTCCTTTAGGGGGGTTTTCATAGGCTTGAAGCTTTTTCTTGAGTGTTCCCCAGAGATGTTCAATGACATTGACATCAGGAGACTGTGCTGGCCAGTCAAGAACATTGATGTTATGTTCTTCAAACCATTCCCTAGCTCTTCTGGATGTGTGCTTGGGATCATTATCCTGTTGGAAAATGATATCTTCTTCATCAATCCCTGATTCTGCCAAGCTAGGCAGCAAGTGGTCATTTAAAATGTCCACATACTGCTCAGCATTCATCTTCCCCTCAACCTCAGCAAGCATTCCCACACCATTCCATCCCATACAGCCCCATACCATTAAAGAACCTCCTCCAAACTTGACAGTCCCATTAACCTCTCTGTCTGTTAGGCCATCTCCCTTCTTTTTCCATACATACACCTTCCCATCTGACCCAATCCTATTGATTTTGGTCTCATCTGACCATATAACATGCTTCCAGTCCTCTACAGTCCAGTGTTGATGAGCTAAGGCAAAGGCTAGTCTTCTCTGCCTATGTTTGATGGAGAGAAGAGGCTTTTTCTTCTTTGTTACTGCCTTGAGATGAGCTGCCTTGAGAACATTCCTCACAGTTTGTGAAGAGACAGGGGTAGTGATGGTGGAATTGATATAATGGGTGGCTTGGACAGCATTATCAGCCTTTCCTGTAGTGATATGTTGGATAATAGCCCTTTTGTCAGTAGAGGTGTTAAGACCGTACTCAAGTAGTATCGGATCCGAAGGGCTTCGGCCTCAGCTCATGCGCTGTGCCCCTTACCCGAGTACGTGCCCTTAATTTCGGAATGAAGTCCAGATGGAATCCGACGAAGTCCGAAGGACTTCCGGAGGCTGGCTACTCTGGTTGAGTGCTGGAGGACTTCCGGATGAGCGCGGGAAACTTTCGGATGAGTATAGGAAACTCTGGAAGAGTTTCACCCGCTGCATTAGATCCGAAGGTAAGCTCCCTAGATGGAAACACATAGAAGATAGGCTGCAAGGGACAGAGTCCAAAGCAGGATAGGTTAGGAGGAGCGGTCCGAAGGACAGGACGTCCGGAGGTCCGAAGGTTGCGTCGTCCGAAGGTTACGATGTCCGAAGGTTGCGACGTCCGAAGGTTACGATGTCCGAAGGTTGCGACGTCCGAAGGTTACGACATCCAGAGGACCGGAGGAGCGGACAGGATTCTAGGACAAGAGAAGAAGGGCTACAACGGACAAGGTCCGGAGTAGAAACAGACGGAGGTAGACTACTCTATGGTAGAGTCGGATAGACGGGGTTTAGACAGAAGTCTCAGAAAGACAGGAAATGCCGGAAAGGCAAAGCTTCGGCTTAGGGAGTCAATCCCTAAGCATGGATATAGACGGAAGGATAAATCCGGAGGACCGGAAGGTTGGCCTAGGGAATCCTTCCCTAGGCCTAAGGAAAGGCAATACTAAGATGGACCGAAGTCCGAGATCAGAATGAGTGAAGTCTAGGATGCGAGAGAGCAAGTCTATGTTGAGCAGAATCTAAGATGATATTCGAACTGAGGAAACTTTACAGGAGTTGTACAGAGGTTTATATACTGGACGGGATCCGAGAGGATCAGTAAGCTGAAGACAAATGCTATGTACGAGCATGTGGAAACATATTGGTAAGTATGAACGGAACATAAACAAATGAACTCGGAGATGAACAAAGTACAAGGATCAATAAGCAAGACGGAAACACAGATAACCGAAGTCCGGAGTCAAGAGGATTACCATAAGGAGATAGACGCTGATTTAAGGTTTGAGCTTCGGATATGAGTATAGGTCGGATCCGGAGGTCTAGAGATATCGGATGAGGCGTCTGGATATCGGATGAGCGGATCCGGAGATCTAGGTGAAGACGAGACTAGGATATAGATCATGGATATCATCCGGTAGTCTAGGGAAGGTAAAGTCTCAGGTAGGATGAGCTCGGATCCGATGGGATCAAGGGTGGATGAAGCAGGCTTAGCTGCGGAGGTCCGAAGGTATGGATATATGGATGTACGAAGGTGTACGGATCCAAACCGATAGTGGACTGGAGGACTGCAGGCATGGATAAGGGTATGGAGTCATGGATAAGGGTATGGAGGTCCGGATGTGCATCCGGAAGGCGTCCGGAAGGCGTGGGAACATCATCGGACGTAGGTCCAGAATACGGGATATGACAGGGTCATACATGGCGCGAAGGTGGTCGCGTTAGGCGTGGAAAAAGCGCGGATTGAAAAATGCGGATGGAGGAGCGCAGATGGAGTGCGTAAGTGCGCGTGTCGTATAAAGGTCTAGGGATGAACTGGTCGCTGTGTCAGATGGCCCCCTCGCGGTGGGTTCCAGTTGAGGCGATCTCAACCTGGCTGGGCTGATATGAAATATCTAAAAAATGCTCAACCAGTATAAGTGAGTCTTGGCTCTGCCTAGCTGCTATACTCGCAGAATGCAAGAACGTTCGACCCTAAAGGGGACTGCTACTGAACACAGAACCAGATGAAAGAAAGACCCTTGAAGTGCGATGGATGCGCGAAAGCGCAAGAAGAAAAGCGAAGTGAGCGCACTAAGGTAAGCGCGAGAGAGCGCACTAAGGTAAGCGCGAGCGTGGGAACGTGAGCGCTAAGGCGCGCGTTGTGCGGAAAATACCGGATAAGGAAACGGATAAGGAAGCGGATGTGCAAAGTGAGTGCAAACGCAGAGCGAGTGTTATAACGAGCGCGGAATAAAGGTCTAGTATAGGCGGATAATGATAACCATTGGAAACACAAAGTGCGCCCAAGTGGTGACTACTACTTTAAAGTAAAACCCAATAGCGAGGGAAGTACAGCAAAGGGGAGTAATAATGATGGTGTAGTAAGTCAGCAACTTTATACTATGGAAATCGCATCGGAAGCGGAAGGGATAGGAGCAATAAGCGCTATGAATACGTAATGACATGTAATAACGCTGCAATGCTTGTTACAAACCACGAGGCAAGGCATATGACGTACCAATGAGGTGGATGGACATAGAGGGACATTCCTGGATGATAGGCAATGCAGGGCAATGCAGGGCGCTTAAGTGCAATAAAGCGCGCAAGGTGCGCGTGTGGGAATGCTGCGCGTTGTGCGGGAAAGTACCGCGCCTATGGCGCGTTTCGCGGGAAAGCTGCGCGTTATGTGTAAAACGACTAGGGACATGATAGAAGTCGAATATAGCTGATGGTGCAAGTCGTGCATTGAAGGCCAATTGTCATGAGTTGTGAAAAGGTGTGATATGTGCCCATATGTGCCTGCAGAAACGCGAGTCTCTACACCGGTATACCGGTTACCCTTTACTTCCGTTATGCTTACTGATCCGCTACACTTACTGATCCGTTTTAGCTTATACTTCATTCCCGGTTATGATACGTTATCCGTCCGACTTACCAGTATGCTGTACACATACTTTGATTATACTTCGTACATAGCCTTGCACCTTTGCTTATTGATCATTCCGTTAGTTATCCATAGTATATAAACCCTTGTACATGCGCTGTAGTAGATCAGTTCGAATATCATCTTAGATTGTACTCATTCTGTCTGGACTCTAAGTCCCTCCGTTATCCGTCCGGACTTGAGTACGATACTCTTGTCTACTCCAAGACTTAGGATTGATTCCTATAGTCTATATATCCGTCTCTGTCTTCGGACAGTCTTCACCCGTTAGTTTCTAGTTAGGATCTGATCCGGATTAGCTGTTACTCTATATGTTCGATATCCGGAAACCTTAACGGATCCGTTACGATACTTATCCGTCTCACTAGACGTGATACTCTAGCACTCTGAAATAAGGGGCAAGACTCAGGAAAGGGGCACAGTGCACGAGCTGAGGCCGAAGCCCTTCGGATCCGATACTTCTTGAGTACGGTCTTAACAGAGATTCGGTACTCGGTACTTGGTATTCGGTAGTCAGTACTTTTGAGTTTCAAATTTTGAGTTTTGTTTCCAATTTTTCGTCTCACGTGCCGAGTGCCGAATTCCGGGTGTCAGGTGTCGGTACTCGGTTCTTGGTACTCGGTACTCGGTGATTCGAGTCTCAAGACTTGAGACTCAATTCACAAATCGAAATTTGAAACTTGTGATTTCTGAGAACAATGTGTATTATCTTATGTATTTCTGTACTCATTTCACTGACTACTGAGTGCCGAATCTCGGGTCTCGGGTCTCGGTAATTCAAGACAACAAAAATGTATATCATCTTAAATTTGAATTTCTTAACTCAAGACTCGAAATTCATAAAAATGTACAATACCTAGGCCCTATCTGTCTATATGATACGTATCTGGGCCCACCCGTCTATCTAATATTACCCGACATCGGCCCACCCATCTATGTAGAATTCCCCACGTCGGCCCACCCATCTATCTAATATGACCCCATGTCGACCCACCCGTCTATGTAATAAATAATTCACCTCACCCTCGGCCCACCCGTCTATCTAATAAATAACTCACCTCACCCTCAGCCCACCCATCTATCTGATATTACCCCACGTCGGCCAACCCGTCTATGTAATAAATAATTCCCCTCACCCTCGGCCCACCCGTCTATCTGATATTACCCCACGTTGGCCCACCTGTCTATCTAATAAATATTTCACCACTCCCTCGGCCCATCCATCTACAATAATACTAATACGTCGGCCCACACGTCTATATAATACTATTTGCTTACATCTCTCCTCAGGTCTATAATATATGTCAATCCTACTCTACATATTAGCCACATGGGCCCACCCATCTCCATAATAATATTTCTCCCAGCCCATCTGCTATCGTCGATGATATATATAACATCAGCATAGATGGGCCCACCCGTCTCCATCGGAAATAATATGCCTCCCGGCCCACCCGTCAACATCAGGAATATACATAACATCGGCCCATAATCCGCTGGCCCGTATTACATGGATATTATGTAGGTTGGGTGACCCATATAATACGGGATTGTCACTGAAGGGGCTCCCTTGCATCAGATACATGTGCCCTGGAGAATATCAAAGCTTACCAGGTTCAAATTGTTTACCGGCTTCATCCCACTGGACAAGAACAGCTAAAAGGGCCTCAGCAACAGAACCTGGCGAGTCCTTAACAAGAGCAGGGAACAGGTTCTCTAGTGCATGCTGTGCACAACACGCTCCTTTTGCATCCTCGAGGAAATTCTTCCAGTGGGCTGGGTAGAATGACAGCTGTGTGGGTTTTGGCCCATGTCTGCCTTTAGCTGATTGCTGCATGTCAACCAGATCCTCATTGTTCATCAGATCCTTTTTCCTGGCCATATGGTGTAAGAGTTCTAGGGAAGCAGGGTCAGGAAGATGAGGTCGCCCATTTGTCTTGTGATGCTGACTTAAGACATCGTCAGCTACACCTGCAGACTGGGAACAAGTTAGTTGTTGAGTGCTCGGCGATGTACTACTAGATGGATGTCATACCTGAGAACCATCAGTTTCCTGAATACCTTGAGATACATCGACAGACTGATGCCGCACGTGAGAACCGGGGACATGTTGAGCAGCCTCAAAGGCACTCTCACTACTCAATGGATTGTCGAAAGCTAATGCTTGCTTGGCATTCATGTCATCATCATCGTGGGAGTATTGAAATTCAAAGTCGGGAGTAAGAATGGAGGTAGCATGGACCGGGGAAGGTTCTGGTTCCCGAAGAAAAACCTGAAAAGTGATCAGGGTGACCACTGTGATCATTACATGTGAAGATGACATTTACCTGGGTGCACGCTATGGCGCCTGCCAACCTCAGCCCAACCAAACTCCCTTTCACCAGAATTATCAATATCGGCAGAATCATCACTATCTTTGCCACTCGCTCTACTTTCATCAGAGCTTGAATTATCTGAATCTTTGGAATTGGGATGTTGTGAGGAGATGTTAGTCCTATGTTCATAACTGGCTGTTCGTAGAGATGGGTCCAAATGTTCCTCGGAAAAAGTCGAAACGACTCGTGCACTGGACAAAGGATGTGAAAGTAAGCCTAAGGTTGCTACCGGTAAAGGTGACACTAGGTCATAGAAGATCCCCATTGGATGGCCCACTGGAAGAAGACTGACGACCACCAGTAAGGCTTTGTGCAGCACTGCGGGCACGATTCTCAGCATCTTTCTTAGTCATTGTCATATAAGGATTGTTGATTGCTTGCAGATCTGGCTCTGTTCCAGGCTGTACGATTGGTGGGTTGCCTTGAGGTATTTGAAATCCAAAGCGTGCACCAGTTTCGCACAATGACAAACTCAGTTGCAATAATGCATGGCTTGGCTCGTGAGTGACACCCTCATGTATAAATGAATACTTGATTTAAATACAAAAAATAATGTTTCTTACTGGTTCAACTTGTGAGTAGGGGGCAGAAGATGTCTATTTGATTGATCATGGTATCACCAGGTATGAACAAAGACAAAAATGCCTCACCTTGGCTTTCTTTCCTTTCTGACGGGAACTCGCAACAGCAGAGCCTGTACCGTCTGAGATACTATATGGCGGAGGAGGCTTCTAAATATTTAACATCAGCCCCAACTGTTCAGATAGAAACTTGAGCTTACCTATGCACGATCACGGCCTTTTCGACGTGGTTCAGGAGCAAGAGGGTTTGCTGAGATATTCAGTGGGAGGGTTGTGGAACCCTTAGGTAGGTTTGTCCACGTTGGGGCCTCCAGAACTGCGCCAACTTTCTCTAGTTGAGCATTCCTTCCACCTGCACCTGCACCAGGGTGACCAGAACGACAAATTGGAGAAGCATTGACATCTGAAGTTAGCTGCAGCGACACCAAACCAGCTTTATCTGCTGCCCGCGCCTTCTTTCCTTGCCCAGTGACCACTGTGATATCAGATTCCACGACTTTGCGCTTTGCCTTCACTTTTTTGGGGCTAGACGTAGCATGGGAGCAAGGGGGCATGGTTGACACTAACAAAGGGTAGGGGTGCTGGAAGGGAAATAAGTGACAAGACTTGGACAAAACTCACCCAACTCTTAAGGGATTTGACTGAACCGAGTAACATGTCATACCTATGGGCAGTTATGACTTGAATGGCAGTAAGTGTCCGCATTTTTGGAGAGATATAGTCAAATGGAGGATCACATGAGGGGAACGAGGAGCTCAACGTTGCAACATTAGTAATATTACTAGTGATAATTTCCCGGCCCTTTCAACTTTCCAAAGTCGTGGGAACAGCTGCGATGAGTCACTAGTAGACTACAGTACTTTTGAGTTAAACAGTATTGTAATGTACCACTACTAGTATTGCAATACAGGAACATAAAAACTTTGTGATATCTGCTGCGTACACAAATGAGATCAAGATTGACGGCCTAGCTACTCAGTTCGATATCTTGCTCCTCTTCACAGGTTTGACAGTCCACCCATCATTCAGACCACGTTTCTTCACGGGGATCTGGTGGTTCATTTGATCTATGATTGTTCCCAATGCATGTATGTCCTTCACATTCTTGTCTGTCAACCTCTTGTGCAACAACAATTCGGGGGGCAGCTCAGGCATACCCTTGAGGAGTCCTGTGATATGTTTGTCCAAGATCTCGAGCAGCACATTGAATTTGATGGGTCGGTGGAGAGAGCCTGGCATGTCGACACTGCCAACCTGAACTGGGAAATTGAGCCTTAGGAAGTCCATCCACTCCAGTGCAAGTAGAATAAGATCCTTGAAGTAGTCATCGAACTAGTGCTGTGATTGCAGCTTTGCTGTTGTCCGTTGTGTAGAATGAAACTTTGGTATCAAAGCATCCGGCAATACTCCGGTTGCTCCACGCATGTGGAAGCCATGCTTTGGAAGCGTTCAACTGACATTCCATGCCGAGTGGGCCGCTGTATCCAATGCAGATCCAAGAAAAGACATAAAACAGTGATTCAAGATCATCTGAATAGTCTTGCTTGACAGATTCAATTGCCAAAGGTGACGATGATGATGCCATTTTTTTTGCAGTGCTGGGCACTATGATATTTTTCACTTGCTGCAGGAGCCGCTGTGACATGAACGGAACTGTGCCCTGCAAGTTAAGTCAGTAGATTTACTCCTAGATCAATCGTACACTCACTGTCCCACCAATGGTGTATTTGTTCTCCGGGGTGATGATTACAGCGAATTCCCAGTCGATCAACATTCCAAGGCTATTACCGTTGGCATCCTTGATCATCACATTGTGGAGGCTGCAATCATGATGTAAAATACCCCATGCATGCGCTTCCTGTTGAACTGGGAGATCACTCTCTGTTTAGTATCAACATATATATCTAAAAGGAGACATGCTTACTGGCCACAATGTCACGTATAGCTCAAATAAATTCCAACTTTGTTCAAAATTTATGTAAAGGTTGCCCCTGGGGCTTCATGACGAGGGCAAAAATGAGTGCGCCAAGTGTTGACTAAGCTGGGCAGCTCTCGATATCAGGTAAATCTTCGTATTGTCGACATCACCGGTCGACAGCTTAACTTTGCTGAATTCTATGAGTTCCGGGACGCCATGGACACCCTGCATCTTCTTCAACATAATGACCTCATTTAAGGTATCTTCATCATCTGCATTTCCAAGGACCCAGTGGTCCTTGATGATGTACTCTTGGTCGTCCTTTCTAGCCAAGTAGCAAATGGTGCCACGACCAACCAGGCCATGACTCGAAAATATGACCTCCAGGATATTGTACCAGTTGTTCATTGACTCGAATTTTACTGATTGGCGACGAATTTGGAGGAACAGAAGTTTGGGCAATAAAAGGAACTAGAGGGGTAGAAATGGCCGAGGGAGGCAGCTCAGAGGGGAGTGCAGGAGGACCCGTCCTGATATCAGGCCGCTCATCTAGCTCGAGGGGGAAGACACTTGACAAGGAATTGCTACTGGAAGTCTCTGGGCAAAGTGAGGGTGAAGTTTGTATGATGAAGCTGACTTCATATCCTGACTCCTCGCTGGAAGCTTTATCTGACTCACCTGACTTTGCTGAGTCCTCATCTGACCCGTCTGACTCCTCACCTGAGGCTGCATCTCCTGACTTGGCCCATGTACCAGATGCACCCTGAGTGATGACCCTCTTTGTCTGACCACAGCAATCTCCTAGGAGGACTGAGAATAACGTGATAGTACAGGGAGTTTAAGCTGTCGAATGTTCATTGTTGTATCAAAACTGATGCACTCATCATTGCCAAAGACAATAGATGAGAGGATTTGCAAAAATTTGTCCTTCTGTTGGTCGATATGGAATGGAGGTGATACAGCAGAACCAGAGTGGTCGTATACATGAACACAAAGTTCACGATAGTGATTACATAGAGATAGCATGAGAGTGAAGCACCTCCAGGGCTGGTGCTTCAAAATGATATATGCCTTGGTGTCAAGGGATTTCGCAGCACACTTCCCTGGCCAGTACTTGCTCTTCATCACCTCAGCGATGACCTTGATGCCTGCCCACCCAGAATTAGGTTCATCTGCCATAACAATGTCAGGTTTGTGGGGGATATTCTTCTCCCTTTATTGCGGTAGTTGAATGCACCCCACTCCATACACAATTTGCTCGATTAGCTTTGAGTTCCATGTCGAGAAAGTGCCACTGTGAGGGCGTTCCAAAGCCCTGCAACTACGTGTTCAACAGTCAAGTTTGAATTGGAAGTACTGCCTCTGCCAGGCATCTCACTCTCCCCCCCCTGGCGGTCTCCCCTTGCGTCTTTCACCCTTTTTACTCTTTTTGTGCTCTCGTTTGGGTGGATCCGGTAGCACCCAGTTCCAACTCTTCACCTTACTATCCCATAGTTCTATAAAGTCTGTTGGTTCATGTTGATGGAATTGATGGTCGATCCGCTCATTAGAATATCGAATCTGAGAGAGAGGGATCTGAAGGTCCTCTGTACAAGGCGCTTGAACTTTGAAGGATCGGAAGATTACAGATAGAAGATGTCCAAGGGGGGTGTTATGTTTAATATGACTCATAGGCTCCTCGAGAACCAGCTAATTCAGTTCTTGGGTGGTTAGCTTATCCATTGTAGGAACATCATAAATGAGAGGAATTTTGACGAAAGATGATAGTTTTATTCCAACCACTCATGTTGAGAAGTACTGTTTCGACCCCAGATTTTGATTTTGAGTTGGAGTTGGAGAGGCATTGTACGCACTGATGATGGTCAAGACTGTCAAAGGTTGGCATGGAACATGTGCAGATCTCTTATCGATCAAAGTGACGCACAAAGACTACCATAAAGACTATAGTGAGAATACACAAACTGTTCCAAAAAGACTACATTGAAAGAGGAAAGTAAGAGTTTTTGTCCCAAAAATGATTCAGCCATAACTCTGACGCATGCTCAACACTATTATATGTGGTAAGGCGACTGTCTGCAGCAGCACCAAACCTGAGGAACAAGATTAACTGGGCGCATGCACTTGTGAGATCAGTATGACGTCTCCCATGCAAGTCCCGTTAGACCATTTTGCCTTTTTGATGACATACATCTGTGTAGTTGGTTCACAGACACCAATGATATCAAAGCGATGAATGTAGGTAAGAAACCAATCTTGCCATACCCATTGTGTACCAGTCTTGCCTGAGGGGATGAAAAATAAGTCTCACTTGGGCGACAGTGTGTCCTGAGGGATGAGGTTAATTACGAGCATTGGAGAAGGACAGATAAGTTGTGACGTGCCTTGAAGACCGCTAGTAGGCCACGAGTGTTCTGCTTTGGTGCTGACAATGATTGAATCATAATGTCCTGTGTGTCCAAGGTTCACTTGGCGGTGCGCAATTGATAGTCTGGACTGGTCGAATATTGCGAACATCATGAACTCTGTATCTTGCAAGCAAAGTTTGAACCATACTTGAACCTTCTCGAAAGGAAGCACAGCATTAGGTCTGGCTCTCCTAGGGCCGCCTATTGCATGAATGTGGTCACATTTGGAACTGACCTCATGATGCAGAAAATCGGATTGTGCTGGTCGCAAATCTGGCTGGTTAAATTTGAGGGTGACATCATCAATACTGATGTTTCGGATGGAAGGGTCATAGGCCAAATGAAAGGCAATGCGCCCAGTGACAAAGGAACGCAATGGTAGGGGTATGGAGCCCACAGGTTTGTGCTGCAGTACCTGGGCAATTGTGAAATAATTCGTGATTGGACGCGAACGACCATGTTGAATCATAGACAAGAACTCAATGGGTACATCGTCATCCAACTCAATGTCGTCAATGTCCTCGTCGTCCATATGACTCCTTGCTGCATCAGCTAATACTTTGATATTCTGCTTCTCATCTAGAAGGATGGTGGCGAGCTCAAATCGAAGACATTTATCGAGTCGGTCAAGATGTCAACATATTTGAGGATTGTAGTTGTTGTTATTACTTGATCTTTCCGGGTCCTTGATCTCGGTGATATGCGCATGCTCAGTAGCATCTGTGGACCACTGAGCCGTGACTCCAGAGTTCCTAATGCTAGGCACAACACTCTGCATAAGCTCCAGTTTCGGTATGTACCAATTGCTGATCACTTTGTTGGCCTTGCCACGACGAACCCTGGCATCAATGATTGCATCTTTGTTGGCGTGAAATTCATTCAATGCTGCCGAGATGCGCACTAAGTCGTTCTTGTCGATGGATGGTGACTGTGCGAGATAGCGGAAATCCATGAGGGCGCGTACAGTGACGAGAACTCCACAGGGTGTTGCATCTGCACTAATTGCGATAATAGAACATTGTATATCTCGCTGACAGCGACCAGTGACCTGTTTGAGTTTTGAGATCCCTTCTGTGAAATGCCGAAAGCCGGTGACAGGTTGCAAAACGGAAAAATGGAAATCTATCTCTGACTCCCCAACAGCAAAGATTAGCCATTTTGCGTCATGATCCCAAATTCCTTATGAAGGACGTGGAGTGTCTCAGGTGTGAAGAAGCGGGAGGGATCTGTAAGCACCCAGCCCAGCCAAAATGGCTTGAAGACACCATTCAAATGGAATTTTTGCGCTTCACAAAAGAAGGCCTGTAGATCTGATGGATTGGCTCGTGTTCGAACAATAGATATTTGTGCAAGAATGGTTGATGCCGTGCGAGGTTCATGGCGAAAGGAATCTCCAAATTGTTTGTACATGGCCATGGTGACCGGAGAGGTCCTTCCACCGATGCAGGCCAACATCATGGCTTCGGGAGTATCGACAATATAACTTGCAAGTGGAGTGAAACAATAGCAGCTCTGTCCGACAAGATTCAAGAGCATCACGCCATGTAGAGCGGCCTCCTTAAGCGGTTTTAAGACAATATTAAGGCATTGATGAACAAGGCAATCTGCCAATACGCCACACATGCACTTATTCTTATGAAGAAACTTTGTGACCGGCAGCAGGGCAGTGAGCATGAAGGAGTTGGATGATGATTTAAGTTGGGTGTTCATGCAGATATTTGCAAGGCTGACAAGGAGTGGGTGTGCAACATGATTGCCCGTCAGAACTGAGATATTCATCTTGTCTGAAGATAGTATTGTCCCAAGTAATGTAGCACCTGGGGGGAGCCCTGACTATTTAAAATCATTAAAATACTTCAGTATACTATGTGAAGATACATACCTGCATGTTCCATGCATCATCACCTGTCATCCATTCGGTATACACACAACAGAGCTTTTGTGCCATGGAATACACCTTGCAAGGTGTGAAGTCCAGATAATCATGAAAGAGAGGATGGTTGAGAATGGCAGATATGCACTCAAGTGGATCACGCCAGTACAAAATATCAGGTGATTTCGTTGGATGTGATGTATCAATAACTCATGACATCCAACGTGGGCCGCTAGGTAACATTTATGCTCATCCTCGCAACTCTTTGGCAGAGCAGAATGACAAATGAAGGTCCCTAATCTGAATGTTGGTTATTCAATGAGATCAAGAGAAAGTTACTGGCTCGGATACCTCACCATCTCAAGCGATAAGAAGGAATCTATCTTCCCCATACTCAAACCGGTGTGGGTATCACAACCTGGCAGGCACATATAAGAAAAGTGCTCAGCCAGTATAAGTGAGTCTCAGCTCTGCCTAGCTGCTATACTCGCAGAATGCAAGAACGTTCGACCCTAAAGGGGAAGCAAGGAAAGCAAGGATCCACGGAATGATGCTGAACAACCCTGGTGAATGGCGGTGAAAGCACGAGAAAGCGCGCGCGGGAAAGCGAAGTGCGAAAGTGCGCGGAGCGCGGGAAGGTAGTGCAAGCAGTGCACAGGTGTAAAAGATATATACTGAGACTGATAAGAGGGAAAGCGCGGATCTAGACGGATACTGATAGTGCCACTAGCTATAGACTGATGCTAGGGCCTCAAAACAATGATGGACACATGCATTGCATGGAGCTAACTGGTGATAGATACTGAGTGGTAGGAAGGTAAGGTGGAATTGTTTGGGGTGTAAAACGAACATGAGAGTATGTAAGTTCTACCTAAGCGCTCTCCCAGGGCTCGGAGCCGAATAGGAAGCGCTCTAAGTATGTAAGTGATGTAAAGTGATGTAAAGTAAGGGTCCATGACGAAATGGGAAGTGTAATATGCCAAATATGATCAGATAATGAAAGGGACATACCGAGGGACTGGTTGGACGATGGATGGATGCTCCTGGATGCTGTGCGACATAGTGCGCTTAAGCGCGAGAAAGCGCGCGAGGCGCGCACACGGGAATACTGCGCGTTGTGCGGGAAAGTGTCGCGCCTATGGCGCATTTCGCGGGAAGTGGTGCACTCTATAGGGAAGTCATAGTGGATGATAGTGCGAGTCGTGCCATGAAGGCCAGTCATCAGAATTCGTAATATGAGCCCATATGAGCCTGCAGAAATGCGAGTCTCTACACCGGAACGCAAGCAACCATGATGCAATTTCCCAGTCTTGCTTACAGCTAAAGGGATAGTACAAGTTCGTCTTGCAGTAGACACTATTTTCATCGGTGTTGAACAGGCTCAGGAACGTATAGCCCATGCTGTACGTCTCTGCAGCGCCTGGAAAGTAGTCGGTGACCTCAGCAGGTGTTTCTTCTTCAACAGGAGTCTCATCCCAACCACCGTCGTCAGTGTTTCCAAAATGAACATCATCTTCCTCTTCGTTCGACTCCATAGGGTCATCTTTGGGTGGTAAGTGAGATTTCAGCCGAATCAACTCATCCAGCCAACTATTGCATCCAGAACGAGGTTGGCTCATATGATGGGCAACAGCAGTATTGGTTTTGAATCTGTCTTTGCCACAGGATGGACACTGGAGAGGCATGAGTCGTGGAAGAAAGGTATGCAGATGTTATGCCATCAATAATTTTCATTGGCTGATTCAAGGTTGGGGTCTGAATCCAGATTAAGTCACATGCATGATCATCGATTATTGACTATCATTCTTTGTTTATTGTTTACATATTGTTTTTCCTCTGTACTACTATGTGCTCATCAACACTTTGAATCAGTCAGTTGTCGGTGAGTTATATCACAACAAAACTCAAGCTCTCATGCCGTCCCTATGTTTGCTCATTCCCCGGTTCTATCTGAACTGTCTCCCTTGGCTACTTCTACCCTGCTAGTTCCTTTTGTTTCCCACAGTTATATTCCACCAAAGGTCCGGTTAATTCCTACCTCCTTTTCAAAGATGTCTCTGTTGCTAAAAACCTCTTAGCTGTGCTTGTCTAGTGTGATGAAGCTGGTAAATAATTTGAGCCTGAAAAGCTTTTGTCTTCAGGGCACATGTATCTGATGCACTCCCCTCCCGTCTTTTACCATTCATTGTCCACCACGCAGCCCTAGGCCATTCTTGATCCTTGTCGTTTGGCTTCATACTACCTTCGTCTCTGTTTCGTGATACTCACTCTGTCTACAGTCATCAGCGGGAGGAATCTTACAGTTCCCTCCCAGCACATTCCTGCAGGTATCTACATGTCCATCAATCTCAACTCGAGCAGGTGCTGGAATTCAGCCATCGTAGTCTTACTATCTGACAAATCTACAGTGTGGGTCAATACTGTGACCCTGTATATGTTCATCAAGACTTTCAGACACAAGTTGAGGACCACAAGCTCGATATACGGAAGTATATCATCAACAGCTTTTCATTTTGATAATTGGTCTGAACTAAGGTTAGATATTGCTGTTTCGATGAGTTGACATGCTAATTATATTTTACATCATACTCCTAGGTCACTGTAGTCCACTTGCTTTGGCTATTGTACATGTATACATTGCATCCACTCAATCTCGGCCCCTTGGACTCTCTGATTCTCCTTCATTCGTGTGGTCTGAACCAAATTTTTGTAAGTCCATTTGTAATTTATAGTTTCGACTCACCTCTAAGTGCGCTCACGCTAACGTGCTCCCCTGAGCCCCAGCAAATATTCAAGTTCTTCTCACAGGCGGCAATAAGGACAATACTACCATACACGAATGGGATGCATTGACCTGGGAGCAGGTCAGCGTTCCTTCAACCAGCCACTCTGACCATATCAATGCCATTGCTATTCATCCTGCTGGCACACTTGTTGCCTCCCATCTAATGACCGACATGTCCGTCTCTGGCGGCTCTCAGATCGACAAGCTGTTGCCATCTTCGAGCACTCATCCCTCACAGAATGCATCACATTCTTGGTGGACAGCAAACACATCTTCAGCGGAGGTCAAGATAAGATGATCTCGGAGTGGGCACTGGCAGTACCTCAGGGCATTCATCCAAAGGCACATTTCCGTCCTTGACTCATATACCAAAAATCGAGACAAGAATGGTGGTGGTGGGTGTGGTATCAATGGTAGGTCAGGGTGGTACAGCTGTTGGCGGATGCACATTTGCACAACCGCCCACTTGGTATATAACAAGTTCTTTGAGGTAAGATGTCAGTAATGGCTCACAAACGCAGAAAAATACTCACTAATTGCCTTTCTGACATCGTGAACCTCACTTCCAGAGGCCTCTGTGCATGTTGCAGGGCAGGGATCTCCACATCAAATGGTAAGTGATGGATATGAGAACAATAAATACACAACGCACCTCGCAATTGCAGTCTTCATCAGCTCCTCCGTTAACATTTGGATAGTAGTTCATTCTGCACTTGTAGATGTAGTTGAATGTAAATGGATACTTGAAATAAATGAATATTCTCACTTCGGCCTTGAATGATCAAGTTCATGGGATGGTTGATGATTCTGGCATTTTCGGATTCGCTTTTTCTATCACCATTGTATACAAAGTACATAGTATGTCAACCTCGCCTATCAGTCTCAATATTCACAGTGACATTCCAGCATCTACCTCAAATAAGACACTCTGTCAGTGTTCTCTATTCTGTGCTCAGCAGCATCCATCTCACATTTGCTGAACTGTGAATTCTGGTGGTGATGCCGCCGGTCTCTCTCACTTGTATGATATCGCTGATGCTATTGGTTCCATGGTACGTAGTAGGACTATATTAAAATCAATACTAACTAATAACATATATTTAATTTCATAGAACATCAATGATACAAAGGATCTCGAAGCAAACCTAGTCATGGAACTCGCCAGGGCTAGACAAGAGAAACTCCGTGCTGAAAAGTCACTTGCCAATTGTGTGGTCCACGAACTCGAAGTCATGGCGAGTTTATTGAAGTTCAAGTCGAGTCTTTCCGAGCAGAAACTTGACCAAGCGGATGTAGGATTGTGTTAAGACCGTACTCAAGAAGTATCAGATCCGAAGGGCTTTGGCCTCAGCTCGTGTGCTGTGCCCCTTTCCCGAGTCTTGCCCCTTATTTCAGAGTGCTAGAGTATTGCGTCTAGTGAGACAGATAAGTATCGTAACAGATCCGTTAAGGCTTCTGGATATCGAACGTGTAGAGTAACGGCTAATCTGGATCAGATCTGAACTAGAAACTAACGGGTGAGGACTGTCCGAAGACAGAGGTGGATATATAGACTATAGGAATCAATCCTAAGTCTTGGAGTAGACAAGAGTATCGCACTCAAGTCCGGATGGATAATGGAGGGACTTAGAGTCCAGACGGAATGAGTGCAATCTAAGATGATATTCGAACTGATCTACTACAGCGCATGTACAAGGGTTTATATACTATGGATAACTAACGGAATGATCAATAAGCAAAGGCGCGAGGCTATGTACGAAGTATAAGCAAAGTATGTGCACAGCGTATTGGTAAGACAGATGGATCACGAATCATGAACCAGGAATGAAGTATAAGTTAAAGCAGATCAGTAAGTGTAGTGGATCAGTAAGCATAACAGAAGTAAAGGATAACCAGTATACCGGTATACCGGTGTACAGGAATACTGAAAGGAGATGAACGACAGTTAGAGTTATATGAACAGGACATGAAATAAGAATCAGATCGGATCTGTGGACCGGACGACGGATATGTCCATCGGATCTGGATCAGATCTGAGATCCGGATCTTCGGATCTGTACCCGGGTATATGGTATATGACAGAATGACCATGTCAGACTGGGCTGTCTCGTTGAGATTATCAAATGCAAGTTTGCTCTCCGCAGCACCCTTGATAGCCTCTTTCAACTTCCTGGACAGAAACTTGGCTACCGGACATGCATTGTATGAGTACAGACAATATATGTACATGCAGAGGTTGGCGACTTACTTATACAAATCATTTTCATGACATTGCAATCATTCATCTGATAATCCAATACCTCCTTGCGATGGGGAGTTCCCATGCCCCTGGCTGATGGAGAGATTATATTCATAGGAGCCCAGAGGGTCTCCATGATCTCTCCATCTATCCTGCCAGTGCCATGGATGAAATTCGATGCATACTGGACAAAGCAGCTGTCTTGATGTCCATGGACATGCCCCCAAACCTATTCCGGTGTAGAGACTCGCGTTTCTGCAGGCACATATGGGCTCATATTACGAATTCTGATGACTGGCCTTCATGGCACAACTCGCACCATCATCCACCATGACTTCCACCATGGAGCGCACCACTTCCCGCGAAACGCGCCATAGGCGCGACACTTTCCCACACAACGCGCAGTATTCCCACATGCGCACCTTGCGCGCTTTCTCGCGCTTAAGCGCACTATGTCACACAGCATCCAGGAGCATCCATCCATCGTCCAACCAGTCCCTCGGTATGTCCCTTTTCGTTATCTGACCATATTTAGCATATTACACTTCCCATTTCGTTATGCACCCTTACTTTACATCACCTTACCTCATTTACATACTTAGAGCGCTCCCTATTCGGCTCCGAGCCCTGGGAGAGTGCTTAGGTAGAACTTACATACTCTCATGTTCGTTTTACACCCAAACTACCCACCTTACCTTCCTACCACTCAGTATCTATCATCAGTTAGTTCCATGCAATGCATGTGTCCTTCATCATCTTGAGGCCCTAGCATCAGTCTATAGCTAGTGGCACTGTCAGTATCCATCTAGATCCGCGCTTTTCCTCTTATCAGTCTCAGTATCCGTCTTCTACACTTGTGCACCACTTGCACTACCTTCCCGCACTTCGCGCACTTTTGCACTTCGCTTTCCCGTGCGCGCTTTCACCGCCATTCACCAGGGTTGTTCAGCATCATTCCATGGATCCTTGCTTTCCTTGCTTCCCCTTTAGGGTCGAACGTTCTTGCATTCTGCGAGTATAGCAGCTAGGCAGAGCTGAGACTCACTTATACTGGCTGAGCACTTTTCTTATATGTGCCTGCCAGGTTGTGATACCCACACTGGGAATGATATCCATACCGATGGGGATGGAAAGATACATGCTTGAAGCAATCTGGTCCTTCAAATACTTGTTATACTGACAATTTATGTCATAGAAGGTAATGGCGCGAGAGATTCCGTCTGTCTTATAGTTGAGCACTTGACTTAATGCATAGTCCATGTTCATCTGCCTGATCATTCCGGGTAAGAGTTGTAAGATCAGCCATTGATGTGACCGGATGCAATATGTACCAACCTTTCGCCTTTCTGAAAGTCCACCATTGAATGTGGGACGAAACATCCATGCCGTGCACATGCACATCCTCCTATACCGGTGGCCTCCAGCCTTTGCCGTGAGGTGTTTGCTTGGTTTACTGCTCAGTGATTATTGCAATCTGACCTTTGGACATGGTCTCGAGCAGTGGCTAAATGCCTCTTGTATCTTTCATCGGAGACCATGAATCCCAGGCCATCCATCAATGATACTTTGTCAGATGGATTCACTGGATCCATGTGCTCTGCTTTGAAATTTCCATCCATGACCAAATATCTAGTCATGAGCCAGGAAGGTGTATCATCTGACTGGGCGACTGTACCGGTAGACAGGTCCAAGTTTATACCCAGTTGCGGACATGCCGGGCAAAATAGGGCGAGATCACCGTCCTTGGGCTGGTCATCTTTGTGGGCCAATCCATGCCACTTGTAAAGCTTGCATTGTCGCCACTGCCTGGCAGCTCTCATGAGCTCTCTGTAGTGATCCTACGGATATCGTTCTTTAATGACCGGATGGGGAATACCAAGTGAAACCCAGCTCACCGGAACCATTAGTGGAAAGATGCTCGATGTTAGTCTGTGAATTTTGCTGTAGTAATTCATGGCTGATGTACCGCACTCGAGATTGTCTAACAGAAAGTCGTCCAAGACAGCGAATGTGAATGCAGTTTTCAGTCTGGTGAAAGATGCCGGGAACACGCCGGCTTGAAAGAGCTGCATGTCTCGGCTGAGAGCACCGGGGCAGTGGCAATAACATATGGAAAGGGAGTGAACACCAGACTTGTCTACCACAGTTATTGCTGGCTGATCTGGGTCTCTGACCAGTGGAATGAAAGGTCCCTCTGGGTAATCGTCATCTATATCGTCATCGGTATCTGACCATTGAAAGACATCGGATGAGTAATCCGTGCTGCTGCTGGGACATGGTGTGCCATTGTGAGCAAGGTGAATGTGCAGGCCAACTTTAATGAGTGAAGTTTCTTGAAAAAATGATCCGGTCCATTGACTGATGCGATGGAATGGATGTCTTTGATGCTGAATTCTGCAACAGTCTGTGCAAAAGAGTGGCTCGTTGAAACAGCCATGACATCTATACACCCCATCCTTCTTGCAGACTGAACAAAGTTGGTTGGGTAGAGGAGCTTCTCTGACCATGAGTGAATTTATGTAGTCCTTGAACTTGCACTTCCATTGCCGGAGATATGCATACTGACTCTGTGTGATCCGGTCAAACCCAGACTCAGGAAATGAAGATGACTGTTGCTTGCCAGAGATTTTGGAAATTTAGGCTGTGGGATGTCACCTTGGTCAAAGTCAAAATCGGCACCTTCATACAGCAAGTGAGGGGACCCAGATATATGCTTCGAGGGTGATTTTGTTGGTGATGATGTTACTGATTTTGTTTTCTGAGCCCATGAATCTTTCACCCAAGATGACCTGGATCCTCTAGTTGTAGTTGTTTCCTTGAGCTTATACAGCTGAGGCAATCGTTTCTTCGTAGGAGGGGTGTATGTGATTCCCTTTTGTTTGGTCTTTGGCATGTTGATACTACAACTGGACAGGATAAGTATGCTGAACACTTGATGACTCGGGTGCTTCCATCAACTTTCCGGACTCCGGGTGATTTGAACCGTCGAGATTACCACATTTTCCCTTGTTAGTCATTGAATGACCCAATCATTCATGAAGGGACTGATTGATCCAGTGTTGTCCAGACTCCGAATGGTTTGAAATGGTCGGGATTACCACATTGTTCCTGATGATCTTGTAATATTACCTCCGTTTGGTATATATTAAGGTTGGAGTCACTGAGGGTTGCCATAGTTGCATCATCTAACAAACAATGTAATCCTGCTATTAACACGAGTCACATGAATTTCATGTTCAGGTTAGATGACAATTGACTTGATAAAGTACATCAACCGGAGGTTACATTTCAAGGTTCAAATACTTTTGTCTAGCCAGTGTTCCAGAGTGTTGGTCTTAGAAAAGTAATCCAGTTAATTAAGAGGGTTCAGCAGTAATACATGCTTCTTTCGATCGGATGATTGATGAGTCTGACAAAGTGAATACATTGATTATCCTTCAGTTGAGGGCACTAGCATTGCAAAACATGCTCTGAGAGAACAGTTCGAACCTAATAACCCACTCTATGGACACAAACAGGCTTCTTGTTTGATCTTCGGGACACCGGCTGTTTGTATGCACATTTATGTTGGCCTCCAAAGTCATTTGTGATGATACTTACTCGAACAAGTTGTGGAATATGATTGCACAGGGCCTGTATGCAGTACTTGAGGGCTGTATGCTGCCCATATACTATATAATACAGGTCTAAGTATGTATGCTTGTGCAGTTCTCAATTCTATGCATCTGAAACATGTAGGATGTCAAGGGAATCATACCAATCATATCAACAAACAAGTATTGGACAATCTCTTTGTTCGGTTTGCAGTCGCGTACATTGGTTATGTCTCTAGCATGCAGTATCTGAGGGCTGTATGCTGCCCATATACTATATAATACAGGTCTAAGTATGTATGCTTTTACAGTTCTCTTCTATGCATCAGAAACACATAGGATGTCAAGGGAATCATACTAATCATACCAACAAACAAGTATTGGACAATCTCTTGTTCAGTTTGCAGTCATGTACATCGGTTATGTAACTTAATACTGTGAGACACGCATGCATCCTTTATTCTACCAAGACCTCAACTGCTCCTCAACTGCTTTACCATGCCCCGATCCAACTCATCAGTCGACAGCCCACAAAAGACCAAGCAGAAGAAATTGACCAAGGAAGAGGTGCTGGTCTTAAAATCCCACCTAGAAGAATGGAAGGAAGCCGCTGCCAACGATAGAAAAAAGATTCTGAAGGCAGTCATAAAAGAGGCAAAGGTGCATGCCCCTGCTTTGGATGACCGGTCATTGAAGAACAGAAAATATGTGAGCAGTTGAGCTTCAAATTTCATGCATGATGACTGACTTTTATCATGATGTATTGAGATGTACCAGGACTGGTTATATAACCGGAGACCCAAGAAGACTCGAAAAAAGGCCAGCAAGTTGGGTCAGAAATGGACTTCCCGGTCAGTCATAGAACAACTGCACAAGGAGGAGATCATCGAAAAGACTGGAGCGATGCCAGGATCGAAGACATTTATTGAAAGATATCAGACAACACTCACTGCAGTCATGGCAAGTCTATCTAAAGAGGAGCTGGAGGAAGCTCAGAACACTGCGATTGAGTGGTCTGCCAAGGCTCCTCCTGCAGCCATCCAGGCGGACTTTGCAAAGAAGAAAGCACCCTGGTTTGATGACAGACCTGGTGTCCAAGTTGTGGAAGCAGGCCGGTATGAGAATTTTTATATTATCAGCATGGAAAGAGGAAGACAAAGTGCAGATCAATGGGTGAGTTCCACTTCACACTCAACCGGTAAATGAATACTGATCAGGTTGGAAGAATCGACTTCAATGAAAAGTTGGAGGGCAATAGTTTTACCGATACGAAGGACTGGAAGCCCATGTTATCAGAGTGGAATGCCTATGCTGGAGAAGAGTTTGGTGAGCTTCTGTTTGACAATCTTGCATCATTCAGTCAAGTACTTATGCAACATGGGGTAATACCAGATGTTGACCTGAATAATGATGATGACGATAGTGAGAGGGAGGTGAAAAAAGGCAGGAAGAAAGGCGGAAAGAAAGATGAATATCCTTTAGAGGTGGATAGCTATGGGCTTCCGGTCATACTGGACGTGAAAGAGCTTAACCTTGAGAGTAAAAAGCATCTTATAAGGATGTTCCTCACAAAACACTACAGTCAGTTTCACAAATGATGCATCTGGAGAGCTGATCAACTGACTGGCTATTTTTCAGGGTTGTGCAGCCAACAACCAAAGGCATCTGTGCCTTGGGCCTCAGTGAGGAAGGCTCAGGGGGACTTTATCACAGCCAAATTTTTACCTACCAGCTGGAAGCTCGACGATCCGTCAAAGATTCGGTTGGCTGATGCTGACCGGCTGTTAGATTTGTGGTGTCAAAGACAGAAAGGCCATGTTTGCCCAACCTTTGAATTTATAGGCTGGGAAGGTGACGATAAGACGATGAGAGAACTGGCAGAGGTGATTTCCAGAAATGGTTCTGACACAAGACCCAAGGATCCAGTGAAAAGTCTACTAGAAAGCGCACCGGGAGGGTGGAAACAGGTGTCGAGTAGTGAGGACAAGGACAAGGATGATGAAAATGAAGAGAAGGACCACGACAACGATGAAGAGAAGGACGATGATGATGACGACAAGAAGGACGATGACAACGATGGCACATCACCACCTCCAAAGTTAATACCTGTCACAAATCACCTACCGGTCAAGAAATCCAGGCCGGTCAACATGCGCAGCAGGGCTAGTCTGGCTCCATCTGCTGCAGAGCATGAAGATCCCCACCCACCGGTCAAGAAATCCGTGCCAGTTCCTTTGCCACCTAAATTCAAACCAACTAAAAAGTGCGGTAGGGTTGATCACATTCAATCTGATTTAGAGTCGGACAGTCGGCCTCCAAGAAAGAAATCCAAACCAAACAACACCAGCACCGGTTCTGCACAATCAACCGGTGCTCATGACAACGATCCTCCTCCTTCAAACAGTCGAGCATTTGGTCCTACATCCGGTGTCCATGCCAAGAAGAAAAACCACAAAACACCGGTGCCCAAACCAACACCCACTGCCCCAAGGACCACCGGCAAGAAAGCCAAAGGACGTGAAGCACAGACCACCAATCCTGAGCCAAAGTGCTCTCTTAAAACTTCAAAGGCCTCTTACAAAGCTCAGTATATGCAGTAGTAGTAATTTGGATCTTTGCACACAAGTATTCTAGCGATAGGTGTAGATAGCATATGACCGGAAATACATACTTCATGTTGAAAGTCGAGATATCGATATCAGTTGACATGCCAGCAACAACTCTTGTGTGCAGTCAAGGACTTCTTGTCTTGCAAAGGCCTCGTCCGGCGACATTGCATCACCAGCCCGGTCCATATCCAACTGGTGGATTGCTATACGCAAATCACCTACAGCCCATTGGATTACAAATCCAATGGGATCCAGTCAAATGACAGCGACTGAATTTCAACGGTCAGTATGATATCTGGAGCAACAAGAAGGCTTACAAGATCGATCCGGGTCAACATGCGCTGGATCCACATCAAAACCCATCTCTAGAGGGCTTTCATGCACCAAATCCATATTGAAACCCATCTCCAGAGGGTTTTCATCCGGCGTGATATTATTCCTTAAGTCCAGCAATTCATCTACATGATTCATGTTGAAGCCCATTTCCAGCACCCCATCTGTGTGTCCGGCCGGATCACTGACATCGATATCGAACCCCAAATCTAGCACATCTCCAACGTCCGACTCTGGAGGAAACCCCAATTCTAACATCTCACCATTTGACTGTTCATCGTCAGACAGGGTGGGGAATTGCATATCCAACATGTTCGGTTGTGGGTGGTTGTGAGGGTTGGTTATCCGGTCATCATCTGACTCAGAAAAACCCAAGTCCAATGACCGGTGGTCATCCCCGGTTTGAAAGTGGACCGTCTTCAATCTATTGCCATCTCTCAGCTGGTCATGAGCTGACATGACATCTAGGTCTTCAAAGGTAATGTCAATTGTCTGTGCTGTGCATGAGATGAACTTACATTCATCCATGCTTGAACAATCCATCATAGGGTTGTTGTAAGTGCGCTCCTCGCCTCTCGGCTGCAAGGTGTCAAATACTGGCATGCCAGATAATGTCAACCGGTCCATTGTGGTAGTAGATAAATTCTTACCTTTGTCCTCACTAGGCACATGTAGATTATGCTTGGCAATGGCGGACAATCACATCCTTCTTGTTTTCATTTTAATGAAAGGGTTGTATAAATCCGCGGTCTTCATAAGATCACCAGCAGAATAGATGTTCTGCTGCAGCCTGTGACCGGATGTTTTCGTCACAGGTTAGCTAGTGACAATTGATTGCTGATGACGTGTCAACTGCACAATGTGTTATTCAGATATAAAAATAGATGCTGACAGCGAACAATGGACTCGGATATATCCGGGTCGGGCCAGGTTGCCGGTTGCCGACATTTTCCCAAGGGTGGTTGTTGAACACGTCTCTTCCGGATTACTTGTCCACTAAGTCTCTACTGCAATCATCTCCCTGCCATGTCTTCTCACTCTACTTCTGCATCTTCCACTGCCGCTGCCAACCAGGCTCTCATAGCTCTTGTAGCCTGGCTTACTGAGATGGTTGAAGACGTTATCCGGTTTCCGTTGCAAGAGGAAAAAATGGAGTTGAGCCGGAAGATTGCTCGCGAAGTGGTATGTTTCATTCTCTGTCAGTTGCTTTGATTGATACTATGGTCACACAGAATGACGCGATTCGCGCCTATGGGAAGGAGGCTTCCTATGTCCCCCCTGGCCTGCTGTCACTTGCAGCAGAGATCTTTCGCGCTCAGAGGCGCACCACACAATTGGTGGAAATACCGGATTGGACCCGTCTTGGGCACAATCAGGACATGTGCATGAAGCACCCATTGTACAGTAAGACATTGGGTGATGTACCACCTATTGCGCCTGCAGCTCCTGGTGAGTGTCTTCCTCCTCATCCCACCAGTACTCACACCTAAGACTGCAATAGCAACTGCACTGGTACCTACACCTGCACCTGCGCCTGCACCCACACCTGCACCACCACCTGCTCCTGCTCGTGCCCCGGCACCTGCGCCACATGTCAGCATTCGCATGCCCAGACATGCAGCATCTGGTGAGCCTGCACCGGCAGGGCCATCAAAAACATGGAAATGTTGCCTCAGTACCAGCCCTCCTTTGCCTCGTGCCAACCGGTCCCAGAAGCCTGTCATCAAGTCGAAGGAGATCTTGTCCGACACTGACACTGACACTGACACTGACACTGAGAAGGTGAAGGGGAAGGGGAAGGGGAAGGGGAAGGCCAAGGCCAAGGCACCGGAAGTTGACGGCGATGAGGATGACGACTTCATCAATGTCGATGATCTTCCGGACATCGAGGTAAGTGTTTTTTCTTTGTAAATTCAACATTACTAACGCTGAAAACAGCCCCAGAAATCAACGCGCAAGGCTGTCATCCCTGCAAAAACGCCAGGCACACTGAAGGCAAGTCGGTTGGTTGTGAGTGAGGGCAATGAAGAAGCAGATGAATTGGAGGAGGATGAAAAGGCACAAGGCAGATCAAAGGCAAGTTTTTATTTTTCTTTATATTTGCCAGTCCATTGCTGATCCTGGTGCAGGCCACTGTACGACCAGGGAAGTGACAAAAACTGGTAGGATTTGCATGTAACTGCGAAGGTCAAATACAGACTGACATTATTCCATAGTCCATCCAGTCCAAGGGCAAGGGCACCGGCAGGAAAGCCAAGGTCCAAGAACAGGTGAGTCTTCCGGTCACTGCTAGGTTTTTACCATGCTGATTCCTCATAGCCCCCTGCTGACGGTTCTCTGCCGCCTTGTGACAGATGCCGGGCGAAGAAGGTGGAGTGTTGCCCCTGGTTGACGAAGAAAGGCGATGTCGCCTCGACTTGCTCATTGTGCTACCTCTGGAAGATGGCATGCATCCGGACCGATACAGCGAGCGCCACCATTGCCCCCACCACCAACACTGCACCCCCTGTGGCCACAGTCACCACTCACTCTAAGACGATGTAGAGACTCGCGTTTCTGCAGGCTCATATGGGCTCATTTTACGAATTCTGACAACTGGCCTTCATGGCACAACTCGCACCATCATCCACCATGACTTCCCTATAGAGCGCACCACTTTCCCGCGGGACGCGCCATAGGCGCGACACTTTCCCGCACAACGCGCAGTATTCCCACGTGCGCGCCTTGCGCGCTTTCTCGCACTTAAGCGCACTATGTTGCACAGCATCCAGGAGCATCCATCCATCGTCCAACCAGTCCCTTGGTATGTCCCTTTTTGTTATCTGACCATATTTGGCATATTACACTTCCCATTTCGTCATGGACCCTTACTTTACATCACTTTACCTCATTTACATACTTAGAGCGCTCCCTATTCGGCTCCGAGCCCTGGGAGAGCGCTTAGGTAGAACTTACATACTTTCATGTTCGTTTTACACCCAACAATTCCACCTTACCTTCCTACCACTCGGTATCTATCATCAGTTAGTTCCATGCAATGCATGTGTCCTTCATCATATTGAGGCCCTAGCATCAGTCTATAGCTAGTGGGCACTATCAGTATCCATCTAGATCCGCGCTTTCCCTCTTATCAGTCTCAGTATATATCTTTTACACCAGTGCACCACTTGCACTACCTTCCCGCGCTCCGCGCACTTTCGCATTCCGCTTTCCCGCGCGCGCCTTCAGTGCATTTCTCGCACTTTCACCGCCATTCACCAGGGTTGTTCAGCATCATTCCGTGGATCCTTGCTTTCCTTGCTTCCCCTTTAGGGTCGAACGTTCTTGCATTCTGCGAGTATAGCAGCTAGGCAGAGCTGAGACTCACTTATACTGGCTGAGCACTTTTTCTTATATGTGCCTGTCAGGTTGTGATACCCACAACTGGAGCCCACCACGAGGGGGCCATCTGACACAGCGACCAGTTCATCCCTAGACCTTTATACGACACGCGCACTTACGCACTCCATCTGCGCTCCTCCATCCGCATTTTTCAATCCGCGCTTTTTCCACGCCTAACGCGACCACCTTCGCGCCATGTATGACCCCATAGATTCATCTGGAATGCCCCTTCGAATAGCCGACTCAGCGCCGCGCTTTGCAGGCGATGGTACTCAACTCGTCAACTTCCCTGGAGTCAGTAGAACGACTCGCGCAACCACTTGGTTATCAGACAAGGAGATCATTAAGTATGCACTGAAGTATACAGCGCCTAAACACAGGCAGCTTCTCTCATACCGCGCATTTGACAACTATGTGGAATTTGCTGATCACGTCTTGGATTTTTGGCCAGAATGTGGTGTTTGCCACTATACGCGCCCTATCTTCGAAAAACCGGCCACCATCGAAGCGCCCCTTGCAAGTGCACCTCCGCATCCAGAACGCGCTCAAGAGCAACCAGAAGCAGCAATCATCGCACCAATTCCTGAAACATGCGACGACATCCCTGCCCCAGTAGTCCAAGAAACGCACCATCCGGACGTAGAAGATACCGCGCCTTTGCCCCTCGCTCCGATGTCTCAATCTGACCTGGTATGCTCATCGCACTTTAGCGCGCCTAATCAGGTGCCTCCTACAGCGCCAGAGCTTCAATACGCGACACCAGTTGACCAGAGTACGCCCCTTGACGATCCATGCATTACTGACGAAACCGCGCTTTTTAATGATAGCAGTTCATGCTCTTCAACTGAATGTCCAAGTGGTGCATCAGATGCGCATCACATGGATCATGTTCCAGACGACCAAGACGCATACCTTGACCATGCTAGAACCACTCCGGAAGAAAACACGCTCAAATGCGCTAATGGTTTGTATGAATGTCCCTCAGTTAACGCGATTTACGGTTGTTATACGTCGAAAGCTCTCAAGGAGCAAAGCGACTATTGCCATGTTGCCGCCCATAGCCTGTCAGGCTGTTCAGGACAATGTCCTTGATGATCTGCATGCGTTTTCATTGAGCGCTCAATGCGCCTTTGACATATGGAAGTTCCGCGTTTTTGTTACTGACACCGTTTTGATCCTCGCACCGGTTACCAGCTATCCGCCTTTGAAGCGCAGCCATATTGGCCTAGATTCGCCACCGACGCTTAGTATTCCCACGCTCTGCGCGCGCCTGACCGCGCAATGCGCTTATGTTTGTGAAACTAATCTTGGAATCGCCCCTCAATATCGCATTTTTAGCCCTGCACTCGCCACTAAGTGCATTTCAAGTACCTTGCAGCAGATTACCATCAACCAGATGCTCATGTGCGCACTCCTGATGCCCTTCAAGCGCTCTCCGACCCACCGCCATCACTCACCTCGCACCATCCGTCCCGCCCAAATCCGCATTCAGTATCACCGGCCGTCCCATGCAAGCATCGCATTTCACCTCTATGAGCGCGGAAGTCGCGGTTTATGCAGAAGGAAGAAGAAAGACGATGAAGAACCCCCTAGAGCGCGCCCCTCCACAGCGCATCCCTACCTTATCACCGCACATACCTCATAATACCGGAAGAAACACCGCCATTCTTTTGTAGGATAACATTCGTTTTACCCTGGGCTTCGACCAGAGATTTCGTTTCAGGTTTCGTTTAATATTCTAGCACATAGGACAGATAACCCGCAGACAGTCGCGCATTACAGGGATTTACACCAGGAAGAAAGAGATATACGAGAACATTGACTCTAGTGCTTGCACCGACTCATACGATAGTTTTTTCCCCTTCTAACGCATGAAGCAGCACCGTGCACCTTGTTACTATACCACCCAGGCGCTTCAGCCGCATTTAGGCGCCTTTCCATCGCATTTCCACGCGCTTATGTTACTCACAGCGCATAGAGGCATAGATGTCGAAAGAAGATCGAAGAAACCAAGTCGGATGGAAGTCCGCATAGATTGCAGCGCGTTTTTCCGTGTTTTCCTTGCAGTTTTCTTACGCATAATTCCTTTTCTTCGCATTGTATCCAGGACACCCAGTGGGGATTGGTTTGGACATAGATTGGATCGCTCCTCAGGCCCCACAACATCGCGTTTCACCCCCGGACGTATATTGGATGTAGACTCCATCGCGCAATCATTCCATCACACTCAGTTGCAGTTTGCACTTTGCGCATTCATCCCCTCGTGTTTCCAGCACTTGCGCTTTTGTGCTATCACCTTCTGCATTGTCGCATTTTGAGCAGTCGCCTCGTCACCTTATTCACGTTTCACATTGTTGCATTGTTGCATTTCGCCTTGTCGTGTTTCGTACTGTCGCGCTTCGCATTTCGCCTTATCGCCATGTCGCATTGTCGCATTTCGCATTTCGCCTTGTCGCATTGTCGCATTTCGTGCTGTTGCCTTTCGCATTTCATGCAGTCCCATGTTCGCACTTCGCCTTTAGCGCATTCTCGCGCTTCCACAACACGTTCCCACGCTCGCGCATTATCTGCCCCTCATCGCACTTAGTCGAACTATCATCCGAGCACGCACGCATCATACTCGAGATCCTCACCAGACGCGCTCTGAGTGGGGACACTCAGTATTCAAAGTCCCTGGGAGATGTAGAGACTCGCGTTTCTGCAGGCACATATGGGCACATTTCGCACCTTTTCACAACTCATGACAATTGGCCTGCAATGCACAACTTGCACCATCAGCTATATTCAACTTCTATCATGTCCCTAGTCGTTTTACACTAACGCGCAGCTTTCCGCGAAACGCGCCATAGGCGCGGTACTTTCCCGCACAACGTGCAGCATTCCCACACGTGCACCTTGCGCGCTTTATTGCACTTAAGCGCCCTGCATTGCCTTGCATTGCCTATCATCCAGGAATGTCCCTCTATGTCCATCCACCTCATTGGTACGTCATATGCCTTGCCTCGTGGTTTGTAACAAGCATTGCAGCGTTATACATGTCATTACGTATTCATAGCGCTTACTGCTCCTATCCCTTCCGCTTCCGATGCGATTTCCATAGTATAAAGTTGCTGACTTACTACACCATCATATTACTCCCCTTTGCTGTACTTCCCTCGCTATTGGGTTTTACTTTAAAGTAGTAGTCACCACTTGGGCGCACTTTGTGTTTCCAATGGTTATCGTTATCCGCCTATACTAGACCTTTATCCGCGCTCGTTCTATAACACTCGCTCTGCGT